CATGCTCTCAAACTTTCCGATTGCTTCAGTAACTTCTCTTGATTTCATAAATAAGCTTTTTAACAAGTGTATACATTACTTTGAATCAATATTTCCAATCTCTAGAGACATAGACTTACAAATGTTTGTAGGGGTTAGGGTTAGGGTTAGGGTTAAAATGTTAATTTTTATTTTCTTAGCTGTCACAGCCATCACAGATTTAATTAAGCTTGAGGAATATGCTTCCAGGCCACAGAAATAAGACTTTTTGTCACAAGTTATGATATATTTTTCACTGTTTCTTTATATGAACGTATCAATCTTATTTTATAATCTGTAATACTTTACAAATTCATATTAAATATTAGTGTCATTGAGAAAATATGTATATAAAGATCAAATTTCTAAAATAGTATTCTTTACACATAGACAGTATGAACTTTTCCATAGGGAAATTTGAAGTAATCCTAGTTGGAACCTTCCAGCTCATTCACTGTAATGAATGATATTTAATACATCATACATTCATAGAAATAATCCTATTAAAACTACTGTAAATAGAGGGCGATCCAAAAGAGCAATTAAAGTTCGAGGAAATTACATCTCTGAGCTTTCTGTCCAGATGGTAGAGGAAAAGAGAAGAAAGAAATACTCAGACAAGAAGCGACGTATTCAGAGATACTTTCCTCTAGTCCTTGGAGTAGCAGGAAAGTTAAGCCATCATACTTGGAACTGTTCGTTTTGCTGGTCTTTTCAATCAGCGTTCCCTAATCATTTTGTCATCAGGGACCAGTTTCATGGAAGACAATTTTTTTCACAAACTGGGGGTTCCTAACAGGCCAAGGACCGGTACAGGTCTGTGGCCTGGGGATTGGGGCTCCCGCCAAAGAATTGAGGCCCTTGAATCTGCTGGAGAAGACTCCTGCGAGGCCCTTGGTCTACAAGGTGATCAAACCAGTCAGTCCTAGAGGAGATCAACCCCGACTGCTCTTTAGAAGGCCAGATCCTGAAGATGAAACTCAAATACTTTGGCCACCTAATGAGAAGGAAGAACTCAGTGAAGAAGAGCCTAATGTTGGGAATGATTGAGGGTAAAAGAAGAATGGGACGACAGAAAATGAGGTGGATGGATGGAGTCACTGAAGCAGTCGGCGTGAGCTTTAATGGACTCCAGGGTATAGTAGAGGACAGGAAGGTCTGGAGGAACGTTGTCCATGGGGTTGCAATGAGTTGGACATGACTTGCGAGTAACATCAACAACAAATTTTAAATGGTCTCAGTTTGCATTATGAATGAATACATGGAAGTGCTAGCTAGTTAGCACTGTTTAATTTTTTTTCTCAAGAATATGTTATCTAATTTTAGAAAGACTTGAAAAATTTAAAGTCAGTCTTCTTTATACAGACTGAAACTATTTTAAAAAATCAGTGCACTTCAAAGCAAAAGAATTATAGGGCATAAACCCACTCTTACATTTGGTAATTTACAATTGAATTGAAGTCATTATGCTACCAAAAGATTTTACTCTTTCGCTTATTGCTATTGCTGAATCCAAGGAATGTGTGATTATTCAACATATGGCAGAACTGTTTCTGAAACTTCTTAACTCTTAACAGAAGTGAAAACTAAAACGCCAATCATTTGGAGAACATGCAACTTGGATTATAAGATTGTAGATATCTCAATAGTTGGCGTGGCTGGGGCACTACCCTAACTGCGGGGCAAAATTAATACCATGTAGCGATAACTATCTTTGCTGAATGGCCACAGAACATTAAAAAACCTTTGAAAATCATTATATAGATTGAAAAAGTAAGATAGGATGAAATTTTGTAAAAAAAAAAAAAAAGACATGGGGATTAAGCTCACTGTAACTAGTATATTGTAAAATAGGTATGTATGTAATAAATTGTTTACTACAGCATCTGTTTTTGCTAATGTGATCACTCCAGAAACTGATGATATTCAATTTTGGATTAATTCATTTGAAATCGATTCTGCCATTTAGCTTATTGTATATACAGTAAATTGTATTGGCATTCTAATGTAAAATTTATTTTTAAATCTAAGCATAGAATCAAGCCCATGAAGATAATCCTAATTTACATTCTGCTAAAACTGAATTAAATATTTTTTATAAACAATATTAAAGGGATTGTAAACAACTTGGTATATGCTGCAAGAACCTGGATAACAAAAGCATTGACTTGGGTAAATCTGTCTTAATGCAAATATGCAAAGATTGTGGCCACGATTTGTGTAGGTTCGCGAAACAACAGCTTCCATTTTGTGCAAGTGCCGCACAGAATCTAATATGGAAAACTTCAGCTTATTCATAAATTCCTAGAACAGAACTCTTGTATAACTGCCTGAGTCACCATATTTGGTAGCAATACTTAGTTGGTCCTAAATTTTGGTCAAATGTTTGTGAAGAAATTGGGAAAATCATCCAACAAACTTTGATAATGAAATCATGTTTTGCTGAGTTATTATCATCCCCTTATTCTTAATATCGGGGTGTTTTAAATCTGTCTTCGGCCAAATTGTTTAATTCGGTTTTATTCAGTTTTAAATTTTGTATTTATGTGTTTTTATCCTGTGGCTGTTCACCGCCCTGAGTCCTTCGTGAGTAGGGCGGTATACAAATCAAATGAACTAAACTAAACTAAACTAAATTTAAGAGCCATGGTGGCACAGTGATTAGAATGCAGAACTGCAAGCTACTTCTTCTGACTGCCAGCTGTCGGCAGTTCGATTCTCACTGGCTCAAGGTTGACTCAATCTTCCATCCTTCTGAGGTCGGTAAAATGAGAACCTAGATTGTTGGGGGGCAATATACTGACTCTGTAAAGCAGTTTGGGCTGTAAAGCACTGTGTAAAGCGGTATATAAGTCTAAGTGCTATTGCTATTAAGAGGGCACGATGGCTCAGCAGTTAAATACGCTGATCTTGTCAGCTGGAAAGACCTGAGTGCCATGAGATGGAGGGAGCTCCTGTTACTTGCCCCAGCTCCTGCCCACGTAGCAGTTTAAAAGCATGCAAATGCAAGTATATAAATAGGTGTTGTGACTCTGACCTCCGAGCCTGTTTTATCGGAGGGAGAAGGCTCCGAAAGTGAAGGAGAGGAGTTGGCCAGGCCTCCCTCTCCAGGACCCTCCTCTCTGGCAATGCCTCAGGTGTCTCCCGAAGGAGAAGAGATTGGCCAGGAGCCAGGTATCTCCGAACAGTCGCAGTCAGACAGTGATGGAGATAAGTCTTGGCTGGATCCACGCCAGCGTCGGAGAGACAAGCGCACGCAGCAGAAAAGGAGGCGTGCCAGAGATTAAGCTGAGTCACTGGACCACACCCCACAAGGGATAAAAGGAGGTGTGGTGGCCATTCAGGCTCTGATGGACAAAACTAAACAACTAGCGAGTCGCATTGTATCTCTGAAACTATGTTATCTGCCTGCCTTGGATTTAATACGGACTGGACTTGACAATTCTGTGGCTTTGTGTATTTGTTTTGGTTTATCTGACAGAGGAGGAACACCTCCCTCTGTGAGTAAAGTTCTTGGCAAGCAGCTACTGGGTTGCTGCCAATCCTGTTATCAAAGGAATTTATTGTCTGCAAGTTTTATTTAACTCCTGGCTGACTGTTTGTGTGCGTGTGTGAGATGGGGACAGAACAATAGATACCACTTCGATGGGAAGGTAACAGCATTTTATGCATCTTGGCATTTAGACATGCTGGCCACATGACCACCAAAATGTCTTCAGACCATGCTGGCGCCCTCAGCAAAGAAATGGAGATGAGCAGCACCTCCTAGAGTCTAACATGACTGGACAAGGGAAACCTTTACCTTTACTTTATAAAAATGTAGCATTTTTTAATTTTAAAAAATCCAACCCCTAGGTCTATTATTTCAAAACACTTTGTAATAATGGGAGCAGAAGCATTGAATCAAAATGGGAAATTTGCTTTGACCAATTAATACAATAGTTTTAATAGTTTATTAAAAACTGTTCATCATTTCCTAACTATATTTTATTATATTATAGTCATTTGTTATTTTCTCAAATTCTGTTTTTTAGGTTTAAGCTTTTTTTGTTCATTTTAATTAAAAAAAAACTATTCCAAAGCAGATGGTAAAATAAGCTGGGCTTCACTCATTGGGACATTTTAATGTTTCATTATTTTATTTTATACATGTTGTTAAAATTTTTATTTTCTTGTTTCAACCTTAATTTTAGAGATTATTAATGAGCTTTTCCAGTGATTTTTCTACCTTTTTGTATGTTTGCGTGTGGGTGCGCATGCACGCACACAAACACACATGTGAATTTGCTGATCGCTCTAAGCAATTAAATAACTTTTTTCCTTTGAACCTCTCCACCAGAAGATCAGCTGGTAGTAAAAATCTCTTGACATTTTTGATGTAGCAACTCCACTCTGCAAAAGAGAGATATAGTATAACAGAACACATAATAGGCTCTTAAGGATCTAAAGCAAAGCAAAGGAGATTCAAAAGTCTTTAATGTGACCAGCTATTAGTACTTGATGGGGAGGAAAATGACATATACGGATTATTTCCCACTTCTAATTGAGTTCCCTAAATAGAAGCATTTTTAATATGTAGCTCTTAAATATGTTTCCTTTATATTGATTTTCCCTTCACACTGAAATGGTTTTTTTTAAATGAAGCTGAAGAAGATTTAAAATATAATACATTGGGACCAGATAGACAAGATGAAATAAAGAAATATTATTACAGTAATTTGAGACATCAAATCTAAAAGCCGAAAAGAGTTTGTATAATACAAACTTCCTACTGTTTTCCCCCCCAAAGAATGACTGACTTAATTTTAATACAAAGGTATCATGAAGTAGCATACACTTTGATGCAAGCTGTGAATAAAGTACATAGGACCCCCTCTATCATCAGTTTTGGAAATCAGGGAGTAAAAGTGCAGATATTGCATAGCTGTGTGTTTTACTAGCCTAATACTGGCTTGCCTTTATATATACATTTTGCTTTATAGCCTGCCCATCTGGAACTTACAAGCCTGAAGGATCACCAGGTGGGATCAGCACCTGCACCTCGTGTCCTGATGAGAATCACACTTCTCCACCAGGAAGTACTTCTATGGAGGACTGTATATGCAAGGAAGGGTATCGTCCTAGAGGTAAATCGTGTGAAGGTAAGCTACTTCTTAAAGAAACAGCTCAGTTAAAAATTTAACATCACGAGCAATATTTCCTGCTTGAATTTGTCCACTGGGAAATCAGTATGTATTTCCATGAAATCTATAAAGTTATATTTTCCTTCGTGTCAGAAGTACATGTGGCAAACCACAGTAACACAATAATGACACATATGTGATGATGTTATCACAGAAATGCCCTCTTGCTTCTGGATATCTGGTCCAAGGATGTACATCACATCATTTATAGGAGGATTTCCTCAAGTGTATTGATTGCCAATTTGCATCTCCCTTGTCCTTTGCAGATGTTCATGATTTCCAATGCACATGGCTATACATTGTACAGAAGGAGTGGATAAAAATTATGTTAGGCAGTTTTCTTTCATTTGTTACATTATTTTTAAGATACTTTCAGGGTCTTTCCAAAAACTTCAAGATTTTTAGGCACACACTTCAATTGCCCTTTGAAACAGAAAAAGACATTGATGAAATAGAATAATTTATTGATTACAAAATCACATACGCAATCAATGAATATTGATTTAAAAATAGTGCAAACATTTTTTTTCCAACTTTTGTTTTCTATAATCAGTTTAGGAATAGCATGAAGGACAATAAAGTTATAGTCTTTAGGTTAAGTGAATACTGTATCTTAAAGAAGATATTTCTTTAATATCTGGGAGAAAACCCTGTTGAACTCACTGTGGTTCTGAAGTTCTGAATAAAATAGAAATGTGTTGTGAATTACTTCCTTACTGTTGTGTATTCTAATTAGTGGTCCACTGCCCTGAGCTGCACCCTCCAGAAAATGGTTATTTTATCCAGAATGTCTGCAACAATTACTTCAATGCTGCTTGTGGAATTCGATGTAAAACAGGATTTGATCTTGTTGGAAGTAGCATACGACTTTGCCAGCCAAATGGTGCCTGGTCTGGTTCAGAGACGACTTGCAGGGGTAGGAAATTTTATCTTGCCTCTCTGATGTTGGGTGGCTTTTTTTTAAAAAAATTCTAATTGGGAAGAAGATGCTGTTTTCTGTCTTATTTGCTTAATATGTCACTTCATTCATGCACGCAGATATAGAGCAGTGTTGGTAAACCTTTTTGGCACCGAGTGCCGAAATGGGAGTGCCCACGCGCAAGTGTGCCAGAAACCTGAAGAGCAGCTGCCCAGTGCACATGCACGTCCCGGGCAGCTGCTCTTCAGGTTTCTGGCATGCATGCGCGCACGAAGACCAGCTCGCTGGTACATATGCCCGCGAAGCCCAGCTGGCCGGCATGCATGCACGCGCCAGGAAGATGAACTTCTGGTTTCTGGTGCATGCAGAAAACAGAAGATCAGGTGGTCTGTAAGGCATGCGTGCACTGGAAACTGGAAGAGCAGCTACCCGGCGTGTGCATGCACACTGGGCGGCTCCTCATCTGGTTTCTGGTGCTCCCATACACGTGAAGACCACCTGGCCGGTGTGCCAGAACCCAGAGAAGCAACGGGTGACGGCTTGCGTGCCTGGAGAAATGGCTCTGCGTGCCACTTCTAGCATGTGTGCCATAGGTTCGCCATCAGGGATATAGAGTATTAAATATCAGTTTTCTATGTCATTAATCATATTTGGAATATTACTTTTTATGTGTATATTTTATGCATATGTTTGGATACAACTTTAAAGTTATATGAACATGTGACCAGGAATAAAAATTCAGCCATTTAATTCTGGATAGTTTAGGAAATATTTTATGCGATTGGTTATTTCTCCCAAAAGGACTGCTGCAGAGCAGGTGTGGGTTCTACTTACCTTTACTACTGGTTTGCAGCGGGGCCGTGCGTGCGCTCTTCTGTGCAAGCGTAGAAGCTTCTGCACATGCACAGAAGCATTTTCATGACGTTGGGGTCGGTGGGTGGAGCCTCCTGCCAGTTTTACTACCGGTTCTATAGAACCGGTGTGAACCGGGGACAACCCACCACTGCTGCAGAGGGAATTACCAAGCAGTTATCTTAACTTCACTAGAACTAGAATCAGCAAGTTAATCTACACTTTGTGTGGCCAGGGAAATATTGCACATCCATTTCCACATCTTTCTATATGTTTGAAGTGTGAAGAATTCTGGAAAACATTTTTTTGTGTATTTGTCCTCAGTGGCTTGCTTGCCTGTGCCCCCAACCTAATACTATTTTTTATATTGACCTCTGGGCAGGGAGATTGCCTACTATGATCTAAACGAGGAAGTGTTCGTTAATTTGTTAATTAATTAAGTTAGTTACTTGTTAATAACTTTTGACATAAGAATAAATAGGAGAATAAACATTAGGAAGTTGGAACAGTAGGAAATTGAAAATACTGCTTGCGCCAATAATCTTCCCCCCATCTAATACTTCTAAAATCTGAGTATATACAAAACATCAATCAACAAATGTAAGCAGTTGTCACAGTATGACTGGATGTGTCTTGAGCAGTACAAAGATAGCAATTGACATAGAAAACCCAAGTCAGTGAGGAGTTTTTATTCTTCTTTATCAATTATAGCAAAACTATTTTCAGAAGATATTTACAACAAGATCCCAGCTTCTACCCAGTGTTGGGTTTCTTCTTCAATCTGTCTCCCAGAGACCATTTTCCTCTAACTTTCTGCCTTCACTTCTCCCTCCTCCATTTCCAAGATTACCAAGAGAGAATAAAAGGAACAAGCGTGTTGGGTTTACCAATGAGTGTGCTCAGTGCTGCTCATCTCCTTTCCTTGGCTCCACCAAGCCAATCATTGTCTATGTTTTCCTTCGTTGGGGGGGGGGAGAGAAACACCTCTCTTGGAAGTCTTCTACCCAAAAACTTTCCCAGAAACTAGGGCTTCACCAAAGAGTATTACCCTCTATCCATACTAGCTGTCTCCCTCTCTCTGGTCTTGGGTCTTGATAAAGATGACCTTGCTAGGATTTTGCTTCTCTTTTTCCAGGGAAGCCATCCATTTATTTTTCTTCTCCCTCTCTGACCAGGAACCAATCCCTGCTTCACACTCACATTAACTCTGCTGTTCAATGCTCTACAAGCATTCCCTTCTACAATAGTCTTTATATTTCTCATATTTTTTCTCATTTCTCTCCTGTTTTTTTTCTCTTCTCCTCTGTCTCCATTTTTGGGTAGACTAGAAGTTATAGTCCTCAAAACCTATATATAAGGGTAGACCAATGGGAATGCTGACTGTCTCTACCCCACGACAGTGCTGGCTAGTAACCAGGTCAGTTCACTGGCCTTTGTGATAGTATACCTGGACCTCAAGGGTAGAATCGAGCTGCTTCTCCCTTTCTTCTCTCTGTTTGCTGACACACACCAGCACAACACAAGCCATGAAGAAACATCTGCTGCAACATACTTATTAAAAATGTCAACTTTGTGGAAATCATTGTCAATAATTACCATTGCAGAGTTTTTCTATACAGATAGTCCTCAACTTACAACAGTTCATTTAGTGACCATTCAAAGTTACAATGGCACTTTTAAAAAATACGGACTTATGACCGTTTTTCACAGTTACGAACTTTGCAGCATCCCCATGGTCATGTGATCCAATTTCAGACGCTTGGCAAGTGACTCATATTTATGGCTGTTGCTATGTCCCAGGGTCACACAATCCCCTTTTGCATCCTTCTGACCAGCAAAGTCATTGGGGAAGCCAGGTTCACTTAACAATCCGGTTACTAATTTTATCAATTGCATTGATTCACAACAACTGTGCCAAGAAAGTTTGTAAAATGGGGTTAAAGCTCACTTAACAAATGTCCCACTTAACAACAAAAATTTTGGGCTCAATTGTGGTCGTAAGTTGAGAACTACTTGTATTACTGCATTCTTCCTGTATTTACTTTAATGGGAGGATTTTCTCCCAAGCTCCTATGTTTAATTAGTTATTAAATACCATGTTTCCCCAAAAATAATACCCTGTCTTATATTTTTTTGAACCCTGAAATAAGCGCTTGGCCTTATTGCCATGTGCTCAAAAGCCCGATTGGGCTTATTATCAGGGGATGTCTTATTTTGGGGGAAACAGGGTAATAGGGATATCAATAAAACAGTGTTTCATATATCTGCAAGTAAATAAGTATACATAACTATTTAGAGGACATGTATATTAACATTATATTTTTAATAAATAATAATGGATTCAGACAATATTGCAGTCAGTGCAGACTTGGTCTACCTTACGTTTTTTGGTAATGCGTTTAAGTCAGTCTTGATTCCTAACAACTGCCTGGACTAGTCTCTGAGTTTCCTTGGCGACATTTTTGGAAATAGTTTGCCATTGCCTTCTTCCTGGGGCTGAGAGAAAGTGCCTGGTCCAAAGTCACCCAGCTGGCTTTATGTCTAAGACAGAATTTGCAACCTCCTGGTTTCTAGCCCAATGCTTTTAACCACTATTCCAAACCTTACCTTACTTTCTGAAATTTATATGATATTGCAAACATAAGCTACTCTGATGTTTACATTCCATAGTGTAGTTCAATTGAAACCTAGTAAGTATAGCACTAATACCAGTATATAATGTCACAGGGGCCATATGTCAAGATAGTTAGAAATCTCATCCCCATCCCATCCCCAAAGAGCCAAGCCATCATGGCTTTTTGGAATCCTCTAGCAAGGTTAGAACTATTGTGATATCTTAGGATATGCTGTTCTGGATGGGGAAGGGCTGGAGCAGAGAAAGTCCCTTCCTGTAGTTCCCTGATGACAGTGTTCCTTTAAAATCAGTCCCTGTGGCAAGCCTTCCCTTCCAGATTTTATCAGGCAAATGGATTCAGTTCAGTTATGTAGCTACCCAAGTGTATCCATTAAATTGCTTTCTCTTCATTATTTCTATAGAAATTGTGTTTTCTTCTCATTTGTTGTTTAAGTTAATGGAAATAAGTTGGTAAAAGATTTCATATGTTTTGGCCTTAACAGCTAGTGTCTAATGCTCTTGCTTCTTTATTCCATTAATTTCCTTGGAAGAATCTGAAACATAACGGTTTTATCCTCTCTGATCTTGGTTTTCCAGCAGTATGTATAGTTTTACACTATACTGTTTTACTGTTATTCTCAACTTTAAAATGTGGCTCTTCTCCACCTATATATTAATATAACATGTTTTGATCAAATGGGAAATCAAAGGAATAGTTTATGGACCATCACATTAATCCCAACAAAAGCCTTTCTCCCAGATTTTGATCACATACGTCATGAAAGGAAACAGAAAAATATGAATTTCTTCAGGCAGTATTAGACTGTGTTGTTGAATTTGTATAGTTTCATTTTGTTTGCTGTTTTAGCAAAATATGGCACACGTATGTCACTAAGCACTACTTAGCACATAGCTAAAGAACACAGAACAAAGGCCAGGCAAAACTGTGACAAAGAATTTAGCAACCTGTCATTGTTCTCCCACATGCATATACTCACTTGTGGAGATACTTCAGAAAAGATGCTTTGTAGAACATGGGCGCATGATACACTGCTTTTTGAAGCTTTAAAGCATCTATGTGTTTTCTCAGGCTCCTGCAGTTGTTCAGAGCCATCCCTGTATACTCAAAGTGAAATGGCTGTGTGTGCTGTGCGGTCTCTGTTGCACTAAAAAATTATACAGCATCATCTTACATCACGTTTTTTTCTTAAATCCTGATTTCTGAAACCCCTTATTCCTATGAAAAACCTCCATTCTGTTTTGAAGTAATAGTGAAAAAAATTACTTCTGTTAAGTAGTCAATGATGAGTGTTTTCCCAGAATATTTTTTTTTTTTTTAATATTTGGAAGTATTTCAGGACATTCTTCAGCCATTTGGGAGTGGGGAATAAACTCCAGTGATGCTTTAAGCAGACATTCTTGTGCCGAGGTTTGGCTTGTTGCTCCTTATTTATGCATTTATTTTACTGGAAGTGACCAACATTTTCACTTTCACTTGAACAAGGTCTCCCTATGGGGAGGAATTTTCTTATCTTGGATGCTGCTTATGTTCCTTGCACTATGTGGCTTCTTTTTTTTTTTTATGTATCTTGGTTTCTAAACTCTTGGGTTGTTTTTTTAAAGGAAACTTGAAGTTTGCTTTTTATGACATTTCTTGGAAATAGGGTCTCTACTTGGAAAAGACAACAAACAGGTTTTGATCTGTCTTCCTTCATTTCAGAATTAAAAGATGCCTCTTTCAAAAGTTTACGAAGGAACATTTGCCACAAATTTATGAGACAAAAGTCACTTTAATGCACTATTTTTATCATTTCCCCAAAGAATGAAGTGCCTAGTATTGTAGAAGTAAGGCTAATTTTAAAAAAAATCTCAAGATTCAAAGATGTGTTTTAAAATTACAAGAAAACAAAGGTGAAAGAACATAGCAGAGCTAGAGAGAGAGAAAATAGAAAGGATGTGAGTAAAAGTAGCAAAAGAGATTAGATATTTAAAAAATGTTCCAGTATAGATGGAGATACCTTGTTTCCCCCAAAATAAGACATCCCCTGATAATAAGCCAATTTTGAGCGCATGGCAATAAGGCCAAGCGCTTATTTCAGGGTTCAAAAAAAAATAAGACAGAGTCTTATTTTCGGGGAAACACGGTAGTTAAAAAGAAAAAGTAATGGGGGCGGGGAGGAAGTGAAGGTTTGTTCTCACTGTCCAGGTTCTAGGATCTTAGGTGTGAGAATAATACTCCAAGGTAAGATACTTGTCCTGCCTGACAGTCTGATATTCCTAGGATAATATATAGCTATAGTTCTCTATTGCAGTTGTTACCCTGTGAATATCTCCCAAGATTGGAGTTGAAGATATAATATTCCAATCTTCACTCTAAATCTGTTGCATATAGTTCAATTGAAGTGTGTGTGTATTTACCAAAAAGATGGACATGATATGTATATCTTACTCAGCTTACTTTTAGAATCTGTTACTTACTCTTGCTAAAAATGCTTACACATGTATTTTAACCTCTGCAGTTCGCACATGCCCCAAACTCTCAACCCCTCAAAATGGCCATATTAATTGCTCATTAAGTGAGATCTCTTATAAGACTGTGTGCTTATTCACTTGCAACGAAGGCTACGAACTGGAAGGCCACACCAAACTTACCTGCCAAGGCAACTCTCAGTGGGATGGGAAGGAACCAAAATGTGTTGGTATGTTTCAAATGCACAATATACATCTTTTGTTCCCTTTATTTTGTAACAAAGTTTGTTTGGTTGCTGTCTCTAAATAATTTACCATACAGCCTTCAGCAGACTTCCTTTATGTCCTTCCACAATCACTTTTTAAAAATGTATTACATAGGGTACATGTTGGTATAAGAAAGCTGTGGATGCTTGTTATATTGTACAAGTCAGAAGAAAAATTTCTTGATTTTTTTTTCCAGAGAGGAACTTTCCAAACATAATTGCTGATTATTGTATGTTATAAAAAACATAAAAATTATAACAAATTAGAATAAGTGGTTATATTGATTTTCTCTTATACTTCATATGCAACATTTACTCCAGCTCCCCATCGCCCCGTGCACTCACATAGAGAGGGCCTACTTGGGGTCCCGTCGGCCAAACAATGTCGGCTGATGGCCCCTAGGGAACGAGCCTTCTCTGTGGGCGCACCTACCCTCTGGAACCAGCTCCCCTTGGAACTCCGGGTAGCCCCCGACCTTCGTTTCTTCCGCCATGACCTTAAAACATGGCTGTTTCGCCAAGCTGGCCTGGACTGAATGGGGTTTTAATGGGAATTTTAGTTTTTACTGTTGAATTTTAATTGGACTTGTTGTTTATTGTTGTGAGCCACCCTGAGTCCTTGTGGGAGAAAGGGCGGCATATAAGTCCGATAATAAATAAATAAAAGATAATAAATAAATACTCAAGTTTTGATGTAAATATTTGCATTTGTAAGGGGACACAATGGTGATGCTAGCTTGTCAACTGGAAAGCTGACAGCCTGGGTTTGAGACACGAGTATTGCATGACAGGGTGAGCTCCCGTTATTTGCCCCAGTCTTGCTCACCTAGCAGTCAGAAAGCATGCAAATGTGAGTAGATAAATAGGTACCACTTTGGTGGGTAGGTTCTTTGCACCTCAGCATATAGTTTTGCTGGCCACAGACAATGCTGAACTGAGATAAGCACCACCCCCTAGAGTCAGAGATGACTAAACGGGGGAAATCTTTACCTATTTGCATTTGTATACTGTATGAAATGTGTTTTCCATTTGTGCATGTTGACAGTAATGTACTTCCTTTTTCTAGAGTTGCACTGTCCTGCCTTCCTAAAACCAAAAGGTGTTATTGTTCACCCTTATATTTGTGGGCTTGAACAATCAAAATATGGAACTGTGTGCAGGCTCAGTTGTCCAAATGGATTCCTTTTGTCTGGTGTAACAGAAGACCTGAGGTGTTTACACACTGGAAAATGGAGTGAAAATGTGCAGATAGCTGTTTGTAAAGGTATGGATTTTGATAATAATTTGATCTCATTAAAAAGAGGAGAGTTTTTTAAATGTTTTGGAGAAAGATATAGTAAATAATGTCAAGATTAGAGAAACCATGATTGAGATAATTAGCAATAATATTACCAATAAAAAATATCTGTCTTCGTGTACATGTTAAAGGAATGGAAGATATGGAAACAGTTTAAACATTTCATAACCTACATTTTGGTTCTTATTTCAGATACCTTTGTTTTTATTATGCTTGTGGTTTGAAATAAACTTAAATTGTTATTTGAGGGAGAGAAAACTAAACTGGATAGAGCCAGAGATATAATAGAAGTAAAGCTTCATCAGTACACAGTATAAATATTGGCCTGAAATTATACGTTTGTAGTAGCACTGTTTATTTCAGCTAAAAGCCACACAAATTTATGAGAGCAACATCCGGCATGTAACAGAAATGATGTTTTTCAATGCCTCAGTTACAGGATGAATGAAGTGAAATTCCTCCTTCCCTTTTTAGCCTTGGCTGTGGTAAAATGATACATTTGTAGTAGAGTTAATCCTAGACATCATTACTCTTTTGGCTCATTTAAAATAGCATTTGATGGGTATTAAGACAAAATCACAATTAAGTTTGAATGTATTAACTTCTGTGATGAATGTGGCCTTGCAGAATTGCAGAGAAATTTAATACAGGTGTTATATATTACTTAAAATCCACACTAGTGGACTAATTAATGGTCTTACTTCGCTTAAGGCAGTTATATATATTCTCTAGACCACGGGTGTTGAAACTCACGGCATCACGTTGCCATCACGTGGTATTTCACGACTTTCTAGACCTTATCTATTCTGCACAAGTCTTTATTACCAGGCTCAAGGTTGACTCAGCCTTCCATCCTTCCGGGGTCAGATAAATGAGGAGCCAGATTATTGGGGGCAATATACTGACTCTGTAAATCGCTTAGAGAGGGCTGTAAAACACTATGAAGTGGTATCTAAGTCTAAATGCTATGCTGTTACCCAGTGCTTCATTGACATGTGGAATGTTGCTACCTATTTCGTTTGCCCAGTTTCTTGAGCCTTTTAGAGAGGTGATTTTCAGCCTTGGCAACTGTAAGATGTGTGGACTTCAACTCGCAGAATTTTCCAATCAGCATTTGAAGTCCTCACATCTTAAAAGTTACCCAATATAAAAAAAAACCCACTGTTTTAGAGCATGATACATTCTTACATACTATATCAGTTCTTCATAGCTCTCTGGTTGATCGACACTTTTTTGCTTCAATTTCTTCCTGACATTCCCCTATATGACTAGAGAATTTAATTGGTGGCGCAGTGGCTAGTATGCAGTATTGCAGGCTAATTCTCCCCACTGCCAGGAGTTTGATCCTGACCGGCTCAAGGTTGACTCAGCCTTCCATCCTTCCAAAGTTGGTAAAATGAGGAGCCAGATTGTTCGGGGCAATATGCTGACTGTAAATCTCTTAGAGAGGGGCTGTAAAGCACTACGAAGTGGTATATAAATCTAAATTAGCTAATTCTATCCTAACCCTGGGTTCCTTTGGCATTAACTTTATTTTGTACAGTCTTTCGTCAGTATTCTGGGCTTCCTGTCCTTTATAGCAGTGGTCTCCAACCTTTCTGGCACCAGGGACTGGATTCATGGAAGACAATTTTTCCACAGATGGGGAGGGAAGGTTTCACACACGACCTAGATAGATCATGTGCACACATAAATGAAACTTTGCTCATTCGCCTGCCACTTACATGGCCCAATTCCTAACTGGCCATGGCTGGTACTGGTTCGCAGCCTGGGGATTGGGGAACCCTGCTTTATAGTACATTCTCAACTCTCAGAATCTCTTTCCATTTCTTTTATCATTTCATATTTGGGTTAAACAGCATCCATTTTAAACAGACAATCTGAATTAGACAAATGTTCCTTGGACAATTTAAGAAAGAAGGAAAATCAAATAAGTTAAGCCATTTCATATCAACATTTTTCTTTTTTTGCCACAAGCATAATGCAGTGTAAATTAAATTGATTTTTTTTTCTTTTTTGACTAGAAAGATTATGAATTCTGCTACATATTTGATCATATGTGTATTGTGATACAATTGGATTTTGGATCAATAACATGAGCTGTATGAATTATGTGATTACCGTATGTTCTTGCCTAATAGAAATGGAAATCATTGATATAATAATTGCAAAATTTAAAAAATCTGAGTGCCAGAAATTGTTTAATGGCTGATAATATTGTTGATGTATTTTAAAATTTAAAAAAGTAATCCCAAGCAAAATCCAGTTATTTCTAATTACTATAAGGTAATCTTACATCTTTAAACATAAAATGCTTATACCTATTTCTGCAGATATCTTAGATCGGGTCAGCAACCTTAAACCCTCAATGAGCCACAAAAGTCCTAATCAGAAGTCCCCATTCAATTCTGGAGCCTGACCAGAAGTCCGGTTCCCCCATCATAAAGTCTCCTCTTAGTGTGGTGTCCTTTTTCCTCCCCCTATCCTAACCAAAAGCCCTATCAATTGTGGAGCCGACAGGAAAACCCTCCCCTTGCCATAGAGTCTCCTCCTGGCACGCCATACTTCCCCCCTCCCTAACTGGAAGCTCCTCTCAAAATTGTGGCGCTGACCAGCGACAGGGAGCCGCAGCAGAGAGATGAAAGAGCCACATGCAGCTCCAGAGCCGCAGGTTGTTGACCCCTGTCTTAGATCATACGATTTATTTATTTATTTATTTATTTATTTATTTATTTATTTATTTATTTATTTATTTATTTATTTATTGTAGAACATTTATATAGCTGCCTACTCACCCACAGTGTCTCTAGGCAGATACATTGTTTGTCATGTAATTGATCATTTATGAACAATTTTTGCTTGTAGATGTAATTCTCGCTTCTGTAAGCAGACAAAATGTTATTGACATACCGGTATGATTAAAAACAGTACAAGGACTGCTCTTACATTAAAATAAAAAATAATGGATCTGAATTACAAAAATCTCTGTTCAGGTTATGAATAATTAGCTCAGTATAATATGTGTAGAATTTTACAATTCATTTCAATGTCTTTCAATAGATCATTGAAAATGCTTTTAAATGCAGATGCTCAAATTTGTCTTATGTATTGTATGCAGACGTTGAACCTCCACAAATTAGCTGTCCAAATGATATTGAAACATCAACTCTGGAAAACCAGAATTCAGCAAATATTAGCTGGCAGATTCCAGATGCAGTTGATAATTCTAGAGACGAGGTAAGCAAACATTAGAATGCAAACTATGTTTTGCATCAGCGTGTATGTTAGTCATTATTGAAATAACATAAATAAACTTTGCACTTTCATAAATTACTACATTAATTGCAAATGATGATGAAGATGATTAAGCCAACAATTTTCTTTTTTGCTCTTGATTTGAGTCATTTGTGAATTGTATAGTTCATCAGTACAGGAGGATAATGACAGAAGAAGAGAATTTTTAAATTTTTTTTGTTGAAAAGTGTTTCTTTTATGTTTGTGGCTAAATAAAATAGCTGCATGGATTTGCTTCACCAATCTAGATGGATTTTTTTCATCAGGGCAAGTAGTCTGCCTTCATCCTTCTTAAATGCAAGTTGTATGTATTTTATGTAGCATTCAAATTGCTTTTTAATCAGTATATGCTACAATATTTCATGAAGTATGGCAACATTGTCGCCAAACATCATCTTTGAATTAAGGAGGAGCTGAAAGCATTTGCAAGGATGTCCCAAAGGTGCTTTTTCAGGAGGCAACTGCTTCTCATCCAAGAAGCTTCTTCAGCTCTGACAGGATATTGAGATTAGGGTTAGGATCAGTGGTGGGTTTCAAAAAAATTTACTACTGGTTCTGTGGGTGTGGCTTGGTGGGTGTGGCAGGGGAAGGATACTGTAAAATCCCCATTTCCTCCTGATCAGCTGGAACTCTGGAGACAGAGAATAGATGGGGGCGGGGCCAGTCAGAATTTTTACTACCAGTTCTCTGAACTACTCAAAATTTCCGCTACCTGTTCTCCAGAACTGGTCAGAACCTGCTGAAACCCACCTCTGGTTAGGATCAAGAACCAGATCACTAGTTCTTGATACTTAAGTTGAGTTTTTGCTAAGAATTTACTGCAATATTTCATTTACCTTTACTAAAACTGATCCTGTTACAGGTGTTAGTTCAGGTTACTCCAGCCTTTATACCACCCTACCTTTTCCCAATTGGAGAAGTTGACATTACATATACAGCAACTGACAGAGCTGGCAATGAGGCAAGCTGCTCTTTCAAGATCAAAGTGATTGGTGAGTGCTATTGAAATTTTTTTTTTCTTTTTGATTTGAAAATATATATATATATACCTTAGTATCTTAGATTAGATTTGCTGGCCAGCACCCACCCCACCCCAGCACTAAGTGGTCATACGTATACCTGAAAACAGCTCAGTCTTGCATTTTGTTACATCTGTAAGGAAATCAAATTCCAGATTTTTAAGCATCCTGTCAGTATGCAAAACCACCTTGGGTTGAAAGCTGTTATTAATATACTCATGCAAAATTATTTTCCCTTTTAAGAGCAAAGAAGCTAAAAATCTCTCTTTAGAAAGAGTCTTTAAATTGATTCAAAAACAGCAGCCAATTAAATAATGTAATGCTGATCGTCTTTCAATTGAATTAGTTAACCGTTTAAAAAAAAATCCGGGTGTATTTCTTACTTTAAGAACCTCTAGGTTTCATATAAATAAGCCCTGACTTTAGAATTGCCGTAGGAGCTTTGCATATTATATTATGTGCATATTTTACAAGAAGTCCTCGACTTAACAACTATTCATTTACCAACCGTTTGAAATTATAACAGCACTGAAAAAAGTTGACTTATGATCATGTGAGCATGGGGTCAAATTTTAGCCGTTTGGCAACTATCATGTATTTATGACAATGCAGCATCCTGAGGTTATATGATTGTCATTTGCAGTTTCCCAGCTGGTTTCTGACAAGCAAAATCAATGGGGAAGCTGGATTCACTGAATAGCCACATACAGGTAGTCCTTGACTTACAACAGTTCATTTAGTGACCGTTCAGATTTACAATGGCACTGAAGAAAGTGAATTATGACCATTTTTCACAGTTGCAAGCTTTGTAGTATCCCCGTAGTCATGTGATTTACATTCGGATGCTTGACAACTGGTTCATATTTATGACAGTTGCAGTGTCTTGGGGTCGTGATCCCATTTTGTGGCCATCTGACATGCAAAGTCAATGGGAAAGCCGGATTCACTTAACAACGGTGTTACTAATTTAACAACTGCAGTGATTCACTTAACAAATATGGCCAAAAAAGTCATAAAATGGGGCAAAACTCACTTAACAGATTTCTCACTTAGCAACATAAATTTTGGGTTCAGTTGTGGTTGTAAATTGAGGACTACCTGTAGTTCACTTAACAATGGCAGTGATTTGCTTAGCAACTGTGGTGAAAGAGATCGTAAAATTCAGGTGTGACTCACTTAATAACTGCCTTGCTTAAGAAATTCTGGTCCCGCTTGTCGTCATAAGTCAAGGATTACCTCTGTTATATTCTTGGACCATGAGGAAGGTTAACAATAATAGACAGGTCTGCCTTGGGCATAAGGTCAAAATTTGCATTTTGATAAAGCAACGATGGATAACTTTTTGGTTATCCCCCCCCCCCACACACACACACAGACACATTTAGAAATTTGATGAACTTTAATGGTTAAAAAGATTGTGTTGAATCAAATGCTGGACTTGCACATGAAAGTGTAAAATAGCACTTTCATTATATTGGTGCTTACACTATTGTCTCAAAATGGCAAGAAATCCTACTGCTGACTTTCTACAGTTTTTGTTGACTTTCCAGTTCCCAGAGTCACTCTTGAGTCTGGGGGTTCTTTTGTGCCTCAGATTTTTTATTCTTTATAACAGATATTTAATACATGTTTCTTTTGCTATTCTAAAGATATCATAAACATATTTCTGCTTTTCAGTTTACATTTTTATCATCCATTTTATATTTGTTTAAGCCCCACGCTCCTGCAGTTCTCAGTTCTCTTTTGTTTAGGGTAAAGCACAGTTATGTCTTATTTTGTAAGATTTTATGAATAAGTCCTTTAAGATAATAGTGGGACATCTATGGGCTGTTGAACCTCCTGGCCATGTTTTATCTGCACTACAGCTCCATAATTGCATACTATTAAAGCACTATTCTGATTCTTATCAGGTAAATAGAATTATTGAATACATATGTCTGAAGTTAAAAGCTTGCCCTCTGCAAACATGTACTATCCATTAACTTCATGGAGCTTCTTTCCAGGGTACATATGCTTAAGATCAACTGTGGCCTGCACAGTGTCTGATGGTTGAAGGCTTGTGGAGAACAGATAAATATCTTGCTATGCTGGAAGCTGCATAGCAAGCTCTTTAAATATTTTAACACAGTCTTAAGCATGATCTAAATATCCATGCTGGATACTGATATGAAAATGTTTATGTTTCACTCAAGTCTAAAAGGAGAAACTTGTATGGAAAATCAATTTGATCCTTTTTTCCTTCCTTCCTTCCTTTCTGTGATTCAATGTTCTTTATAACTTCAAATATTCAGACATTGAAGCCCCAGTAATTGATGAATGTAGATCTCCACTACCGATTCAGATCACTGAGAAGGAGCACAAAGTAACGTGGGATGAGCCACAATTTTCAGACAATTCAGGTGAGTGTCTCTTTTTTTCATAGGTTTGGGTTTTTTTCTACCTATTTTGTGCATTGTTTTGGATTTCATTTGGATGAATTTTGACAATCAGTTTGAAGTGTTCCTGTAGGAAATGACTATCATCTCAGGATGAAGCTAAGAAATTGCATCTTTCTTTAATTTGTATCCTAACTAGCATGAATTAAAATAGAAAATTCAGGATATTTTAAGTACAAATGTTTAAAGTGCATTAATATTTGAAACACATTAAAGGATTGCCAGATAACACTAATAAAGAACAATGAATTTTTCCATTACTTTACTATTTAGAGGAAGGTTTTAATCCATATTTAATATTTTTCTTACAAAACTCGATCATTTATTACGGTATGTTCCGCAAAATGCAATAGAAGAGTAGAACAAGTTGTTCCATTCATTGTATTATCCCGGTAAATAAAAAGAATTTGAGGACTGATTAAATCATATATATATATATATATTTAATTTGATTTATATGCCGCCCTTCTCCGGAGACTCAGGGCGGCTTACAATGCGCTAAGCAATAGCCTTCATACTTTTTGTATATTTATACAAAGTCAGCTTATTGCCCCCACAAACTGGGTCCTCAATTTACCTACCTTAGAAAGGATGGAAGGCTGAGTCAACCTTGAGCCTGGTGAGATTCGAACTTACAGTAATTGCAGACAGCTGGTGTTAATCACAATGCTTTCAATCTGCTGAGCCACCAGGCCCCTTATTATATTAAAGCTGAGATATACAAAGGCATTAATGCCTAATAGAATGAATTTTATAAAATCAAACTACAGTCTGTAAATTATATTTCAGATACTTTAAGGCTCAGAACCATTATTTGGGGTTCCAGGTTATAAATGTGAAGCATGTAGCTTTGAAGAATATTGGAAATGAAATTACCTCTGGTTTCCTCTTTGTTTCTGACTACTTCAGGATCTGCCTTAATAATAACTAAAACTCACTCACCTGGAGATATCTTTCCCAAAGGAGAAACACTGGTTCGGTATACAGCCACTGACTTAGCTGGAAATAACAGGACCTGTGAGATTAACATTGTCATAAGAGGTTTGTTTTTGTAGTGCTTATACTTGAAATTATTTGTACTATTGAAGAGCTCTAAAGAACATTCCTCCTGTGAATTCTGATTTTGGAACTTCAAATTTTACAACGTTACATCCAGAGAATCCAGTTAATTTACAGTTCTCCATTACACTGGCTTTATTCTTTTTTTAAAGAAAACTTGCTTTTATGCAGAGTATTCTGTACATATAATACAACAGATTTTAGATTTTGTTTAAAAAGTCAGTTGTAATGTCAGCATATGTGCAAACTGAGCAAGAATTTTGTTTTGTTTTTTAATGGAGCGACTTATAAATGAGACAAACTGGGAAAATACACTCACCCCTAGTACGCCATAGGTTCACTATGCATCAGGAAGAGGAATCATGCAAACTTTAATCTAAAAATCTTATTTTTCAGGTTCTCCTTGTGAAATTCCCTTTACTCCACTGAATGGTGATTTTAAATGCACTGAAAATGAGTCAGGAGTTAATTGCACATTATTTTGCATGGAGGGATATGATTTCACAACAGGTTCCAATGAAAATTACTACTGTGCCTATGCAGATGGTATCTGGAATCCTCCTTACTCCAATCAGTGGCCTGACTGTTCTTGTAAGGTTTATCTATTCTTCTTTCTTAAAGACTTAATTTTATACAGAGTATTCTGTACATAAAACATTCAAATGTTTTTCAATTGACTGATATGTTTTGTCCTCCTAGTAGTTAAGTAATGTTCTGACCTAGGCTTCCTTAGACAGAATACAGTACAAACTTAGTCCCAGCAAACCTCTTTAAGTCAGACGTCTCTGAATTATTGTCATTCCCAGTCAAAAGGCTTATCAAACAGTCTTGCAGGGGAGTGTTTACAAACACTCCCCTTATGTCCCTTGGAATGCTGCCAGTGAACTAATTGCAGGGCAAGGCCAAACTTAGCACAGAGTCAAAAGGAACTTTTCCACAGCTTTTACCAACCAGATGAACTAATTGCTTCCTGCAAAAGCTCACGTCCCGTTCGCTTCTTTTTTATGTCTAATGGGAGGGGCCAATCATCTCCAAGCCTTACTCTCAAGTCGACCCTGTTTTCTTAATTGTTCCTATCTCCTGGCAGCTCTGTGCATGCACACACTGGGAACAGGCTCACATTGTTCTTCTGCCTCGCTGATGTCAGACTCAGGAGATTCCAGCGGCAGCAAAGAACTACCAGATGGTCTTGGCCCCCTCTCTGCCTCCGACACAGAGCCATCATCCGAGCCTTCCCCAGACTCCAGGACTGGCCCACGTTCCTCCCCAACCTCCTCACTATCCGAATCTGCTGCCAACTCTGCTGGCCGCTGGCGGGCCGCAACAAGTAATGAGAACTAAAAAAAATATAATCCAACTAATAAGAGTTGGGTCATACACACACATACACAAAAATAGCCAGCTTTACACCATAGCCCTATTTCTGTCCACACTGTTACCTGTTTGGTCATTATTACAATCATTATGCACCCATCCATTACCCAATTGTGTGTTGGTGATTCACATCTGCCTGTAACATGTCTCTATATTTGAATGTTTGAGTGATCTCAGAAATCATTATTTTGCTGGGAGGTAGGGAGATGCCAATGACCCTAAACTTTAGTTTGGGACCTAAGTTGCTTTTCTTTCTTGAGTCTTTGTTAGGTGTTGTGTTACAACTTCAAGAAAACCAAGTGGACATTTTAATTCTTTCCCAAAAGTGAATGGCATTAATTGAGGGCATTTGTTTTAATGACACTTAGTTCTAAATTAACCTGGTTTATGGTGCTAGTTCCTGAGATGAAATTATTTCTATTTGAATAACCACCTTGGGGCTGTTATTAAATGGAGATAAAGGGGATTCTCCCATCCCTAGAACCATTCTTTCTCTTTCTTACCAACATCTCTAGAAACAGGTCCAGGAATAAATCTGAATCTTTAACTATAAAGCAAATATTAAAAAGTCCACTAATCAGATAGAAAAATAGATATTTTGCTACATAACTTATTTATTTTGGGGAGAAAAGTCATATTGACTTGGATACATTTTTAAAAGCAACACATATTTTGCCACTTCAGTACACTTAGGATTTCATTGTATGATATATGATATGATATGATATGATTGATATGATACGATATGATACGATATGGATAGTCCTCATTTGGCAATGAAAGTTGAGACTGGTGACTCGGTTGGTAAGCAAAGCGGTCACTAAGTGAAACTGCAACTATGCTTATGTTCTTACTTTGTTTGCTTTACAGATTCACAAAAGGTTATAATTACAAGGATTGGTTTTAAAATTACTTTTTCATCATCATAACTGAATAGTCACTAAAGGAAGCAGTCAATAAACAAGGACTACCTATGTTGTATCATACATATATATATATATATATATATATATATATATATATATATAAATATAAATATAAATATAAATATAAATATAAATATAAATATAAATATATATAAATAATCTGGTACCTACTAGCTTTCACATTAACATAATGTTTAACACTTTAACATAATTTAGTACAATTCCGCCTGTACATTTTAGTAACAATATGCTAATAATCATATAATGTTTTTCAGTGAATCGTTTGGCAAATCACGGTTTTAAATCCTTTGAAATGTTGTATAAAGCAACACGATGTGATGACAATAATCTGCTTAAAAATTTTGTGGAAGTTTTTCAAAGTGCACTTGGTAAAATGGTGAGTTAATGGTAAATCGTTATAAGATCCTAATGTGACAAAAACATAAAAGTGTGACTAGTAGAGACTTTGGCATGCCTACTATATTTGAAAACTGGAAAGGATATTTTTAGCAACCTTTGCCCTTCATTGCTGAAAACCAGGTGGGTGCAGTGACGGGAGACTCTGAGTTTTAGTCCTCTTTAGCCACAATGCTAGTTGAGTGATCTTGGGCCAATCATTTCTGTCAGCCATAAGAAGAAAGAACTGGCAAGCCACTTCTGAAAAAATGCTTCCAAGAAAACTTTCAGGCAGTTTTCAAGATTTAAAATTAATTGAAAGCATATTTTTTCTTCTTCTGTCTCTGCTACACCTCTGCCAAAACCCGAACAGCTGATTGTGCAACCCAATTTCATACCCACCATTAGCCTCCTTGGATCTTCAGTAGCACCCCTCTGATTGCCCACGTCTAGGGCAGACCACCCCCCACCTACCCCTTGGTAGACCACTCAGTAAAAAAAGAACCCTATGTCTCTGAATACAGAGTTAAATAATCTGTTACTAATTTAAATAGAGAACTACCGAATGTAATAATTCGTGTTACTTGTATTATGTACTATTTTTCCTAGTCAAACATTCTTTTATTACCATACAGTTTGTAAAGGCTATTGAAACAAGGATATCTATTTCAGAAGTGAGTTGGACAATCTAAATTAGACAAATGGCAGAAAAGTTGTGTTTTTAACTAACAGAGAAGTATAAATAATCCTCGACTTACAAGAATTTGTTTAATCACTTGCGAAGTTACAACAGCACTGAAAAAAATGTGATATGACCATTTTCACACTTACGACCGTTGCAGCATGCCCATGGTCACATGATAAAAATTCAGATGCTTGGCAATTGACTGATAGTTATGATGGTTGCAGTCATGTCCCGAGGTCATGTGATTTTTTTTTGCAACCTTCTGACAAGCAAAGTCAGTGAAGAAGCTAGATTCATGTTACTAACTTAACAACTGCAGTGATTCCCTCAACTAATGTGGCAAGAAGGATCATAAAATGAGTTTCAAAATTCATTTAACAACTATCTTACTGAGCAACAGAAATTTTGGGCTCAATTGTGGTTGTAAGTCAAAGGTTACCTGTACCGATTTGAGAGGTTCCTACTCTCCTCCAATGTTGGGCAAGGTTGGGTTTGAGTCAGGAAGTTAATAATTTAATTAGTCAGGCACCTGGAGGAACAACTATGATTTTTATTCTGTTTTTACTGATTGTTGTGAGGTGTCCAAGATCACTATATGAGATTGCAATAGCACTTAGACTTACAGTAGTGGCCAAAATTGTGGAAACCTTTTGGGAAAAGTGTATTTTCTAAAACTAGCTAATAACACCACTTTTTTTGGAGTAGTACCATAAAATTATATAACAATGGAAAGATAATTTAATCAAGAATGTAATGCAATAACTTTTATGAAGGATTTGCTATTAGAATAGCAGTAACAGTATAAAGAAGAAAAGTGAAACATGTAGAAAAAACGAGATATACAAAAATTATCACCATAGAAAAAAATGAGATATGCAAAAATTATCACCATGTCAGTTAATACTTAGTTGGGTAACCTTTAGCATGAATTTCGGCCTTACAACATTTTCCCATGGAGTGAACCAAGTCTTTTAGTTCTGCAGCTGTTATGATGTGAAATCAAGATTGAATGATGGTTTCTATTAACTGGGTTTTATTGCTGGGTCGTTTCTGACTAACAAGTTTCTTTAGTTGGCTCCATAGATTTTCAGTTGGGTTAAGGTCTGGGCTATTCTCAGGCCATTACAGCAGTAGAATATGATTATCTTGAAACTCCAAAAACAAAGTCGTGTTATTAGCCATCGAACCTCAAAAATACACTTTTCCCAAAAGGTTTTCACAATTTTGGCCACTACTGTATATACCGCTTCACAGTGCTTTATTGCCCTCTGTAAGCGGTTTACAGAGTCAGCCTATTGCCCCCAATAATCTGGGTCCTCATTTTATCCACCTCGGAAGGATGGAAGGCTTAATCAACCTTGAGCCTGGTGAGATTTGAACTACCAAACTGCTGGCAGATAGCAATGAGCAGAATTAGCTGCAGTACTGCATTCTAACCATTGCGCGACCGCGGCTTGTGGAATAGCCACAAGATAGATAGCCATAAAAATTGTTTAAATAAATAAATTAAATGGGTATATGGAAACCCAGTATGTTTTTTTTTCCATGAGAAAAGGTAAATTATTGTGTACAGGAAGTCCTCTACTTACAACCATTCATTTAGCAACCATTCGAAGTCACACTGGCTCTGAAAATATGGCCAGTCTTCACACTTACAAACCATTGCAGCATCCCCCAAGATGACATGATCAAAATTCAGGTGCTTGGCAACCAGCATGTATTTATGACCTTGCAGTATCCCAGGGTCATGTGATCACCATTTGTGACCGCCTCCAAACTCAGCTTCTAACAAGCAAAGTCAGTGGGGGAAGTCGGATGTGCTTAGCAACCATTTGATTCATTTAATAGCTGCAGAGATTCGCTTCACAGCTGTGACAAAAATGGTTGTAAAATTGGGCAAAACTCATTTAACAACTGTCTTGCTTAGCAATAGAAATTCTGGTCCGAATTGTGGTCATAAGTCGAGAACTACCTGTAATCTTATTATGCCAACTAGAAAGTCACAAAAAATGTGGCAGCCTTTGATTTTTTTTTTTCAAAAAATAAAAAATCCTAGATATGGGGAAGGCATAGAAAAACCCAAAACTTGTGCCATATGTTTTAACATCAGTCTGAAGATAGAGATTGCAGACTGATCACTGTGGTTATTTTGGGTGTCAGATTATTACGCTTAGCTTTCTGAGGCAACAATGGACAAAGGGAGAAATGGTTCCTGGGTGTCAGCTCTGCCTTCTGCCAAAATAGTCAGAGCACACAGACACAAGGAAAACAATGGCAGGGAAGAGAAAGAGAAGCCATCTTTCTAATCCACAAGCTAGAAATTAGATTTATGTGTCATATGAGACAAAAATGGGAGTTAAGCCAAATTGTGTAGCGTCATCCGGTGGTGAACTAATTATTTTTATTTTACTCTTTCCTGATGGGTTTATAGGTTCCATCATTTTGCAATGACGTTGATGACATTGACTGCAGGCTTGAGGATCTGCCACAGAAACATTGCTTAGAATATAATTACGACTATGAAAATGGCTTTGCGATTGGTAAGTGAAGCGACTTGCCCTTTATCGTCTATAAGCTCCGAAGAAAGAAATATTCAGCTTGTCTCCTATAGTAATTCTGACTACAGATAGTCCTTGGCTTACAACCACAGTTGAGCCCACAGCAACGGTCATAAGTATGAGCCAATTTGCAAAGCATCTGAAATTTGATCACATGATCATGGGGATGCTACAAAAGTCGTAACTGTGAAAAACGGTCACAAGTCACTTTTTTCATTGACGTTGTAACTTTGGAGCAGTCACTAAGTGAACTGTTGTAAGTTGAGGACTGCCTGTATGAACTGAGTCAGACCAGTGCTCCTGGTAAACCCGGGTAAGCACATTAAAAGAAGAAAAAAAGAATGAACAATTGACACCTCCTTCCATCATTTATTTCTCCACTCCCTTCCCACTGTGTTTCCTTTCCTAGAAACAGCAGTGTCAGGTCTGTATTTCAGTCATTCATATTTTACCTCTCTGTTTAACCTTTGGGGTAGGAGTTGACCTTTCATGTCTGCATCCTATCCTGCAAATTGTCAAGTCAGTAGAAGTTGCTTTCCCCTTTCTCTTCTAAAAAATGCAATTGTGCTTGAACAGCTTGTTCATAAATGTTATTTGTTTCTCATGGGATGTTTCTTTATTTTTTTTCTCTCTCTCATTTACCAACAGGTCCGGGTGGCTGGGGTGCCATAAATCGGCTGGATTACTCTTACGATGATTTTGTTGAAGTAGATTCTGAAGAACAACAACCTAAATTACCATCTGATTCGATGGATGTGGCAAACTCCCGGGTCAAAAGACACAAAAAAATAAATATGCCCATGTCAGACCACAAAATAAAGTTAATTTTTAATATCACTGGTATGAAAACGTTTGTCTTTTTATTATTTAGGAATATGGAGTACACCTTTTTAAAATGGCGTGTTTTGTAAATAGAACATCCCTAGGAATTATGTTGAACACGTCACAGGTTGAAGAATTTTTCTATTCTTCTGCATGCTTCTAAAGAGCACTATGCTAATTAACTTTGTAATGTCTTTTGCATAAGATGATTGTTTTTTAATCATAGCTACTGTACCACTGCCTGACAAACGCAATGATTCTCTGGAAGCAGAAAACCAACAGCGCCTTCTAAAAACACTAGAGAGGATCACAAATAGATTGAAAAGAACTCTCAACAAGCATCCCATGTATTCTTTTCAGTTGTCTTCTGAGTTGCTTATAGCTGACATCAATTCTCTAGAAGCTGAAAAGGCTTTTCTCTTCTGCAAACCGGGCTCTGTTCTACGGGGGCGAATGTGTGGTAGGTAATTTTAATCTCAGTTAATTTAATTTATTATTTTTGGAAGGCTATCAGTTTGGAGTTATTGCATATGTCAACTTTCAAGGAAGAATCAAAAGAATCATATAATGACAAGCTTAAATTCGCTGTTAATGCTATCTTATTTATTTTCACTTTGGAAAAGTTTGGCTCCTCAACTAATTTCCTTCCCTCTTGGGGAAGGCTTCCTTCAATAGGATGGGGGAGGGGTGGGAACATAGCGATAGCATTTAGATCAGTGGTGAAATCCAATTTTTTTTATTACCGGTTCCGTGGGCATGGCTTGGGGGGCATGGCAGGGGAAGGATACTGTAAAATCTCCATTCCCACCCCACTCCAGGGGAAGGATACTGCAAAATTTCCATTCCCACCCCACTCGGGCCAGCCAGAGGTGGTATTTGCCGGTTCTCCAAATTGCTCAAAATATCCGCTACCAGTTCTCCAGAACCTGCTGGATTTCACCCCTGATTTAGACTTATATACCACTTCACGGTGCTTCACAGCCCTCTAAGCGGTTTACAGAGTTAGCATATTGCCCCCAACAATTTGGGTCCTCATTTTACCGACTTTGGAAGGATGGAAGGCTGAGTCAATCTTGAGCCTGGTGAGATTTGAACTGCCAAATTGCAGGCAGTCGGCAGACAGCAGAAGTAGTCTGCAGTACTGCACTCTTACCAGTGCACCACAGTGGCTCTTCTGTTTTTCTACAATACTAATAAATTCTTGTACTGCATGAAGTTCCACAAATCCTCCAGAATAGCTTTGGTGGAGCCTAGAGACACGAAGGAAGAAGAGATACTCAGAATTGCTTCTTTCTCCTTCACCCATAGAAGATTTTCATCAGTAGGACACAATTGGATTTCAGCAGTTATGATTATTTTAACACATCAGGTAATCTGTAATTATCTGTTCAATCAATCACATAGCTCATATAGTTTTTGCACACATAGGAACTGTGTCTGTGATCATGCAGATACAGATTACATTGCCATCTGCAGTTTGAGAATTAGGTCAGAATATATGTTAAAACAATCATTGATCCACACCCAACATTTTATTCATATTCTATCTAATTAAATTCCAGTTAACTGTCCTTTGGGTACTTACTATTCTCTGGAACATCATGCATGTGAAAGTTGCTGGATTGGATCATATCAAGATGAGGAAGGACAGCTAGAATGTAAAAATTGTCCATCTAACACCTATACTGAATATCTCCATTCCAGAAGCGTGTCAGAATGCAAAGGTAGGAAATTTGCAGTCATATACATTATAATATGTATAATAATATTTCACAATGTAATATTTCTGGAGAAGAAAACTGCAGTGGGAATGAAAGCAATTCTTTTATTGTGGTTCTGTAATAAATTGCATTAGAATCAGTGTTCCTGCATAAATACATTTGTTTAAATAACTATTTTTACAGAAATGGCTCCCAAAACAGTTAAGGACAATAAAAATAGCAGTTGAAACACAACAGCTTGAAATATGAATGAAATTGTTAAATCAGGAAGTTAGAATGACAGACTAAAACAATTACAATAAGATCCTAATAATAATTTGCATGCTTTTCACAGTTTTTATAATTTATACTTTTTCTTCTTTTTTTGTCTCAGTAATTATGTGGTCTTTTCAGTGAAGCTAATATATCAGTTTTATTATAACAGAATGCCAATCATCAAAAAAAAGCTTCTTTATTCTCCGTTCTTTGCATTTTTATAGTCGACTAGTTTATGGTTTCAATGGAGTGTTCTAAACAAAACACCTAGCTCAGTGATGGCTAACCTTTTCCAGACCAAGTGCCCAAAGCGTGTATGCGAATGCACGTGTGCACACTCAGACCCCCCAAATGCAATGCGTGCACAGTCCCCGTGCATGCACCCCACCCCCTGACATGCAGACGTGGCCCCCTGCATGCGCCCTGTCCCCCAGGCATGCGTGGCAGAGACCTGAAAACCAGCTGGCCGGTGAGAGGCACTTGCGCATGCACAGCGGACCTGAGCTGGGGCGACAGCTCGCGTGCCCACAGAGAGGGCGCTGCATGCCACTTCTGGCACATGTGCCAAAGGTTCGCCATCACAGACCTAGCTTTTGCAATAAACATATCCATATTTGTGACAGATCCACTTTACAAATTGTATTTTGCAAGCTAATACGCTTAGCTTGCTCTAGGCTTCTAAATTGCCAGTTACACCTCATTGCAGATGCTATTGTACTGCGTTGGATTGCTGGGTTTATTTTTGCTCCTATTTTTTAGCTGCTTGGAATTGATATGCATTTTTTTAAAATTAGAGATTCTTAATTAGGTTGTACTGTTCTCATATACTCAGCTCAGTGCAAGCCGGGAACTTCTTCTCCAAACGGCCTTGAGATCTGTGAATCATGTCCCTTTGGCAAATATCAGCCTACCACTGGATCTAAGCACTGCATTTCTTGTCCAGAAAATATGTCAACAGTCAAAAGAGGAGCTGTGGATATATCAGCATGTGGAGGTTTGTGACATCTAGGTTCCAGGAAACAGCATGTTGCTAAATACCATGCAGTATCTATCACTCCCCTTCCCTGATCCCTGCATAACTGAAATATTTTTAAGTAGTAGCATGCATTATGTCTGTAGTCTATCTTATTTATCTAGTGAACCTTAATTTTCTGCACAAAGGATTTGAACTGTAGCCATACTTTAAAGAAATAACCTTCTGAGACCTCTGTTTAGACAGAGTACTTGTTTATGTTAGCAAATATTAGTTTGCGGTTTCCAGCAGTGTGCTGGTAACAATAGCAGATTATTTCCATATGTTATTAGTGCTTTTCTTTGTTTCTTGCATAATATAAACATGGGGAAAAGCAATATTACTTTTTGCCAATTTCTGGCTAAACTTGAAAATAGTTTTGCTTGTCCCCTGAGAAATAAATCTGTTTCTGTTGCCAGTGCAGAATTAGAAATATGAGGAAAAGTGGGATATAAATCTAACAAATAAACAAACAGACCATATTATTTGGCAAATATCAAGTATTTGACATTTGGTGCCGTTTTGGGGTCATATGTCTATGGAGATTCTCAATCATCCAGGTCATGTTTGTCCCAAAGGTCCTTTTTCCAAAAGGCGAATGGACTTTCTTGGTTTTTTTTTTTCCTTTGAAAATGTGTCACTTCTCATTCAAGAGGGAGAACTGAAGAAACCTCTTGAATGAGAAATGAAATGTTTTCAAAAAAACCCAAAAAACAAAAAAGTCCAATTGCCTTTTGGAAAAAGCATTTTTGGAATCATCATTTGTGACTTCAAGGTATGCAAAACATTGAAAAATATGTCTATTCTCTTTTTCTGATATTTTGGCCTCTGGCGTTTGAAAACTTAAGATTGCAGCTGTAAAATAAGAAATTTGGAACTCCCAGAGTACAAATGGATACTTGTTTTATTGTCTTTTTTTATATGATCTGTTGATTTTATTTTAGATTAATCTTGCACTGTGTTACAAACCCAGTGACATTTCTGAATAAACTTATGCGTATAAGATTGGAATTTGGAAAATGTTATCTAGATGACAGAGATTTGGTACAATAATCTGGTTCTGGAACATTTAAATCCACTCGGTTGATGATATGGTTCGCATCCATCCAAAGCTTTCCATTGATTGAAACAGGTCTTTTCTCTTTTGTAAAACGATGTTAAAATGATATATCGGTGCATAAAAGAAGATTCTGTTGTGTGCTTTGCAGTTCCTTGCCCAGCTGGAGAATTCTCACGTTCTGGTTTAATGCCGTGCCATCCTTGTCCCAGGGACTATTACCAACCTGATCCAGGAAAGTCCTATTGCTTATCTTGTCCATTTTATGGAACAACAACAATCATTGGAGCCAGATCTATAGCAGACTGCTCAAGTAGGTTATATTCTCTAAAGGGTATGAAAATGATCGGCAATAATCCTAAGGGTCGGAAGAGCTTGACTCTTCATGTACCTATTTACAAATGGCTGTCTCATGCTTAAAGAGGAGCTAGGTTGCGTCTTTGCTAAGAGAATATAGACAGGAAACAGCTGTCGAGATACCATTACACAGCTCACATGGAACAAAAATGACAAGGAAAGAGATCTCAATGAACAGAACAGAGCCTCTTTATATCACAATAGTACTTTGGGAGAGGCAGACCCATCCTGTGATTAAGAGCCCCATCTATCAGACCCGTGATGGCGAACCTATGGCATGCGTGCCATAGTTGACACACAGCGCCCTCTTGGGCATGCAAGCCGTCGCCCAGCTCAGCTCCCCTGCGCGTGCACGCCTCCCACTGACCAGCTTTTTTTGGGGATGCGCAGGGGGCGGGGTGCATGCAGGAAATGTGCATGCATGCACAGGGAAGGAAAGCCTGGGGAGGGCGAAAATAGGCCTACCAAAAGTACCAGAAATCTGGAAACAGGCCCGTTTCTGGCCTCCAGAGGACCTCCAGAGCCCGGGAGAGGCCGTTTTCACCCTCCCAGAGGCTCAAGAAAAGCCTCTGGAGGCTGGGGAGGACAAAGAGGCGCCTTTCCCCGCCATGATGCAGGAGGCCAAGTAGGCCACGCCCACCATGGCCATGCCCACCTAGCAACCAGGCAGAGAACTGGTTGCTAAAAATTTTAATTCACGGGGGCAGAGGAGTATGGGGGTCGCGTGTGCATGTGCGGGGGGCGTTGTGTGCGCATGCATGGGGGCGGCGCACATTGCATTATGTGCACGTACTTTTGGCACACAAAGAGAAAAGAGTTAGCCATCACTGTCTCAGATGAATTCTGAACAATTCTTTTCATGGTCTTAAACATCCGTTTTCTGGGGAAAGATGATCCATACACAAGCTACAATGACACATATGTAGGTCTCCTTTGCTTTCTAAATTTTCCTCAATAACCTCATTTGAGTTCAGTTCAATGTAGATGGTTTAATATATAAAATGGCATAGTAACATAGGATAGTGTGGGTCTTATGGTTACACCTCCAATGTTACAATCCTGATAGCCAGTTCTAGACCTTGATGAGGAATGGGCAGAAAAATATTCTATTCCTGAATTTAACTACCTTTTCTCTTAACTATGGGTTCTTGCATTGTCACTGCCAGATCTCCTGGTTAGCACAAGATCTGAATTGAGTTTGCATGGATGAATTTATACGATTATATAAGATTTTATACTAAAACTCTGAAAAACCATACTGATTCTGATCAAGACAGGATATCTGACAGAAAGAGTTCAGTGCCTCATCAATAGTAGAAACTGGAGTCCATCTGAAGAAATATAACACATTTTGATACTCATGCTTTAAATGGATATGGTTAGATCTCTCTGTATGGCATATACCAGTGATGGCTAACCTTTTTGCCGTCGCGTGCCAAAGGCGGGGGGAGCACGGGGGGGTGTCGTACACGTGTGTGCCCCCACCCAGAATTCAATGTGCCCCGCCCCCGTGCATGCACATGTGAACCCTCACCAGGCTCAAGGTTGACTCAGCCTTCCATCCTTTCTAAGGTAGGTAAATTGAGGACCCAGTTGTGGGGGCAATAAGCTGACTTTGTATAAATATACAAAAGTATGAAGGCTATTGCTTAGCACATTGTAAGCGGCCCTGAGTCTCCGGAGAAGGGTGGCATATAAATCAAATTAAACCCCCCCCCCCCCCGTGCTCTCTCTGCTTTTGGCACATGATGGCACTGTGGGCCTGGTAGGCCCGTTTTTCACCCTCCCCAGGCTCCAGAGGCTTTCTTGGAGCCTGGGGAGGGCAAAAACGGCCTTCCCCCCCACCCCCGGTGGCCCTCCAGAGGCCGGAAATGGCCCATTTCCCGACTTCCGGTGGGCCCAGAAGACCCGAAAATCAGCTGGCTGGAGCTGAGCTAGGGCAACGCTCGCGTACCCACAGATATGGCTCCATGTGCCACCTGTGGCACCCGTGCCATAGGTTCACCATCACGGGTATATACTCAGCAGCTACTGTATTTTTCGGAGTATAAGATGCTCCGGCGTATAAGACGCACCTTATTTTGAAAAGAAGAAAGAAAATAAGAAAAAAAAAATCTGTTTGAGAGACTCTCCGTTTGAGAGGCTGCAAAAGCTCCGTTTGCAAAGGATCTTCTCTTTGCAAAGCCAGCCTCTTAAATGGACCTTTTGGAGGCTGTTTAAGAGGTTCTCTTCTTTGGGAAGCTGCATTTGCAGCCTCCAAAAGCTCTGTATGAGAAGATGCGTGGAGGCCAAAGGGTGGGGGTCGGCAGGTGGGCGGGGTTACACACCCAAATTTTCACCTTCTTTTAAGGGGGGAAAAAGTGTGTTTTATACTCCGAAAAATATGGTATATTCCTTTTCTGGTATTGCAACTTTTATAGTATTAGAGTCTTGACTTAGAGGATTTCGTCAGTGGGATTTTTTTTACATTTGATTTCATGTCAATCCCATTTAGGTTTTGGCTCTACTTTTTCTGCAGCGGAGGAGAGTGTGGTGCTTCCAGTTGCTCCAGAAAATATCAGCAAGGACCCCAAAGTCAGCAGCCAGGCAAGAACAGCCATCGTGATTTCCCAGGGTGTTCAATTACAGAGAAAGTAGAAAACTGGTGAAATTAAAAAAAAACATTGAAAACGATGGGTTTGAAAGTTAAACTGTTGCTGCCTCTCGTAGTGTTCTTTATTTCATTTGTGCCCCATGCACCAGTGTCTGTGACAGCTCATTACTTTTTTGGAATGATGAAAGAGGGATCCTGGCATTGCACTGCAAATCCCACCCCTCCTTGGTATGGGTGCAGTGGCATGGTGCATGTAGACAAAGGGTAGATCCTGTGCTATAATGTCATAAAGTTGTCTTCATCACTCTCCTCCTCTCTGCCCCCTGCAAATGCTGGTGATCTCATATGGGTCGTCCTTGATTTATGGCCACAGTAATTTCCATTGCTAACCAAAGTGGTTGTTTGTTAAGTGAGCCATGCCTGATTTTACCTTTTTTTGCCACAATTGTTAAATGAATCATGGCAGTTCTACACTGAATCAGCCATTTATTAAGGCCAACTTTCTTCATTGACTCTGCTTGTCAGAAGCCAGCTGGCAAAGGATGATCACATGACCTCAGCATGCTGTGATAATCGTAAATACTTGCCAGTTACCAAGTTCCTGAGTTTTGATTACATGACCACGGGAATGCTGTCAGTATCATAAGTGCGAGGACTAGTTGCAAGTCACTTTTTCCAGTGCCATTCTAACTTTGAACAATCACTAAACACATGGTTGTAAATTGAGGGTTACCTGTATTTGATTCAAGAAATTTAACATAGTATACATTCCTTCCCCCGCCATTTTATTTTCACCACACAGTATTTGAAACCAGGGTGCGTTTATAACATCTAATAAGATTTAACATTTAGAGACCGGATAGGAAACCTGAACTGCAATCTGCTTTTGAATTTTCCTTGCCTATATTTTTGCTTTGTCTTTTCTTCCATTGACAACAGATATTCCATGAATGTTTCCTGCAACCATGTCATAACAGTGGAACCTGCAAACAGGTTGGAAGTGGTTACATTTGCATATGCCCACCAGGATATGCAGGTAAGTAATACAGTTGCAATCCTCCCTAAATATCATGCTTTGACAGATATATTGCCTTTGAAGAAAAAGAAATATATTAAGAAGTGTTCCATGAATATTCAAACAAGGAATAGAAACATTTCTTGAAAAGCAGGCCCACTTTTTCCTATGAGGGACTAGAGCCTAAAAATTGTGAAAGAACAAAATGTTGGTTGTAGCCTAAAAAAATGTTAAATAAAAAGTTTGGGAGGTATCCTGTAAACATATTGGAGTGTCTCTGGCTACATGAAGTGGTCTGTCAATGAAATAAATTTTTAAAGGGATTTGTTGACTTGTTACTGCTTTTTAACTTCTGTTTTGTAGCAATACTTATCTGATTTTTCCCCTTCGTTTAAGTATATCTTTTCATTGCCACATGGTTATTTTGATATCATTTTTATGTATTTTGCAGCTATTAGTCTTCTTTTATCCTGTTCCATTATAAATGAACAATTTTTGTAGGTCTAAGCGGGTTAGCATCATTTATATTAAATACGAATTTTGCTATTGTTGAAACTATACATCACTAGTTATACTAGCCTCTCTGGATATTTTTTCTTTAGACTGATAGCTCTCATGGACCCTTCAAAAACTTTGTAACTTAACTATAGTGGAAATAGTGAAACTCGCCCCCTGAGTTCTAAGTATAGATTGATCTTGTGCATATTCAGATAATGAGTCCTTGCAAACCCTCCTTATAATCTAATAAAAGTGTATGGAATTATTAGCTTGATCTGTACTCATACATCAAGAATGAGTGAAACAGAACAGAATCTATCTATGCATTTTGCAGGAGACCTAACAGTTTAGCAAAATATTTCAATTTCTGTTGTTTAAAAATGTATCACTAAAAGGTCACATAGACCTTGAATATTGCAAAAGTTAGCTGGAAATAAATAAGTGGATTTTTTTATAGTAAAGAGCTATGTGCTCGGAATAGGGAGAAACTGAGGGCTGAAAAGAAAACAAATACAAAGGAAAGCAAACAGATTTATTCATTCAGGACAGATTTTAGACATTTGGTCCTTAAAAGTCTATGTTTGAATCTTTGTATACCCAGACATATTTCTTGTGCTGAATTAGATTTGCCAGTCCTTTTTGGCAGTCTACTCATTTAACAATAAAATGAGAGGCAAGTACAGGTTTAACCATACTCTTCTCTGTGTGAAAAATTTGACAATAGAGATGGATACAAATTTCACTGAGTTTATCTTTCACCAAAAATTACACATTTACAGAGGAAAAGCAGAGGAAAAACGTGAGATTTTTAAAAAGTAACCAGCATCACTGGTGGATTTGTCTGTTTTATCACAAACTCAATTTTGTTTTAGTATTCAGATCAGTTAGAATATTTAATTGAAACAGAATATCTTTTGAGCTTTTGATTAAACAATAGCCTAATGCCTGCCTGTCAACAAGCTCAGTAGCAACTAGAATTAAATAGACTCTGAGATGCATTAGTTGTGCGGTTTTCATATATTCCAGTTTCAAATCTGTTTCTAACCTAAGTGTAAATAGATTCAAATTCCCCTCCTCCACAAAAATCACTTTTTATTTTTTCTATTACTTGATATTTATTTGATGTGTTTTGCACTTTTGGCCTATCCCGATTTATTTTTCTTTGTGTTCTTTTGGGTTGTGTTCTAGGATTAAAATGTGAAAAAGAGATTGATGAATGCAGGTCATCTCCCTGTCTCAACAAAGGGATTTGCAAGGATGGCACTGCAGCATTCATTTGCCAGTGTCAGCAGGGCTACTCAGGTGACAAATGAACTAAAGCAGTAAAGCATCATCTCCAGGTTGCAAACTTTAAAAAAAAAAGTTACGGCTCATATTTATTGAGCTTGTGAATATCTTGCCTTCTGTATTTTGCTCATTTCATAGAGATTGAGGGATTGTTGGGGGTTTTTTTTGGTGAACTGTGAGAAACAGTTCAAAATAAATTTTATTGCTGTTGTATGCTGGGCATGGGAAATGATAATCGTTTGATTATAACATTCTAATTATATAAAAAATATCTGCATAAATATTTCTTAAATGGCTGCATTCTGAATATACTTATGACACCACCTCCAGTATGAAGCGCATTAGTTAGAACATAGAATAAAAGAGTTGGAAGGAACCTTCTAGTCCAACCCCTTGCTCAAGAAGGAGACCCTATACCATTTCAGACAAATGGTTGTCCAGTGTCATTTTAAAGCCTCCAGTGATGGAGACCCACAACTTCTGAAGGCAAGTTCTCTATGGATTGCCTTCATATTAGGGGATGAGTAAGAGTGGGCTGTCATTGGCTGTCCTATTTCCCCTTACAATATGGGGAAAATTGGGTCTTGTTGCAAAGTAACAATACATCTGGCTAAACTTTTGTAGCTGAAGTTGAATGGAAAGTCACTGAGGTGTCTATGAATGGAAGGAAATGGATAAATGACATCATTTGATCTTATCAGGATTGTATGGGTCTTCTCCTATAATGTTGGTTGAATTCAAAAACCAAAATGTAATTATTATGCACCTAGGGCAAGATGGCGGTTTACCATTAAAATAAAAAGGGAATGATATAAACCTCTCAATTAGAGGAAGCTTGGTGCAGATTGTTCTAAAGGTGACTAACTAGATTGTTTCATTTATTTATTTGGGCTTTTTGCTGTAGTAATTAACTACAGCTCTGGATTGTGTCCACACTTTGTAAATGAATGTATGTCCTCTTGATAAAAGCTGAAGGACATGGTACACTAAAATGTATATTATTTCATTCAATACAAAATTCCTGCAATTGATAACAGTACCAGGTTCTGCTTGCAATTTTCCTAATTAGAAAAGTTTATAATGTAAATAACATAGTGAACCCTCGTTTCCAAATTGGTAACATGAATGGAAACAGCTATTTATTTATTTATTTGTTTATTTATTTATTTATTTTATAGGCCCCGCCAATCTTTTATGACTGGGGAACTTGCAAAATAAAATAATAAAAAAGCAAAAATTAAAACAAAGAATTCCATTGTCCAAATTAAAAAAAAGTCTGGAAAAATACAACCATCATTCAGGAAACTCAAATTTCACACAAGGGATCTATTCCCTACTCTGGCTCTATGCCATCTTTTTAGGGCTTGTTTAAGTAGGGCTGGAGTGGGAGCCATATGAATTTGGGGAGGGGGGTAACAATTTTCCAAAGGGCACTTGCCATGAAAGCTAGGGACCACAGCTAGAGAAATGAAACAAGAATGAATAAAGTTGAAAATTTATTACTAACTGCTGTCCTGGAAATTTATACCTCACTGTTCTTAGGATTTTATCTTCTATGTGTAAGTCCATTGTGTGAACTTGTAAATCTGCATGTATACACTATTAATGTTCTCTAATCTTTATTACTTGAAGGCTTACTATGTGAAGAAGATGTAAATGAATGTAGTTCAAATCCTTGTCTGAATAAAGCAGTCTGTGTTGATGATATTAACTCTTACCACTGCTTGTGTCCAGAAGGCTTCACAGGTTCGTCTATTTTACTGATGACCTTCTTCTAATATTTCATATAGCTCTCAAGATGTTTTGTATTGCTTCCAAGATCTTCAAAGAAAGAGGGAATTTTAATTTTCCAGTAAAAAAAAAAAGGATCACATAGTTAGGTGTTATCATGTATGACTTTCCTTATCGGTATAAAGGAGAAGTCTGTGACATTTTAAAAAAGGACAATATTTTTAGCAATTAATTTAATATATTAGCAAAGTTGATTCTTCAATCTCCAGCCAATGTGTTATATTGAGTACCTACTTCAGGGTTGTTTAAAAATGTATTTGACTAATTAACTTTTTCATTTTCATTCTTTTTAATGTATCCAGAATCTATAAAGTTCAGAAATTACCTGGTGCTGATAACGTCTTTATCCCTTTCTTCCTTCTCAGGTACTCACTGTGAAGCAGAGGTAAATGAATGTCTTTCAAATCCCTGCTTCAACAAAGCTACCTGTGAAGATCAGGTTGCAGGTTTCCATTGCAAGTGCTTGCCTGGATTTATTGGTGCTCTATGCGAAAAAAACATTAATGAATGTCTCAGTAGACCTTGTAAAAACGGAGCCACGTGCAAAGATGGAATCAATGGCTATAGGTAAAAAGATGTATGCATATAGCTCTGAAGATATATAAAGATTTAAGAATGCTAATACAGTGTATTTATTTGTTTGTTTGTTCACTTGCTTGCTTGCTAAAGAACCAAAGTAGCTATCCCTTAGGGCAGGAGGGCCAGATGCATCATGGGCTGGCCACACCCTCCCCCGTTTTAGCGAAGGGGAGAAAGTCGTGATACATCACGTGATGACACAAGTTTGACATCCTTGCCTTAGGGCCTAAACTATAAAAGAATAACTGCTTTTGTAATCCTATCTCTCTGTTTTAATCTTCATACATGAACTTTTCCTTTTGTCTTATAAGTATCTACTTCTATAAGTGAACATATCTCCAACACTATTAGTGCCTTAATCCAGGAGCTATGGTCTCTACTGACTGAGTCTACATTCTTTTTTCTATCCAATTTTTTGGCACTCTAGGTTATTGTATTTTCACTTTTTATTTATTTACTCTGGCTTACATGTCATTCCAGTCACATATTACTTCCATATACAGTAATTGGATTAAAAAGTCTAACTCTGCCTAACTGTCTCTTCCACAGAAATGCATTTGGGGGATTTGTTCTGGATTTTTTTTTCTCTCCATAGTCCTTGGCTGGGGATTCAGCCATTTTTAACTCAGTCTTTCTTTTGCCAGCTTTTTCTCCACATCAAATTAGGTCCAATTCTGTTTTGCTTTCAGACAGTTATCCTGTTGACAGACAGATGGGCAAGGCAGGCTCCTCAGCCGCTTTATGCAATGTCTTTCCAACATTCTTTAGGGTTGCAAAAATAAACAAGATCCAGAATTGCCAGAACTTGTAAGCATTTCAAATTCAGACTCCACAATTGATTTTTTTTTTTCAACTTCTTACTTACCTAAGCTTTTCACTTATCCTCATATTGGTTCTTCATTTCACTTAAGTAACTTACTTTGTATTTTAAGACAGCTAAAATGTAATTGTTCAGACTGTAGTGAAGAAAACTCATTCATTCTCTTTTGTCTTCTCAAAGGTGTCACTGTGTTACAGGATATACAGGGCCCCAATGTGAAGTGAACATCAATGAATGTGAATCTAATCCCTGTGAAAATCAAGGAACCTGTATGGATGCCTTGAGCTCGTACGTTTGTAAATGTCCTCCTGGCTTTACAGGCAACAGGTGTGAAACAGGTACCCAGGATCAAAGTATTAGCAAACAGTAGCAAACCTATCTTGGCAACAATTCTGCAGACTTGAACCGAAACCAGATGACTCCCAAGAATATAGCAGACTTTGCAAATCCCAGTATACAGTAAATAACTACAATAATTCAATATTGGATTTATTATTATAAATTCAATTTTAAACCAATAATATAAATGTGACACTGAAAAAACGTATTTTGAATGTTGTCCAGAATCCATTAAAGTTGGGTGGCCACTAAATTTAAATAAATAATAATATTTAGAATCTTACTATTTCCTAAATTGCAATTTCATTTTCTGTAAAGTTACAGAGTATTTCTTATTTCAAGTATTTCAAGTACTTGTTAATCAGATGGAAAAGATTTTCTTCATTCCTTGCTTTATGCTAAAGAACGGTAGCAACGTTTGTGGCCAACTAGCAAATCATTAAAAATAATATATTATTATTATTTTTTAAACTAAATACTTTATTGTTCAAAAATACTAAAAATAATATAGTCATGCAGAAAATCAATCCATGCTGATTTTCTGTCAGACTATATTACCTAATGTGTTTTTTAAGAGTCAACACTGGCTTGAGGTAGATATTCTATCAGTTGTAAAATTAATATAGTTTGTCCTGGCTCTGGAGAAGAGAAAAGTTTATTGTCAGTATACTAAATATTCTCATCACTAAAGCATGTTAAATCTCCTACCATTTTTAGTGGTATTTTGAATGGGAAAAGTTTTCTCTAATTCGCTGTCATAAAATATTTTGTTTCATGAACTGTGTTGGAATCCATTGGAATTCAAAGATTTTAATTTAACTTAATTTTTCTTACCGAACTAGATTCTACTGAAGCTCTCCTTTTGTCTATAGTAAACTGGAAGAGATAGGTTTGCTTAACTCTTGAATAAAAGTTGAAGCAAATGTAAAAAAAAAAAATTAAAGAGCAAGTTCACGCATTTTAGTTGCTATGTGGTAATACTGTGCACCAAGGAATGTTAATATCACATGACGGCACTAGAGATTTGAGGGCAGATGGAATGGTTTTCATCCATCAGGGTTAAGTATCCAATTATATGGTATATCTTCTAAGATTCAAGTGTCTTTAGATAGAAGAATAGTGGATATTTTACATTGGACATTTCTATATAAATCATTTTTATAGAAACGTGATGCTTAGTATTTTCTTAGAACTAACGTGTCTATTTTGTTTAACATGGCTATATAATTGGAAAAACAAGAGCCTCCCAAATTCTGTCTTGCTCAGTTTAAAAATAAGCATTTTTATTCTGAACCAGTGCAATGGGAAAACATAGCTCAAAGAACTGAATCATTTAAATCAAATATTTATTACTGTCCTAGACAGTGGTGAAATCCAATTTTTTTTACTACCTGTTCTGTGGGCGTGGCTTGGTGGGCATGGTGTGGCTTGGTGGGCGTGGCAGGGGAAGGATACTGTAAAATCTCCATTCCCACCCCACTCCAGGGGAAGGATACTGCAAAATCCTCATTCTCTCCACACTCCTGGGAGAAGGATATTGTAAAATCTCCATTCCCACCCAACTCTGGGGCCAGCCAGAGGTGATATTTGCCGGTTCTCTGAACTACTCAAAATTTCTGCTACCAGTTCACCGAACTGCTCAAAATTTCCACTACCGGTTCTCCAGAACCTGTCAGAACCTGCTGGATTTCACCCCTGGTCCTAGCCCAGGAAGGAAGGTGGAGTATAGTCAATTGAAAAGCTTAGAAGATAATCAGAACTAGAAGATAGAAAAGATATATGTATTAAAATGGAAAGTAGACATAAAAATATTAGTTTAAAAGACTCTAAAAGAAGTGCTAGCATTAGCTGGTTATAAGAGAGCATTAAAGATGTGGAAGTCTATATCTGACCAATTATAGAGCACTCTAATATGGCAAACTAGATATTCATCAAGGCTTGTTTATGGCAGAGGTTATAATTCAAGGAACTTTGAGTGCTATTGTGCAGAACCTGGTAATATTCTATGTTATAGCAAGGTTGGTATCTAAAAATGGGGAGGTATAGAATTGTCCTATGTGCCCTCGATATTTATTCAGCAGTGGTGAGATGAAGCTACAGAATGTCTCTGCAGTACAGGTGCTGGAGAAGCACATGGTCTGTTGTTTCTTTGTGTCCAGAGACACAGGGGCATTATTTCTCCAAGTAAGGAATCTTCCTATATCGTTCAGGGGCAGCTGAATTGAATGCATAACATTGTGGTAGAGTAAAGGCCCTCCAGTGTTTGAGTACTTTGAGTTTAATTAAGTATGCCATAGGGAAGAAGAGTATTTGTATTCACTGGCAATACCGATTGGGGTCCTGGCTAGATCCAATTGATGTTCTGTTTCTGCTATATGCTATTTAGTGAGTACTTTGGCCCAGGGGTGAAATCCAGCAGGTTCTGACAGATTCTGGAGAACCGGTAGTGGAAATTTTGAGCAGTTCGGAGAACCGATAGCGGAAATTTTGAGTAGTTCAGAGAACCGGCAAATACCACCTCTGGCTGGCCCCAGAGTTGGGTGGGAATGGAGATTTTGCAATATCCTTCCCCCAGGAGTGGGGAGGGAATGGGGATTTTGCAGTATCCTTCCCGTGCCACGCCCACCAAGCCACACCACGCCCACAGAACCGGTAGCAAAAAAAAAGATGAGACCTTAGTTGCCACTGCCTATTTCCCTGTGGATTGAAATCATCCCTCAAAGTTAATGGAACAAGGCCAAGGGGGGGGGGGGGATGCTTTGAGCCAATTGATGATTATGGTCAGGCTTATTTTAATCTCAACTTTCATGAAGTTGGTCTTTAGTCTCAAGGTACCATTTGAGACTACCCTTCAGTTTGGGATTTGAAAGGCTGATCTTGGAAATTTGAATTGTGCAAGTTCTTAGGGTATAAAATTGGAGAAGGAACACAGCTAGCCACCATAAAGGTATTCTGATATTGTCAAAGAACTAAACATTTTCCCTATCTGTTGCAGAGCAGTCTTCTGGATTTAACTTGGATTTCGAAGTCTCTGGAATTTATGGCTACGTTTTGCTTGATGGTGTCCTCCCCTCACTCAATGAGATCACATGTGCATTTTGGATGAAATCCTCCGATACCTCAAATTATGGGACTCCAATTTCTTATGCAGTGGAAAATGGAAGTGACAATGCATTCTTGATTACAGATTACAATGGGTATATGAAGTAGCTACAGCTTCCAGATCATATGCTTGGGGAAGAGATGCAAACTGTATTTTATTGCTTTTTCAACCTAACCTCTAGAGCAGGAGTGTCAAACTCGATTTCATTAAGGGCCGCATCAGGGTTGTGTTTGACTTTGGGGGGGACAAGTGGATATGGCCGGGGTGGGTGTGGCCAGGATGCCGAGGACCATGAACGGCCCTCCTGAGCTCCGTTTTTGGCTGCAACGGCCTCATACAGCACTCTGCCAGTGAAAACGGAGCTTGGGAGGGCCCTGTGACAGCTTCCTGCAGCACTCTGCTAGCAAAAACAGAGCTCGGGAGGGCTGTGAAAGCCCTCCCGAGCTCTGTTTTTGCTGGCAGAGGCACCTCGGGCAGGTCCTTTGCTGTTTCCAGGGCAGCCCTGTGGGCCAGATCTAAGTACCCCATGGGCCGAATGCGGCCCGCGGGTCTTGAATTTGGCACCCCTGCTCTAGAGCTTGTTTTTCCATGTGTTCAGTTACACAATAGAGCATTACACATTCTATATTCAGCAAGCAAGGAACCTATAGATTTGTGAACTATTCCTCTAGTCCATGCCAATAGAGGGAAATCTACTGTAGCTTACAACTTACACTATCTTGCACGGCCCATCCAAATCCTTTTGGCTTCTTTCTTTTTCTTTTCTTTTCTTACTTTTTTTTTCTTTTTTTCTTCTATTGGAGTTCAGAAATGTCACTAATGCTCAGGCCAGCCATCAACCTTTGCTTGATTATATTCACTCTTACTCTGAAGTATTTCGAATTATTATTTGTCTTGTCCCCATTAGACTATTAAATCTGGTGTGCAGCTAAGCTGTTTCATGCAGGTCACTCCCATTTCTCTTTCTTCTCTTCTGATATAGATGGGTTCTGTATGTTAATGGGAAGGAAAGCATTACAGATTGCCCTTCTGTGAATGATGGCAATTGGCATCATATTGCTGTGACTTGGGCAAGTGGAGATGGAGCCTGGGGAGTGTACATCGATGGAAAATTGTCTGATGGAGGCAATGGCTTATCTGTGGGAACAGAAATCCCTGGTATGTCTCCCTTCATTATTTATCTGGCTATATTAATTTGCCATGTTATTCTGAGAGACATTTGCCATGTTATTCTGAAGGGATGTAAGATTCACATCCTACGTAACGTAGTAATATTCTAACAATATTAATGAATCATTTAAAGCTAAACTAGTTTATTGTCCCAAGCATCTAGTGCCAACTATTATGTACAATAGCAATAATCAGTAGCCGTATTCCTTGCATTTGTGTGAGTGAACCTGTATGAAAAATGTAGTATCTGAAATCAATCCAAACGTAGCTATCGTAGGATGCCGAAGGAAGCAGCATTTGCTATCTGCTTAGACACAAATAGTTATCTCAACTTTTTTATTTCAAACTGCAACACATTCATCTAATTTTATATAATTACGCATGAAAGCACCCATTCCTAACTACAGATTATATCAAAATAAACAAATATGTGTTGTAACGTCACAAGCTCCAGCTTTCCATTCTCTTATTGCACAGAAAACACGGGCATAAGGGAGGAGTTTGCATTGCAAAATTTCATTCTTGGCCTGCTTATTCTCCCCATGGACATCTATGATTAAATGAATGAATTGTGAAAACCACATCTGAAGAGCTTAACATTTATATACAATGTCTATATTCTGCCCCCCTCAGCAATCTGCCTTATGGTATGAAGTTTCTCCTAGAATGACAGTGCTGAATTCAAGTTCTTAGTTATCAAATGCACTAGCTCCTTATTCTGCTTTCCTTATAAATAGGTGGAGGTGCATTAGTACTCGGACAGGAGCAAGATCAAAGAGGAGAAGGCTTTAATCCAGCTGAATCTTTTGTTGGCTCAATTAGCCAGCTAAACATTTGGGGCTATGCTCTGCCTCCTGAACAGGTAATATATTGACTCTAATTTGGTTTTACTGAAAGTTCTGTTTTATTAAAGCTGTCTGCTATGGGTCGAACAGTATTGGAGTATACGTGCCAACAACCAATTTTTAGCTATATGAATTATATAAAACTAAAATTAAATACAGAATAATCAGTAAATCCATTTATGAGGATTCTTCAAAGGGATGTGTTCATGGTAAACATTCCAAACAGAAAAGAACAAGGATGGGCCTTTTTGTCTTATTTTCCTTTTCATGATGCATTCAATTGTACATTCACTACAGAGGTGGGTTTCAGCAGGTTCTGACCAGTTCTGGAGAACCGGTAGCGGAAATTTTGAGTAGTTCGGAGAACCGGTAGTAAAAATTCTAACTGGTCCCGCCCCATCTATTCTTGCCTCCCAAGTCCCAGCTGATCCGGAGGAAATGGGGATTTGGCAGTATCCTTTCCCCGGAGTGTGGTGGGAATCGAGATTTTACAGTATCCTTCCCCTGCCACACCCACCAAGCCACGCCCACCAAGCCATGCCATGCCACGCCCACCAAGCCACACCCACAGAACCGGTAATAAAAAATTTTGAAACCCACCACTGATTCACTAGTGACCGAAAAGTATCTTGTCAATTTCTGTAGCTTCCAGATCAGCTGTGGCCCCTGTGATATGACCAAAAGCAATTTGCTATTGATGTATTTCTTAGCAATAAAAGGGCTTCTCACTAAATGGCATTGGAGCAAGTAATCCTAGGCCTATTATTAAGGGGGAAATGGAAACGGAGAAGAAGGGGTTAACTAAATCACCTTGAGCTTCTGGAAGAAAGGCAAACAAATGAATTGAACTGAATTAAGATATGTGAGAGAAACACAACATACTTTGCAAAACATTAGAGTGGTTCATGATAATATAGTTTTATATCTTTCATCTTTTTCTAAAGTAATACATGCAAAAACTTAAAGCAAGGGTCATTGCAAAACTGATCATGCCATTTTAAAATAATAAATTATTAAAATGAAATTAATTTTATATACTTAAGTGTCTTTATGTATGTGTATGTATATAGATGGCTACACACACACACACACATATGATAATCCTCCATTTTTCTTAATAAAAATCTATCAGTTTATCAGGAAATTTGTTCTCAGTTTTAGAGTTTTTCAAGCGTATCCGAGATTGAAAACTGCTACAAAGGTGTTTGAATGGAAAAATGTTTCTGTCTGAGCATTTTGTGTGTGTGTGTGTGTGTGTGTGTGTGTGTATTTTGCATTTGCTTCAACTAAATGTTAACAACACAGACAAATACATGTGTATCTTATTCTTCCTTGAATTCTAAGGTGAAGTCTTTGGCTACATCATGTCCAGAGGATCTCCAGAAAGGCAACGTATTAGCTTGGCCAGATTTTCTTCCTGGGGTTGTTGGAAGAGTGAAGATAGATCCCAGGAGCATATTCTGTGCTGGTTAGATCTTTTGTTCTCTTTTAAAGCCTTAATAGAAGTATCATACAGTTGCATTCAAACCATGTTCAGAAAAACTGTGGCACTGAATGAAAGGTTTCGGGAAGGTCTCAGAAAATCAGTAATGAAAATTATTTAACTTGCAACAGGCAGGTATAATGAAAGAGAAAATCAACAATATTGATATTTCTGACTTTCCCTTGCAACAAAGAGCATACAGGTAGTCTTCAGTGTACGACCACCATTAAGCCTAAAGATTATGTTGTTAAGTGAGAAATTTGTTAAGTGAGTTTTGCTCGATTTCACGACTTTCCTTGCCACAGTTGTTAAGTGAATCACTGCAGTTGATAGGTTAGTAACCTGGCTGTTAAGTGAATCTGGCTTCCCCATTGACTTTGCTTGTCAGAAAGTCGCAAAAGGAGATCACCTGACTCTGGGACACTGCAACGGTCATAAGTATGACCCAGTTGCAAGCATCTGAATTTTGATCACATGATCATGGGGATGCTACATAGGTCGTAACTGAAAAACAATCGTAAGTCACTTTTTTCAGTGGTGGTGCCACTTTGAACAGTCAGTATATGAACTGTTGTAAGTTGGAGACTACCTGTATTCTAGGACAGCAGTCCCTAACCTTTCCGGCTTTGTGGACCGGCAGAGGGGGATGGGGAAATTGGATGGTTCAGTGCAAGCATGTACACCCACCACTCGTGCAAGTTGAGTTCGGACACAAATGCGTTTGCCCACTGTTTGTGCGGCCCAGTTCCGAACGGCCCACAGCCCAATACTAGGTGGCAGCCTGGGGGTTGAGGACCCTTGTAATAGCATACATTCTTAATTCATTAGACTGTAATGAGTGGCCAGTATTTCATATGGAAACAAGAAACCAGTCATATTATACAGTAGAAAAATGGAAGAAAGGGAGAATTATTAAGGGCAAGAAGATTTAATAATATTTTAGAAACATAGTTTAATATATTTAAGGGAACAGCTTTAAAACATAAGTATTACTAATAACATTTTAATATAATCCACTCCTCTATAAAGTTTGTAGTAAATATTTACCTTAGATGAATATGTTTTAAGTTAAATGTTACTGAAATAAGCTATTTAATTTCAAATAAATTAATTAAAATAACATAAATTATGAATATGATTTTTATTTCATGAAAGTGTGGTTCAAGAATAAATTCTAGCATAGTAGGTTTTTAATTATTCCAGTTGTTCCTATTAACTATAAAATGCATCCTGAAATTCTGTCTGTCATTCCACATTCTTATACTACACAGAATTCTCAAAGCAGGAGCATCAGGGAAAATAATTCCCTGATAGCACATAGAAAAATGTTTTAAATTTACTGGTATTAGTTCTGAGGCATGAGGCTAAAAATACAATTATCCCCATGGCCTTGCATGGATACACTTGATCATTCAATGACTGGAACATTCAGTCTTAATTCCTCAAATTCCAGTGTTGTGTAATAAGTGTTCATTGGGACCTCAAGCAAAATATTTATGGTTTCCTGCATTAAGAATGTTGAAAGCATGAAATTTAGGACTGGGTCATAGGGAAATATTTCTTGGCCTTCATGAAACAATCATTCAATTTTTTCTTGATTCATTATTTGGTTTTTGTTGTTACTGGATTTTTTTGTCATTTTTAAATATAAACATTGTTTTAACTTAAGTATTGAAATGTAGAACACTTCCTACTTTAAGAGAGCTTAGAAATATTTAGAGATTTAAGCAGGTAGCTTATTTAGTACAATATGAAGAACGTGAATGATGAGTACAGAATTGTAGGATTTAAAGTTGATTTTTGTATGTGTGTATAAATATTCACAACTCAGTCATGTTTCCCTTATTCTCTCTTATCACATAGATAAAATATAATCCTCAGAATCTTCTTTCTCTAAAAAATGGAGTGTTGATTTGGCAGTACAGTGTAGTGGAATTTCATTCTAATGGAAGGGGGATTTGTTAAATAAAAATGTACATAATTATGTCAGATTAGATCATTGCAGTACACAAGTTATATTGTTTATAACATCACACAAATTATCATCACAGAAATTGGGTCAGTTGCCTGCAAAATCCACTGTAAATGGTTCAATTGCTCTATGGGGATATTATATATAAATTGTGCATATATGTTGATTTGTTCACAGATTGTCAACCTTTAGAAGGATCCATTCCCCACCTGAAAACTTCATCCGCTACTTTAAAGCCAGGATCAAAAATCTCTCTCTACTGTGATCCAGGTTTCCACATAGTGGGAAATTCTGTCCTGCATTGTCTAAATTTAGGACAGTGGGCACAACCTCTTCCACATTGTGAAAGTAAGCAGCTATTTTTGGAACAGTTTTAACTTAAGGATATACAGCACTGTTGTTCAGAAGTTCCTGGATATAAGCTAAAAAAAAAAAAAGTATTGAATGGATGTCACTTAGGGACACCCAAGGTAGTTTTTTTAATTGTTTTCATATAATCTAAATGTATTGTTAGTTTACAGAATAAATTTGTGTGTGTGTATGCATATACATATATATGAGTATGTGTTAGATCAGGGGTCACCAACCTATTGGACCTCAGGGACCACTAAAGTCATAATTGTAAATCCTGCGGACCACTAATATGAATTTTTTAAAAAAATAAATAGTATTTAGTGCAATATAAAAGATGCAAATAATTTTTCTGCGGACCACCAAAATTTTCTCACGGACCACCAGTGGTCCATGGACTACCAGTTGGTGACCGCAGTGTTAGATGGTGCATGAGATGAGATGTTATCGTATTCTTGAGGGCTTATTGGATTTGTTCTTCATGACCATTGTAGCTTTTTCAATGTTTTGTTGAGACTGTTTCCACATTCTCTTTAATGTACTTTTAGCAGCAAATTTTGGAAGCGGTTGCTGCTTGACTACAATCGGTACAAAAGATGAAATTCGAAAAGCAAAGGAAAGCACACAGCACACTTTCTTCTTTAGATTTCAGCCATAGACATTGAAGTTTGTATTATTAACATAACTAAAAATAGAATTATATTGTCACCAGGAACTAGAACTTAAGCTCATGAAAGCCATTTGAAGAAGTGTTTAAATAAATATGCCTCATTCCCTAATAGGTTTATATGTGAATTTATATACTGTTTGGGTATAGGAATCAGTTGTGGAGAACCTCCACCTTTAGAACATGGATTTTACTCGGCTGAGGATTTCTTTGCTGGAAGTTCTGTAACCTACCAGTGCAACAGTGGTTATTACTTGTTGGGAGACTCAAGGATGCTATGTACAGACAATGGAAGCTGGAATATTATTTCACCATCTTGCCTTGGTAAGTCCACATAGACCCCATGGTTAATATCAAAAGCTAAATCTATGCTTTCCTGTCCAATTCTAAGGATTTTGTGACTATGAGTGACCACAGGCATGCAAGTGTCATTTCTTTTATCACGATGGATACAGGACCTAAAAAGATTCTTGGGATTTCTCAAGTCCTACATGTTCCATAGGATTTATAAAAATACTTAACTTGTGAAGGAGTTTAAAGCTCAGGTTCTCGGCGGTATATACAGTTTTGTGGGATTTTGGATTCTGGTAGAAAGGAGAAATCATTATTTATTAATTTATGGTCCAAGACCAAACCAACAAACATTAAAACATATATAGTAGTTTAACATTTAAATGTATAAATTACCTAGACGTCAAAAACAATCAAATCTTTGAGGAAAGTACCAGCCAATTCCCTACAGATAAAAAAAATCACTTCTGCCCTACATATATTTAGCTCTTGCCAATCTAGCAATTCAAAAGAAAGCAAAAGAGAGTAGATAAATAGTACCATTTTGCTGGGAAGGTAACAGTGCTCTGTGTTTTGCTGCACGCTTCACACTACAGCTTGATATCATGATGGCTACATGACCATGGGAATGTCTTTGGACAACATTGGCTCAATGACCTTGAGATGGAGATGTGCGCTGCCCCCTAAGGTCAGCTATGATTAGCAGAGTAAAATCTACACAGACTCCTTTACTTACATAGATTTAGAAATAGGTGACTTAAAAGGAAAGAAATGATCTCTTTATCATAAGAAAAATAAAACTGCAATAATTAGGGTTATACATTTTAATAGTTACTGTCTATAGAGTAGACATTTAATAGATAATAGTGTACAGATTCTACCTTCGTATTTGAACACAAAATTGTTATGTGGGAGGTTGAACTATCTTCCAGTTGTTGCTCTGATGCGTGATGCATTGGTTCAGGCCAGAGGAGGGGCGGGACACTAGTGACACTTCTGGTAGGAGGAGGTATGTGGTCCATCAAGCTTTTTTTCCACATATATAGGTTTATATACATTAATTACATTTTTTGACAGAACTTGATTTGAAAACTTTCAAGAATTGCTTACAGTACAAAGAATGTCTGTTTGCATTTTTGTCATCACTCAGAATCTGCCTCAGTCAGCAGTTTCTCGTAAGTTTTATTATATCCTTATAAAGCACCATGTGTACTTTGTATAGAAAGAAAGAAAAATGCAGGCATCCACATTTTTTTCACAGATTGCTTTCAAAAGATCTTAAAATAATCAGCATTTTAATATTTTGTAAGGGAGCAGAGCTAGTCTCATTCCTAGAAAGCTAATTTCTGGAAGTAGAACACTTAAATTCTGGTACAGTTAGTCCTTGACTTATGACCCCAATTGGAATTGGAATTTTGATCAGTAAAAGAGGCAGATGTTCCTCTTCAAAGGTGATCTGCCTGTCAGCAGCTGACCTTCCTCTATATTTCTGCAGGCAGGCAGCTCTCCATCTGGTCGACCACCTCCCCCAGTGCCTGAGGGGCCTGGGACAGCATCCTCCTCAGCGCCTGGCCTCTCCAATCATACCAAGGGAGAGGTGCCATCCCTGTTAGACTATCCCAGTTCCAACTCCTCATCCTCCAAACCGGGGTCTGATGAGCCCAGATTGCAAGATGATTTATGAATCTAATGCCATCAACATTCATGGTATTGCAGAGAATAAGAAATACAAGATAGGCCAAGATTTTAATCAGAATGGCCTAGAAAATTAAAAATTGTGAAGAAGAAAAGGGTAAAGACAGTAATGGATGAATGGGAGAAATCATAATTAGATGCCATTTGGTTCAAAGGGAGAACTAGAAAAGGCGAGCTACATAGTTGGACTGAAGTTTACCGAGAGTGACAGAGAAATGTTAGCAGCATTTGGTATTTTCTGTGAGTGCCAGGCTTAAGAGGCAGCAAAAGAGAATGGGAGGAGACTTTCGGGAGATTAGAAGATATTCTGAAATGAAAAAGATACAGGGAGGTTAGAAGCAGTACAGGAAAATGAGGATAAAGAGAGTTACATTTTCTTAGTAACATGAAGTACTGTATTTGTTTCTAGATGTTGATGAATGTGCAGTTGGTTCAGACTGTGACTCCCATGCTTCTTGCCTTAACACAAATGGATCCTACATATGTACCTGCATTCACCCATATACAGGAGACGGCAAGAAATGTGCAGGTAAAGAAGCCGGAATGGAGAACAGTTTGGATGGGCATATGAAAAATTGCTTGTATTCTATAGAATCATAGCTATATTTTAGTCCTCCTCTCGAAATCCATCACTGAAATTCCAGATTACCAGCCTTCCAAAATTTGTAGTATAGCAATAGCACGTTGACTTCCCAGTGCTTTACAACCCTCTCTAAGCAGTTTATAGAGCCAGCATATTGCCCCCAACAATTTGGGTCCTCCTTTTACTGACCTTGGAAGAATGGAAGGCTGAGTCAACCTTGAGCTGGTCAGGATCGAACTGCTGGCAGCTGGCAGTCAGCAGAAGTAGCCTGCAGTACTGCATTCTAACTACTGCGCCACCACACCAGTATAATCAGCATAAGTTTTAAATGGAGCTAACTTAAAGATTTTATTAACATTTGTATTAGTAATCCTTTATTAAGACCACATTACACCTTATTTATCTTGAAACTAAATCATTTTTTCTAAAATGATACGGTCTATTAAATCATATATTCAATGGATAATGAATAACACTATTTCCAAGCAAATTCAGACCTGGTAACTTCTCATTTGTTCCTTGGATTGGGGAAAACGTCATAAATTTAACACAGATAGCTAGCATTATAACCCAGAATTGGCAAAAAGGCAAAAAAAAAAAAAAATGCAAGAGGATCAAGATAGCTCTTTCCTAGAAGTTCTCGAAATATACCTTTAACGCTGCAAGTAGCTGCTTTGGTTTGGTAAGATTTCTATCTATAGGTAAGGAAACTGCTTAGAAATAACTGTTTTTCTTGGTTTTGTAGCCTGACACTAGAATAGTGTTGAAAATAGTAAAGAAAATTTCTCATGATGCAAGGTGACCAACTTGCAGTAGTGGTATAAATCCAAGTAATGAAAAAATGACTCAAAGGTTGATATAACTTGTTCTTCAAAGAGTTTGATGAGCATTCCCATGCTTTTTTTTTTTGTCTGGGCTTTTACCCTGCCAAGTTGCCTACTTCAATGTTGCGTGATTTGTTTTCATTTTTAAGCACATGAGCCACACCTGATGTCAGTAAGCTCTGTTTTACCTTATATCTGATTCCAAAGAACCCGTAAAATGCAAACACCCGGGAGATCCTGAACATGGTCGCTCGCATGGTGTCAGCTACACTGTTGGTAGCGAAATCAGGTTTTCATGTGAAAAGGGCTACCAGCTAAAAGGAATGAGTCAAGTTACATGTTTGGAATCTGGGGAATGGAGCCATCTGATACCATTCTGCGAAGGTATTTTTTTTTAATACTTATTATGATTATATAGATAGAACTGATAGCTGCCTGGGGTAGGCAGTTCAGCATAAAATTTATAGGAATTGCTTATTCAGGGGAAAAAAATGTACCAAAACATGATACTTAAGAGTTCATAGATTTCCTTCCGTAGGTGCCAATATTGGATTTGTAACTTAAATAGATGTTGTTATTGATAGAGACTATATCCTGGCCATTCAGACAATGCTTATCTCCAGTGGCTGCTTAAGGAAGAACAGTCCAAAACAGGTGTCTAGATTCTGTGCAGCAGCACTGGGGATTCGTCAGTAACGTGTGTCAAATCCACTGTAGCTATTTTATACAACAAATGTGGCAAATCCTTTGCACTGCTTATTCCTTTTCCTTTTAATAATAAACTGACCATGGGCCTCACAGTTTATGGATTGTAATTTTAGTATAGTTAGACCATGTATAATCGACAGACTGGATTTTATCATAGATTTTACTGTTATTTATTACTTTATTTTAGATTTTTTTTTATTGTATATTTATTAAGTGTTTTTATTTGTTCTGGTCTCTGGTCTATGATTGTAATAAATTGAATTGAATTGTAATGATAGAGGCTTCCAGTGTTATTTTCAGTTGTGATTATTTAGTTGCAGACACATATCAGTAATTCACATTTAAGATGGTTGAGCTTCTCATAAAGGAAAGGGAAATATTCATAAATCATTCAGTGAAGCGGTGATGGAACACAAGCTTATCTGAGATTATGTAAAAACTATTGTATATTGGACAACTCTCTTGCATTCCAGAAATGGAGTAACAGTGAAATTCTTTATGAATTTCTACATTCCTTTTTGTTCCAAATTTACCTTCTAATAACATAAGATTTTTCTGCTCTCCAGCTACTTAATACTAGCATTTAATGTGATTTCCATTTCCGTTTTGGGAGTGCAGTAATGTTATAGCAATATATTTTGCATAATCCAAATGATGTTTTTAATTTTTTTTTTTCTTCAAGCTATTTCCTGTGGTATTCCACCCCACCCTAAAAACAGTGCAATCGATGGTTCCAGATTTACATTTGGTAGTAAAGTAATGTTCAGGTAGGAGATCATTATATCTGGGACTTGCAACAAATATGGAAAATATATAATAATCATTGGAAAAAAATTAATAGGATATATGTAATGCATTTAGTCTGTATTAGAAATACTACAAAGTATTTATTTATCTATATCCCACCTCTATTATGTGTACAAATAACTCAAGGCAGGGAATATATCCAACACACCTTCCTCTCCTATTTTCTCCACAACAAAGCTGGGAGGTAGGTTGGACTGCAGTACTGAAAATACCAAAGTGCATTTTGTAGAAGTTTGGGGAAACTATCTGCTTCCATCTGTGAAATTATCAATTCGCATATTTTGTATTTGGGAAGAAGGTGGACATTGATACTTGCATTGGGGGGGGGGGTTTCTTGCAAACAAGGCAATAGCTACTTTGTAATAATAATGTACACAATGAAATTGTATTGCTGTCATTGACTATGAAATATTTTAAGTGTTCTAAATGTTAACCTGCTTTGAAACTATATATGAATGGGCTTGGTTAGAGAAATACAAATATTTAATAATTATCCTTTGTAAAATAGTTCAGTTTGGAAAGTAACTTTTGTCTGTTACTTATCTTTGACATAGTAGAGGTAGTCCATTTTTAACAATAGTAATGCGGACCAGCAAGTCCATAGCTAAGTTACATGACTATAAGGCAGGGCTGTCAAACTTGGAGCCCACAGGATGGATGCGTCGCACGCTGGCCATGCCCGGTTTAGCAAAGTGGGGAAAGTCACAATATGTCACGTGACACCTCTGTGACGCCATGAGTTTGACACCCCTGCCTTAAAGCATGACTTAAAACAGTTACAGCAACTCCAGTTAATGTGGTTAGGTGACTCCTATGTGATCACGGAGTCCCGTGGTCCCATAATCACCATTTGCCAGCTTCTCCATTGACTTGTTGGTCATAAGCTGGCAGTGAAGATTGAAAACTGTGATCATGTGACTGCTGCAGCCATCATCAATGTCAGCCAGTTGCCAGGCATCTGAATTACAATCAACAGTCATAAATCACCTCAATCAGTGCTGTTGTAACTTCAAATAGCCACTAAATGGGTGGTAACTAAATGAGGGACTATCCAGATTTCACGCAGTAATATCTACTTAACCTACAGTATATTTGACAGAGAATTGAAATCAAACAGTTAATGCCATGTAAATATCACATGATACTCATTTGATGCTTTATTTTGCTGTAGCAGGAATTACAGAGGAGATGGTAGCCTTTATACTTGCTCTCATGCACTGATTGCTCTGTAGCTGGTCAGAAATCTGGAAAAGTGGGAAGAATTATAAACTTTTAAAAACATAACTGCTGGCTATAGAATATTATGTTTTACATAGTTAGAATGATAGTGTAGTGATTTGTGCTGATAAATGACCACAGCTATCTTATTTCAGTTGCAGCTTTATATTTGAGAATTCATGCTAATACATCAGGAGAAATACTGTGAAACAGACATGTACCAAAATATATTTATATCTTTTTTTTTTTTTGTCTACCTGCAGATGTGAAGAAGGATATGTTTTAGTGGGTAAAGCAGAAGCAACATGTCTAGCGAATGGCAGATGGAACCATTCTTCCCCGTTTTGTGAATTAGTACAATGTTCCCTCCCAAAAGAAATAAAGAATGGAAAATATATCACGAACGGTGTGATGTACCTTTCTAATGTATCTTACACGTGTGACGTGGGGTACAGGTAATCAGAAAACCAGATTTTATTTGGTATATACTACGTCCTTGTTAAAATTGCAGAAGAAAAACTAACATGTATTCATGAATTGAAAATATATACAAAATGTTCCATATGGAACTTAAACTGCTTTTTTTTTTTTTTTGCTTTAATTTATATGCCGCCCTTCTCTGGAGACTCAGGGCGGCTTACAATGCGTTAAGCAGTAGCCTTCATACTTTTGTATATTTATACAAAGTCAGCTTATTGCCCCCACAATCTGGGTCCTCATTTTACCTATCTTTGAAAGGATGGACGGCTAAGTCAACCTTGAGCCTGGTGAGGTTTGAACTTGCAGTAATTGCAAGCAGCAGATGTTAATAACAGTGCTTAGTCCACTGTGCTAAAGGCTCTTCTTTTTATTATTTGGTGCCGTATATTATTGCACAGTGGAAAGCAAATGAGTTTCAAAATACTGTTTCCTAATCATTTTTGAAGCATGCACATTCTGACTGACTCAACATGGTTTTTCAAGATTTGTGCTCCCAAGGTTATTACTTATAATTCAGAAATGGTGCACAGGTAGTTCTTGATCTACAACCACAATTGAGACCAACATTCCTGTTGCTAAGCAAGGCAGTTGTTAAGTGACTTTTGCCTCATTTTATGACCTTTCTTGCCACGGTTGCTAAGTGAAGCACTGCAGTTGTTAAGTTAGTAATATGGTGGCTAAGTGACTCTTTCCTCCCCATTGTCTTTGCTTGTCAGAAGGTCACAAAAGGTGATCACATGATCCCAGGACACTTGCAACCAAGAGAAATACATGCCAGCTGCCAAGCATCCAAATTTTAATCACATGACCATTAACGATGCTGCAATAGTCATAAATGTGAAAAATGGTCATAAGTCACTTTTTTCAGTGTTGTAGCTTCGAACAGTCACTCAATCAATGGTTGTAAATTGAGAATTACCTGTATATATCCCTGGATTGATTGTTAATCAAAGTTGAACAATTTCAACAAATCCTTAAATGAAAAAGAATATTTGTTGTCCTATTTGGACAGAAAGAGCTCCCCCCCCCCCCACTTTTTATCTTACCCACTATCTACTCTATGTTTTTTATTTATTTGTTCTTTAGTCTACAAGGACCGTCTGTACTTGTATGTGAAGCTTTAGGTAACTGGAGCAGCTCACCTCCAGATTGTGAAATCATTTCTTGTGGCCTTCCTCCAGTAATTAAAGATGCTGCTGTTACTGGAAACAACTTTACCTTCGGGAATACTGTCACTTATACGTGTAAGGAAGGGTACGTAAATCAGCATTAAATTCTAACTCTAGCCATATCGTTTGATGAAATGTTATTAATAATATTGTGGCTTTTTTTTTTTCTAAATCCATATTTCTGTATTCACCTAGGGCAGGTTTTGTAAAGTTCGCTGCCCGGTTGCTATGGGGGCATGATCTCCTGCACCATGGTGGGGGGGGTGTTTTTTCCCTCCAGAGCCTTTCCTCGAGCCTCTAGGAGGGCAAAAATGGCCTCCCCCGGGCTCCGGTGGGCAGGGTCAACCAAACCTTGTAACTACCGGTTTGGCAAACCAGACTAAAATTAGCATTCGATTCATCCGAACCAGCTGAATCACACCCCTATATATGTGTGTGTGTGTGTGTGTGTGTGTGTGTGTGTGTGTGTGTGTGTGTTTATTGCAATTTCTATTATTGTAATGGTAAGAGGAAATTACGGGGAAGGGGGGGCACAGCTTGCAGCTGCTTAAAGGACAAAGAAAGAAATTCAGAAAGGAGCCTCCATAACTTCTCAGACTGTAAAAGACGGCAGGAGATTTGTACAATCCAACCTGCAAGATTCTGTTAATACAGCCTTACAACAAAGTAGAATTAGCTCATCTGGTCATGTTTCCTATCTGGTATATCTGAGAAGGCTGACAATTACATATAGCGCGGCCAAAGTTGTCTCAGTTCTTTAAAAACAATTGAAAATGTTCTATGAAATTTATTGGAGTTCAAAGTGCTTAAATAAAGTTCTTGCTAGTGCACTTAAAAAAAAACACGACATTGAATTATTTACAATTATAATGCATTTTCACATATTAGCCAATTTGACAGTGACTTTGAAATGTGACTTTCCCCCTGTGGTCTTGTGAGTTAGAAGTTTATTTGTACAAGGCAATAAAAGTTGTCTACTCAGCCCTTAGGAATCTATCCCTGCTATTTTTTCTAACCCATAGCTACACATTACTCGGCCCTGACACTGTGTCATGTTTGTCCAATGGCAAGTGGAACCTCAGTCAACAACAGTGTGTGGCAGTATCCTGTGATGAGCCACCTCCCGTGGAACATGCTTCTCCAGAGAGTGGTCATCGATTATTTGGTGATATAGCAATCTACTATTGTTCTGATGGGTACAGTCTGGCTGGCAATTCCCAGTTACTTTGTAATGCCCAGGGCAAATGGATGCCCCCTGCAGACCAAGATATTCCTGAATGCATAGCTGACTTCTGCGAGAGACCAGAGTCTGTATCATACAGCATCTTGGAATCTTCAAACAAGGCCAGATTTTCAGCTGGGTCAGTTGTGAGCTTCAAATGTACGGAAGGTTTCGTTTTAAACACTTCCGCTAAAATAGAATGTGTCCGAGGTGGTCAGTGGAACCCGTCTCCCTTGGCGATCCAGTGCATCCCCGTTCGTTGTGGAGAACCAGCAAGCATTGCAAATGGGTATTCAATTGGCACCAATTACAGTTTTGGTGCCATTGTGGCTTATAGCTGTATTAGAGGCTACTATATTAAAGGAGAGAAGAAGAGAACGTGTGAAGCAACAGGAACTTGGAGTGGTAGTATGCCAACTTGTCATCCAGTGTCCTGTGGTGAGCCACTAAAACTTGCAAATGGAATGATTAAGGTATTGGTACAGTCTTGAACATAAGCAAAATAACGTTTTGTGCATTAGATGCAGTCAACACTGTCTGAAAGCTTATTATAGATCCTAAAATCCCGAAACCTTACTAAAAGTGAGCTAATTTTTGTAATTATGGGAATGTATTCGTGTTAAGGAAAATCAGAAGTCTGGTGCTATATGATAGCTTCAATATTTACCTCACTGATACTTCCAAATCTGGGAAAATTTTCAGTAGGTAAGCAGAAAGATTTGCAGTAGTGCCAGAAATATTTGGTTATTCGGCATAAGCACTAAGAGGGAACTAAGTCTGTATACACATGCATATACATATACAGAGACACATTTTAAATATAGATACATATTTCATGTCTGTCAAAACTTTGTAAACTAACATTTCATAAATTGGAGGCAGAAAGCCTACATTCTGCCATTTTTTTAAAAGTGGGATAAGTTACTGTATTTTTCAGAGTAAAAGATGCACTGGTGTATAAGACACACCTTAGTTTTTGGGGAGGAAAATAAGAAAAAAGCTGATTGGCAGGTGGATCGGCCTCCCAGAATACCCCCCAATCAGCTGTTCCCTGAGGTGAATTTTAGCAAAAGGTTCCTTGGTTGTGAGCTCTGTGCCTTGCCTTTTTTCGCTTTTTTTTCTGCCTCTGAAACTTCAGAAACTCTGTTTCAGAAAAAACATTTTTTCCTGCCTCTGAAACAGAGCTTCAGGAAAAAAAGCCTCTGAAGTTCTGTTTGGGGGCTTCTTTTCTGAAGCTCTGTTTGGGGGCTTCTTTTCTGAAGCTTCTTTTCTGATGCTTTTTTCAGCCTCTGAAACCTTCGTTTGAGAAGCTGGGCGGGGCTACATTCAGAGTATAAGACACACCCAGATTTTCACCCTCTTTTGGGGGTGAAAAAGGTGCGTCTTATACTCCAAAAAAATAAGGTAAGTATTGTTCCATAAAATCAGATTGTTAAGATTTTGATGGTATATCACTTTATTGGATACAACATTTCTTTTATCCATTTTACAGAATATGACAGGACGTTCCTTTGGAAGTGAAGTGACATACCAATGTAATGAAGGTTACCAGTTGATTGGAAGTTCAAGGTTATTTTGCCAGTCAAATCGTCAATGGTACAGTGAAGCACAACCTTCTTGTGTGATCCTCAATTGTGGAGAACCACCTACCTTCCAGCATGGATTCAGCAAGGGAAAAAAATTTGAAGTGGGAGCCAAAGTCAGTTTTTTCTGTGTTGAAGGCTATGAATTAATTGGAGATGTTTCATGGACCTGTCAGAAATCAGGAATGTGGAGTAAAAAACAAAGCCCTCAATGCATCCCAACTAAGTGTCCAGAGCCACCATTAACTGAGAATCAACTTGTCTTGAAGGAGATGGCTGATCAAGTAGGGATAGTACAGTTGTCATGCAGAGAAGGACTTATTTTGTATGGTGCTTCCATCCTGAGATGTTTGTCATCCCAACAGTGGAATGACTCTTTTCCTGTCTGCAAAATGGTACTCTGTCGTAGACCTCCTTATATTCCTTTTGGGGACGCTGTGGTGTCTTCTCTGCATTTTGGTAGCACAGTGAGCTACACATGTATGGATGGATTTTTGCTCAAGGGAACATCTACTATTATTTGCCAGGCAGATGGTACATGGAGTTCTCCACTTCCAGAATGCATTCCTGTGGAATGCCCGCAGCCAGAGGAAATTCAGAACGGTATTGTAGATGTGCAAGGCCTCACCTATCTCAGCACGGCACTGTATAGTTGTAAACCAGGTTTTGAATTAATGGGAAACACAACGATTCTTTGTGGAGAAGATGGACATTGGCTTGGAGGAGAGCCTTCTTGCAAGCCCATTGAATGCTCCAAACCCAGGGAGATTAAGAATGGTCGGTATTCATATGTTGATCTACACTACACACACACAGTTACCTATTCATGTGACAGAGGATTCCGGCTTGAGGGACAGAGAGTCCTAACCTGCCTGGAAACAAGGGAGTGGGATACAAAGGCTCCATCTTGTAGAGCAATTAATTGTGATCCTCCTCAGCCTATTGAGAATGGGTTTGTAGAAGGTGCAGATTACAGCTATGGTGCCATGGTTATATACAGCTGTATTCCAGGATTCCAGCTTTCTGGTCTTGCTATGCAGATCTGTGAGGAATCAGGATGGTCTAGTGTTAGTCCAGTTTGTCTACCAACAGATTGTGGCCTTCCTCCCCATATAGACTTTGGGGGATATATAACAATCAGCAGTGAAGAAAAGCATTTTGGCCAAGAAGATGTATTTGAAGAGAGCTTCCTTAAGGCTAGCCAATCACATTTATCTCCAAAAGAAACACAACATTCCTCAAAAGCCATTAATAGTTTGCCACTATCGAGCTATTTATATGGGACTACAGTGTTGTATAGTTGCTATTCGGGCTATGAACTCTTAGGAAATTCCGTGCTAGCTTGCCAAGAAGATGGAATGTGGAATGGTAGTGCTCCTGCTTGCATTTCCATTCAATGTGAATTACCACTGTTCCCAGAAAATGGCTTTGTACATTTTACAGAGAACACTGTTGGTAGTACAGTGAAATATACCTGTAACCCAGGGTACAAGCTGATTGGATCAGATACAAGACACTGTATGTCTGGTAGGCAGTGGAGTGATTCAGCACCAACGTGCAAGATAATATCATGTGCAGTGCCTAGCAGACCCATGAATGGCATAGTAAAAGGAGAATCTTACACCTATGGTAGTGTGGTCCAATATGATTGTGATCATGGGTTTCAGCTAAATGGTTTGCGTAAGAGAACCTGCCAGTCTGATCAAAAATGGGATGGAAATGAGCCACTATGCCTTCCCATTTCCTGTGGACAAGCTCCCTATTTAGAGAACGGTGAAGTGAGCGGAGAAGAATACACTTTCCAAAACCATATTGAGTACAGCTGCAAAGAAGGTTTCCTGTTGGAAGGGGATCGGAAGAGAATTTGTCTTGCAGATGGATACTGGAGCGGGAACACTCCAGTGTGTAGGCCAGTCCGGTGTTCTGAACCAGTGAAACTTGTTCATGGCCAGATAATTGGATCAGAATTCGGTGTTGGAAAGAGAATTAAGTTTTTCTGTGATGAAGGGTATATATTGCGTGGCACACACTCTCGTACCTGCCAAGCTAATGGAACATGGGATAAAGAACCTCCATTCTGTGAACCTGTCAACTGTGGGCCTCCTGAGGACATCTCTCATGGTTTCCTGAATGGTTCTGTCTTTAGTTTTGGGGAATACGTAGAGTATGTTTGCTTCCCTGGTTATGAGTTGCAAGGTAATCCAGTGAGGCAATGTCAGTCAAATAGTTTATGGAGTGGAAGACCCCCTTCTTGCCTGCTTTGTGAGTGTCCTATACCCACCATTCAGAATGGGATAGTTATAGGTAACCATTTTGGCTGTGGCAAGAAGATAGAATTTCAATGTCTAGAAGGTTTCGAACTGCTAGGACCTTCAGAAATCACATGTGAAGCTATTGGCAGATGGAGTTCTGGCTTTCCACATTGTGGGCTGATTTCCTGTGGCCCTCCACCTGTGATTCCCTATGCATTTATCAACGGAGGCAGTTCAGTGGATCAAAACACCATAATTTATAATTGTGAGATGGGTTATGTGATGCAAGGAAGCTCGGAATTGACTTGTACAGAAAAAGGGGTCTGGAGTAGGCCATACCCAAATTGCACATTACCGACCTGTGGACCAGCACCTACTGTTCCTCATGCAGTTGCTTTTGGAGAATCTCAAGACTATGGAAGTAAAGTTCAATACAGGTAAGAAGTGTTGATAGTTTCACATTAGAAGGGAAGGAGGGAGGGAGGGAGGGAAGAAGGCTGGCTGGCTGGCTAAGAGTTTCGCAGAGATCTAGAGTTCTCTAATAAAACTTATGAAATAATTTCTAATAAAATTTACAAAATTATTACTGAATTACACTGCCAGGAGTTTCCCCCCCTCCATTAATCAGAATTTATACAACTAAGTACCCTGTTTCCCTGAAAATAAGACATCCCCTGATAATAAGCCCAATCGGGCATTTGAGCACATGCGCTAAAATAAGCCCCCCCCCAAAAATAAGCCCTCCCTGAAAATATTTAACTGCATGCGCAGATGGTCCCCGCCATTTCCTCTGGTTAGGGTTAGGGAGACAGAGCTGGAAATCAGGTAAGACGGCAAGAGGAGCCCTGTCTTGCTCCACGTGCCCCAAAGTAATAAGACCTCCCCAAAAATAAGGCCAAGCGCTTATTTCGGGGTTCAAAAAATATAAGACAGGGTCTTATTTTCGGGAAAACATGGTAGGTTATCCTCAATTGCATTGCAGTAATTAGCTTTTGAATCAATAAGATGCAATTCTGCAGAGCACTATCTGAAACAGGAGTGAGGGACAGCTAGGAAGCTTTGCAATACTCTGTCCAGCTAAAAGATAAAATTTCTTATGAATGATGTAGTCAATGGGTTACCGGTTAACAGTCATATTAATTGTCAGGAACCTTTTTTTTGGTGACTATTACTAAGCTTATTCTTCCACCAAACAAACATTTGCAGGAGCAGTTCCCTGAAATTCTTTTTATTATTTTTTTGCTAGTTGATGCATCTCAGGGCACATAACTAAAGGAGAAGAATGATTAATGTGGAATGTACAACAATTCATATGAGTTACAAAAGTTTACCTTGTTTCAGATGTCTGGAGGGTTATACGATAGAGACAGAAGTGGATATATGCACCTGTCAGGAAGATGGGCACTGGTTCCCTAACACTATTTCCTGTTGTCCCAGAAAATGTCCAATGCCACTAAATATAACCAATGTTATTATTTCTGGTACTGAATTTACTGTGAATAAAAGCATCACCTTATCGTGTCCAGAAGGCTATCTTTTGATGGGTACCAGCACCTCCACTTGCCAGGTAAATATTTTTTTTCCTCCAATCTGTTTTGTTTTGGTTATGAAAAGCCCCGTCTTATAGCCATATATCAATAGTATAGCCACTAATGTTGTGTTTATTATAAAGGACAACACAAAACTGTTTTCAAAATTATTCTGCCCTTTAAGCTTTTGAATGCCAGTAAGGGAAAAGCTGGATTCACTACAATTGTTGTTTCATGAGATCTTACAGGATATTTTGAAATGTCTCTTCAGCCAGTTAAAAATCAAGAACATTCAGAAGGTCATATTCCTCCGACTATTTGTTCAGTAACAGAGATCATATATACCATAAAATATATGCCATTTGTTTATTTTACTTTGGGATAAAAATGGTTAAAATTGTATGAGCCTGCCTTCAGTGATTTTTTTTTTTAAATCCATTTTGTCTGTCAATGCATTTCATCCTTTGTAGTGATTCTGCATTTATCAACAAATTACTGATTACCCAGTTTATTATTTAGGATGGAATGACCCAAGCTTCAGAAGATTCAGAAGAAAATAGAATATGATTTAATAATTTAATGGAAAACTTGTTCCTAATGATCGCAGACTAGTTGTTTCTAAAATTTGATATTTGCAATGTTTCAATAATAATTCAACCCAATAGTAACCTTGTGTGAAATAATCTTGTTCTGCTGAAATGTATGCTATCAGGAAAAGCAGAAATCATACTTCCTTTTGTATTAATCTATTGTAGATCTTTGACCTCTGTACATTACTGTGCTGCATATTCACAGTTCCTGCAATACGTCAACATTTCTGTAAATATTCTTGTATGCCCTCTTATACAACTCTGCATTCTTCCCCTTTTCCAAACCCATCAGTGCACTTTTAATTGAAGTAACATATAAGAAATTGGCAGCAAACAAATGCCATGCTACATTGGCTATAGCTGGAGTGCAGATAGCTGGAGTACACTGTTTGACATTACAACCCAATTATGAAATGTAACAACACATACAACATGTGTGTTCTGACCTAGGCTTCCTGATACAGTAAAAGCACACAATGAGTCCCAGAAACCCTCTTTTTATTTCAATGGCTGTGAATTCTACTCATTCAGAGCCTGTTCATTCTCAGTCTGTTCATTCACAGATGAGTCCCAAATAGTTGTAAAGAGTCTGACAGAAGTCTTCCACAGTTCTTCTGATAAGGCTGATAAACACCCACCTTTATCTTCCTTGACACGTTGCCAAGACCTAATTGGCAATTAACTTTGCAAGGCCACACGGAACACAGAGTCAACACAGAGCTGCTGTCTTGAAACCGGCCAGCACAAACAACAGTTGCTTCCTGCAAAGGCCCACATGCCTTTGCTCCAACTTTATGTCTTATGGGAGGGGCCAATTATCTCCAAGCCCTACTCCCGAGTTGATCCTTTTTTTTCTAACTGTTCTTGCCTTCTGGCAGCTCTGCGCATTCGCACACTGGGAACAGGCTCTCCCTGTTCCTCTGCCTCACTGATGTCCAACTCTGGAGGCTTTGGAGTCCGCACATAACTCCCAAATGGCCCTGGCCCCATCTCTGCCTCCGATGCAGAGCCCTTGTCTGAGCCTTCCCCAGACTCCAGGATAACTGGGCCAAAATTAGCCAGCTGGTTTTCATGCCTAGGGGAGAATCAGAACTTGCGATCATTAACGGTTTTTAGGCCAGCATTATAATCTCTACACTAAACACGCTCTTTTATGTATAATTTAACTTGTTTGTAATTATTTTCATTGGTTAGCGAAGCCAAAGATACTTTCCTCTTCTTTCAGCATAATGGGACCTGGGTACCATTATTTTCTAATGAGATATGCACTCCAGTCTCCTGTGGAAAACCTGAAGCTCCTGAATATGGAGTTGTGATTGGCAACCAATACAATTACAAAGATACTGTCCTTTATAAATGCAATTTGGGTTATGAATTAGAGGTAAGTCTGTGGAATATTTTCTATAGTCTGCTCCCTTGTGTATCATCCATGCAATATCATGCCAGGAAAAAGTTAATTCATCAACCTTTTCACTATAATAATTTTTTTCTTAGGATAGCTTTTTCCATTCTTGGGTAGAAAGTCTGAAAATAAAATACAGATTTGCTACAGGATTATGAAGGGTGCATTTAGGTTCTACTTGCTGCTTGTCTCACTTAAAGAAAAAGATCAACTTATGTTAAAGAAACAAAATGTAAAAAGAAAAATCGCACTGAATTTACAGTCATCATAAATGCAACTCCTTCAGGAGAACAGTGTTTAAAATGCTCAAGCATTGCTTGCTTATGTACAGAAGTTGGGGGGGAAAGAGAGACACAAGAAAGTATTTAGCCTTGATCATAAAATATAGGAATATGGTCCTGTATTTTCCATTGTGCAATGGTCATTCCTTAATTTTCATGGATTTGTTTTATTAAATGAAATCATTGTGCATCTTAAAGAGAGCAAAACAGAGATTATGTGACAAGTAAAGCATTGGGGGCAGTAAAGCAAGAGTCATGGAAGATGAAAGATCCCTTTTTTTACCAAAAAAGAAACAACCCAGTGTTACTTTCATGTTACATACTTGTCTGAATGGTGTTAAGTTAGTATTATTGCATACAAATCTACCAGTTAATTCTGTCACAGCAGCAGCTCTTGCATGAATGCTTTCAGTATGAGCTGTGGTGGTTATCAAATTCTTAGCATTTCAACATCTACTTCTAAAAATTAAAACATGTTGTTTAAAAATAACATACTAGAAATAGGAAAGAGTTATATTTCATTTGGAAATTTGTCACATATACCTGTGATCATCCAGCCCTTTTTTCAATAAAAGAAATTAAGAAAATACCATAGGAAAAATGAAGATCAGGTTTATCTTAAGGAAATTGTATTTCTCATATACAAATGTGATTCCACCATTAATACTATGTTTTCCTCATGTTTCTATCCATGGACCAGCAAAGTGGTGAGTAGTATCCAAAAAAAAAAAATAGTCATTATATTGTAGTGGGTTTTTTTTTAAGTAATAAAGCAATGGACATTGTTTTCTGCCCATACAAATGAAAAACCCTGCCCCCAATGCTTCAACAAAGTAACAAAGGTTTAGCTTGTATTTAACCTTTAAATCTGGTTTTTATTTATTATGACGGTGGATTCAGGAGAGAACAGATCAAGTTACTGCTAAATAACAGCTAAGAGAAAAATGGATATCCTATTATCAAATGTTGGCTTCTCCTCTTCATTAAATCATGCAAAATGTAAAGCAAAGGCATATCTGTTTTTTAAAGATTGTGAGAGTATGACAATATGATGGATATATCATGGTGTTTTCTGAACCATTCTCATGTCTGATAGGGTGATGCAGAACGCATCTGTCAAGGAGATAAATTATGGAGTGGAGTAACACCAGTATGTAAAAGTAAGTGATGCATTCATTTATTTCCTCTCAGGCTTAGCTTGAATACGATTTAAAGAAAGATAGAAAGACATTTTGTATTTGTTGATTTTGCCTGCAGAAGCTGAACAGTGTTTAACAATATTTAATATATAAATATATAAATATTATATTTAAATAATATTTATATTATATGAGAATAATATAATAATAATAATAATGCTAGACAGATAAAAATGCCAAATCCAGTCTAAACATCAGTCTCACTGTGCAATGAACTGTAATAATAATAATAGAAGAGAAAGAATTAGAGAAAAATACAAAGACTTGCAAATAGAAGTGGTAAAGTTTTTTCCTGTGGCAAAGAAACAGTAACCATAGCACTTAGATTATATACCACTTCATAGTGCTGTGTGGCCCTCTCTAAGCAGTTTACAGAGTCAGCATATTGCCCCCAACAATCTGGGTCCTCATTTTATCAGCCTCAGAAAGATGGAAGGCTGTGTCAACCTTGAGCCAGATAGGATTGAACTCCAGACTGTGGGCAGAGTTTGCCTGCAATATTGCATTCTAACTATTGCGCCACTATGAAAGCAAAAAATAGGACCTATAGGTCCTATTGAACAAGGACGTACCTTTGGAAAAAGTTCTATTATACTGTCCCCTATCAAATCCAATGTATAGATTGGTTATGATTTTAGTAATTACAGGTAGTCCTCACTTAATAACTGCCCTGTTTAGTAACCGTTCAAATTTACAACAGCATTGACAAATTTGATTGAGATTAGTGCACTTCACAACCATTATCTGTTTATGATTATCATAGTGACCTGCACTCAAGTGATTGCAATTTGCGGGCTTCACAACTAGCTTCCAATTAGTAGAATCAGTGGAGAAAAAATGCAGTGAAATTGTAAATCAGGGTTATGTCTTGCTTAATGACTTGGAGTGACTTAACAACCAAATGAGAAGCGACATTGTGAGTTCATCACAGTCACATAGTATCTCACTTAATGACTGCATCACTTAGCAATGGAGTGCCGGTCCCAATTGCGTTCATTAAGCCAGGACTACCTGTACACATATCTGCAAAACGCTTTTGGATGAATCTGTCACAATCCCATTTTCGCCAGAAAAACAATCTATATGTTCATTCTTCAGAAATATCCTAGGGTTCCCCCGAACCAATAGATTAATGGATCTGTTGTTGGCAAGGACTTTTTACTTGGAGATGAAGTTCTCTACAGTTGTAATCAGGGATATGAGTTACAGGGGCCAACTCGAACGATCTGTCATGTTAACAAGAAGCGGACGCTATTAGCTCCGACATGTGTGAATAAGCAATAATCCATGCACATTGGGGGGGGGAAATCATGTCCTGAGCATACAACCAAAGAAGAAATAGAATAAGTAATAAATTACAGACATAAGAATTCTTTTTTTCTTTCTTTCTTTTTTTTGGGGGGGGGGGTAGACATAAGATGTGAAGCCCCTCCAACAGCAGCAAATGCATTTTCCATAGCCACAGAAAATATGTAGAGAAGTAATATATTTTGTATGCAATTTCGGGTATCACTTACGTGGACCTGAGAACATCACCTGTTTGGCCAATGGATCCTGGAGTCAACCCTTTCCAACATGTGAGGGTGATTATAGGGTATTGTTTGGGGCTTGTGGTTCTTCTAGATTTGTTGTGGCAGGAATCTATTCCGAGCCAATTTCCTAAATTTAATACACCACCCCTTACTCCAACTCCAAGTTATGTGTAATAATGCCCCAGAATTCCACATCGAAAGTAGTTATAGATCTTTAAATCCTTTTTAGACAATGAAAATTCATCCAGAAGATTCTCTGATTACAGGTAGTCCTCGACTTACAACCATAATTTCCGTTGCTAAGTGAGTTGTTCGTTAAGTAAATTTTGCCCCATTTTACAACCTTTCTTGCCACTGTTGTTATTTATCACTGTTGTTGTTAAGTTAATGACAAGGTTGTTAAGTGAATCTGGCTTCCCCATTGACTTTGCTTGTCAGAAGGTCGCCAAAGGTGATCCTCATGACCCTGGGACCCGTCATAAATATGAATCAGTTGCCAAGCACTGAATTTTGATCACATGACCATGAGGATTCTACAACTGTGGGAAGTGTGAGAAATGGTCATATCTCACTTTTTTTACTGCCTTTTTGTAATTTTGAATGGTCATTAAACGAACTGTTATAAGTTAAGGACTACATGTATTAATTAGTGATTGAACGGAGAAGAGCTATCTTAACTATCATACCCTGCTTTTTAGAAACCAGATGTGAAGATCCAGAATTGATTGAGAATGGAAACGTCGTCTCTGAAAATAATACAGTTGGCAGCAGAACTGCATATTACTGCAATAGGGGTTATAGTTTGGAAGGCGAACCAATTGCAGAATGCACAGAAGCCGGAACATGGAGCCACCCAACACCTTCATGCAAACGTATGTTACTTTTTAATAATAGACAGCAGTCTTTACTTTAAAACATCCAAAAACTGAGTTCTGGATATTATTTTCCCCCAAAATGTTCAAATTCATGAGATAGATCTATTTGAATTCAATAAGTCGGGAAAGTAACTTCTGTAATATATATTACATTATAACCATTATTCCTTTTTTATTGAAGTTTTTAATAATTATACCGGTAGTCCAGGGGTGAAATCCAAATTTTTTCCGTACCGGTTCTGTGGGCGTGGCTTGGTGGGCAAGGCAGGAGAAGGATATTGCAAAATCTCCATTCCCACCCCACTCCAGGGGAAGGATACTGCAAAATCCCCATTTCCTCTCCTCCTGGGGGAAGGATATTGCAAAATCTCCATTCCCATCCCACTCTGGAGCCAGCCAGAGGTGGTATTTGCCGGTTCTCCGAACTACTCAAAATTTCTGCTACCGGTTCTCCAGAATCTGTTAGTACCTGCTGGATTTCACCCCTGAGGTAGTCCTCAAGTTAAAACAGCAATGGTCTATCACATGACTTTGATTTATCTTTTGTATTCCCATTTTGGTAATCTCAGTATTATTCTCTTCCACGCTTCCAAACTCTGTTATGTTCTGATAAAAGATTTTAAGGTTTTTTTCTCATAAATTTCTAAAAGTTTATCTATTTAAACTTTTATCTGTATCCTTCCTGAAATATAATTTATTAATATCTCAGTTCAGTTATCAACAACTGTTTTAAGATAATAAAAAGTTATAGCTGGCTTAGCCATTATTAATTTTTTTCTACTTTGTGCTTTAGCTCCCTCCAGTGTCGATTTGCAACCTTCATCAAACCTCAGTTCTATGGATTTAATTCATTTCAGTCATTTGCCACTAAGTATGTTATTTAATGATGTAGTTTTTCAAACCTTAGAGCAAAAATAATCGATATTCCAAATCTCTCTGGTCTCCCAGTCCATTTAAAACTGTCTTAAATCAAAATCCTAGGTTGGTTCTCTCCTTGATTGGTTTCCAGCAATTGATGGAAATTATTCTGTCAGGAGAAATTTCCTGACAGAATAATTAATCAATGGAATGACTTGAAGTTGTGGTACTCCACCAGTGGAGTTTTTAAAGAAGAGATTGGACAGCCATTTGTCTGAAATGATATAGAGTTTCCTGCTTGATGGGGGGAGGAAGTTTGGACTACAGCAGGGGTCCCCAACCCCAGGCCATGGTCCAGTACCAGGCTGCAGCCCGTTGGGAACTGGGCCGCATAAGCTGTGGGTGAATGCACAAGGCTTCATTTGCACATGCACAAGATTAGGTTCAGAGCACAAACCCATCACCTCCCCCACTGTCCCCCCAACCCCACCATCCACCACCACCACCGGTCCATGCAGCCAAAATGTTGGGGATCACTGGACTAGATGACTTCCAAGGTTCCTTCCAACTGTATTATTTTGATTAAATCCTTTTTTTAATTTCTGCCAATTATATATTATTTTAAATTATTGTGCCTTTGTTTAAAATTTCTTAAATCCAAAGAAGGTAAAACTCATCAGGTGTCATATGAAGCTCACTGTTTAAAAGTTTCTAATATCCATAAACTGAATAAATTGAACATTTCCAAATGTGATTAAATAAATGAGTTTGACTGGCCTCATGTCCTTATTAAAACTCCAGTGCTCTAGCAACGATATCAACTCCTTCAGCTCCTGGTGCTCAGTCCCACAGGAGACCATAAAACACAGGTGTCAAACTCACGGCATCACGTTGCCATCACGTGACATATCGCAATGTTTTTCCCCTTTGTGGAGCTGGGGTGGGCATGGCCTGCGTATGACGCATCTGCCCATAGGCCGCCAGTATAACACCCCTGCCATAAAACAGGAACTGCCATTCAGGGCAATTATAGGAGATTTCCCATTCTATCCTCCTCCAGAGAGTATCTAAGGATTGGTCTACTCATCAGTCACAGCAGTTATCATCTCTGCTTTTTCAAGATGTCCTAAGTCACCAAGACTCACAGCGGAAGCTGTAATATAACTATCAATTCTTTAGAAGACTATTGTAAAGCAATTATCATTTCTATTTCTGTAGAAGACCATACTGCTGACTGGCCGTAGGACAATTGTCTACAGTGTACATCTGTTTCTATGCATCCTACATATTTACAATTTTCAACCATATTTCTAAAATATTTATTTCACTTTTGAGAAAGACAAAGTGTTTACTATATAATAACTTTTGCTATAAATGTCTTAATTGACCTTAAGGTGGCAGCAAAGATACAGTGAGTCAGATTGTACAACCAAGCAAGGCATGATGTAATTCTTTTTCCTGTAAGACCCATACAACATTTAGACATTTAAAAACAATATTAGAGGAGGAAACAGAAATAATTTTTACCCAATATTTTTAATCAAAAATTGAGCTTTTGAGGTCTGTTCAGAAACCTGAGAGGTTTGGATGCATGCATCCAATCACATTTATGACATTGGTGGCATACAAACATCCATAAGGCAAACCAACAGCATTAAAAAAAAATATTTAGAATAATAATTTAAAAGATCTGAGTAAAAAATTAAACTTTTTTTTTTCAATTAGAACAAGATGGAACATAATCTCACTGATACTAGGGGGAAAATACTCAGACATTCTTCTCTGTGTGTTCAAATACCATTTGAATTGCTGGAATTAAATATCAAGCCCTGAACAGTTTACAGTTTCTTAAGTATTTGAAAAAAATAATGTCAACTTGCCTGTAAGTTTTGATTATCTTTGGAGATTTTCTGCTGCCTGCTGCCTTATGTAAGACAAGTAATAAATCTATTGAGAGCTTTTCAGTGCTTTTATCCCATTTATGGAATCCCTCTTCCAGTTGATTAATTGGCTTGATTTGTATATAGCCATAATTTTCAAGGATTCTCAGTAGTCAACAATAGTGTTTAAAAATCCAGTAAGTATAGAGCAGTAAGAATTTGCAAATGCCATCACCCCAGATTATCCCCAAATGTTCTTCACAAAAGCCTCATTTTAATAACTTCTGGAAAGAAAAGAAATAAGAATATAGCAAAGAAAAAGGAAATAATATATGACCTCCCCCTTCATCATAACAAACATAAGCAATTTTAGTAACTTATCACCCTCTTTTGAAATATAGCCAATGATCTCTTCTTCCCATATCCCATATCTTATCTGTTAACAAATCCATAAAGCCTCATCATTTTAGTCCTGATGTCCGCAAAATTCTATAAAGTGTTAACAGAAATAACATTATATCTATTTTAACCTTGATCAAGTAAAACAAGTTTATATTCCTTCCTTTTACTTCTAACGATCTTGATCTTTAGACCAGGGGTCTTCAACCTTGGCAACTTTAAGCCTGGAGGACTTCAGCTCCCAGAAGAAGGAGTTGAAGTCCTCCAGGCTTAAAGTTGCCAAGGTTGAAGACCCCTGCTTTAGACACATCAAATAATGTCCTAGAATTGATTTTTTTCCCCAATTTTTCTTTGTTCTCTTTCATAAAAGTCTTCAAAGCTTTAATAAACCTCTTTTCTAAATACAATATTTAAAAGTATCCAGGTCACTTTCTTGGTATGTTATTTGTGTATCCCTTTTAATTAAGAGATCAGCCTGTTTCTTTTGTATGTCCAGTTTGTCTCCATGTCATTTTTGTAGCCTGTCATTTTTAAATCCACTTTCAGATCAGTCTCAGTTATGTCAGCTAAAACTTGTTCTTCTTCCATAGCATCTTTTACACAGTTTTTCTATAGAGTCACAAACTCTTAAAACTAACTTCTGGAAAAATATTAAAAATATTCTTCCAATGCTAAAATATTTTGCTTCATTCTTTATTAACGAGTCAATTTTGAATGTTCTTCTTCGATTGTAATTTTTATTTCCTTAAGAGTTTTTTCTAAGGTCCAATTTTATAGTCTTGTTTTATTGTGTGTTTTATAAAAGAATTCAAACAAAAGCATTTTCCCACAGAAAGGATTCTTTACAATCAGTTCCAGAATCTTGTTTAAATTTATCAGGAACCCTAATCCATTTATAACTTTCTAAAATCAAAGTTTTAATCGCTTTTAATTAAAGTTTTTGTTTGGAGGAGGGATACAGGGCGAAGCAGGAAGATGTGATTGGCTGTGATGTCCGTTATCGGCTAGTACTGTCTGCAAGGTAATGGCTGCATTGGCAGTGATGGCTATGACTGGAATGAAGAGACAGTATTGCATTGTTTCCTGCCCCACTCCCACCAAGCAGAATAATAAAACAGTAAAAGGTGCATCCATGTGCAATCCCTCGTTGGTGGAAGCAGCAGAAACCCTTTCATTCACATCTCCTAATAATTAACAGCAGAATTCCAGAGAGGGTTTATCTCAAGGTTTTTCCTCCACTTTTTTCTTCTAAAAATTGTGTTCGCCTTCAAGCCATTTTCTCTAGAAACATAAAAAGAGCCATGTTTTCCTATATTTTCCATCACACAATAAAACAGCAGCAGAAGGAATCTTTAATAGAAAAACAATAAAGTGGCAAATGGCTCATATATTTTTTTCCTCTCTGGTAATATCTGTTGGAAGTTCACTTTTTTTTTTTTTTGTTCTGATAAGGAAAGGAAGGCGGGAAATTGTGTACAATGAATAATGAGTAAATTTCCCAGAAACAAAAGAAGGAATGGAAATATGTAAGTAAATAAGGGCAGTCGAGATGTATTTCAGTAATCTTTTAAAATCTTATCTTCCCCCCCCACTTTCTTTGCTTTAAGCAGCAAATCCGTGCCCCGTACCTATTATAATCCCAGAAAATGCCATCCTCTCAGAAACAACATTTTACGTTGGGCAAGAGGTATTTATCAAATGCAGAGAAGGCTATCAGCTTCAGGGACAATCTGTGATTAGCTGTAATCCCGATGAGGTCTGGACTCCAACCAGAGCTAAATGTGAGAGTAAGTAGTTAATGAAAAATGGCTTTCATTTTGCTTTTTTTGTTTAAAAACTTTTTTTGTGTCATCTGACTCTTCAGGAAAGCTATGAAACAAAACCAAGAAATAAGAGGTTTTGTAAGCGGACACATATTCATTCAGACATATGCAATTTTCATACATGAAGAGGTACTGAATTGCTAAATAAATTCAAGCAAAGGCTGGGCAGCTATCATCTGGAGATGCCTTAAAATGGACAGCCTTTAGGCTAACAAGAAAAAATCCTTGAGGACAAGAGGGCAATCCTTCAGCTAAAAATGTTCAGTCAAATCAGATGGCACTGCTGCTACTATAGCAATAGCACTTAGACTTACATATCGCTTTACAGTAGTTTACAGCCCTCTCTAAGCGGTTTACAGAGTCAGTATATTTACCCCAACAATTTGGGTCCTCATTTTACCAACCTTAGAAGGATGGAAGGCTGAGTCAACCTTGAGCCTGGTGAGATTTGAACTGCCAAATTGCAGGCAGCCAGCAGTCAGCAGAAGTAACCTGCAGTACTACAGTCTAACCACTGCACCATTGCGGCTCGTGCTACTATAACTGCAGCTGTTCCTCCTTTTTCCTGATTGTAGGTTTCTTTATCTACAGTCCCTTTCTTGTAGCTGAATGGTATATATTTAAGGAGATAATAAAATCTTCCCTTGCTCCAATATACCAGCTGATATTACAGAAAATTACAGATAGCCATGCTCACATATCTAGATTTTGGGGTCTATCTACAGCTTTCTGGAAGATAGAGAGACTGACACAGTTCAATTTTGCAGTTATTTGTTGTCTGTGATGTCTTATGCATTATGTCGGGTTTTAAGGCAACTTACCATTATAAATTCTTTGTTGCCATTTCTATTAAGGGATCTCTTGTGGGCCACCTGCTCATGTAGAACATGCTTTGGTACGTGGAACATTTTATCAATATGGAGATATGGTGACCTACTCATGCTACAGTGGATACATGCTAGAGGGCTCCCTTCGAAGTGTCTGCTTAGAGAATGGAACCTGGGCGGGAACACCAGCTTGCAAAGGTAAATTAGCAGTTTCAACAACAACTATGCAAAGGCAGTGTTCCATGCAAGAGCTACGGGGCTAATGGTATCCTTCAAAGACCATTTTCCAGAAATTTGCCAAAATTGGCATTCAGTATGAAAGAAACAACATATAACACTATGCATGTTTTTGATGTCCTGAACCATAATGAACCATCTGCCAGGAAATAACTTATGTTGACGTGTGTGTGTGTGTTTATATTCTTTCAAAACATCTCTATATTATTGTACACCATTATTATTTTTATTAAATAGTTATTCTTGGGCAAATGCCAACATCTATCTAAAATTAAAGAAAAACTAGATGAGAGAGAGATGATAGAGAGAAAGAAAGAAAGAGGAAGGAAGGAAGGAAGGAAGGAAGGAAGGAAGGAAGGAAGGAAGGAAGGAAGGAAGGAAGGAAAAAAGCAGGCAGGTAGGCAGATGAGCAGGTAGGCAGATTAAATGTGAGCTCTGGATTAAAACTCTATTTACCAACATCTTGTTAAGCACAACTCCCAATATGATGTGACAGTGTTGTGCTAGTATATTGCTCCACTTCTGCTTTCTATAATTAGTAGGGAGTAACAATATACAGCAAGATTAAACCACTTGGCAATCTTCAGGTAGATATTATAAGGAAGAGCTTATAATATAAGATAAAATAAAGCTTATTAAATACATAAAAGTTTGAAACATCTGACAATTCTGACCTAGTTTTATATTAGGATATTTTGGGGGACTGCCATAGTACCCCTATTTCTTGTTGTCACAAATGTTTTGCATTTAGGAGCCTTTTTCTAAATGGAACCCTGTTTTACAAATTTACTTATCCTTTGCTTCCTGTTTTGAATATTGGTTGGTTTATGAATATTGTGCTACATATTCTACTTCTACACCTAGGGGGTTATAGATTCAGGGCAAAGAGATGCAACATTCATTTTAGCAGCTTAAAGAGACGACTTAAAAAGAAATTTACAGACCTCTTAAAGACTAACAAATGCATTGTAGTATGGATTTTGTGAACTGGACCTCCTTCATAAGATACACTTAACTTATAATTTTTTATACCCTAATAAATATTTTAGATTTTAATACACTAAAATATCCACAGTTGTGTTTGGTGCAATAAACAGAACCAGCAGCCAGGAATTTAGCAGACTGCTAGCTGAGTCCAGTCATTCCCTTCTCTTCATCCCTTGCTGGGGAACTGGCCCTTCCCAATTTCTTTCAGCCAGAAAGTAAGCAGTTTATTTGCAGATGCCTTTTCTGATCTCAAAGAAAGAGAAGTCTGTCAATCACTACTTGTCTTTCAACAGTGGTTTTTCTACCCCATAACACTGACTACCTACAGGGGTTACATGACTTTCTTTTTCCTTCTCACATGACCTTATGTAATTCTTATAGGGCAAAAGGACTTGGAGACTTGCCAGAAACATTCTGTACTTATTAATGCTGTGCACACCGCAAAGATGTTTCAGAGGAAGTGATTCAGACACCCCATGAGGGCCAGCATTTCTCTGTTTTCTTTACAACATAATTACTTTTTCAGGTAGTATGTATGAGCTTTAAAAAAAAGATACTGCTGCTTTAAGAAGTCCACTCTGAATGTGACTCTTAAAATAACATCATCTTTTTCCCAAAAACCTGAAACCTTAATGAATAGTAGAGAAAAACTTATCATATGAGGTCGAAAACTGTTCCAAGCAATTTGGGAAGTAGGTATAGTCCATATTTAGCATCCACAACATGCAAATCTTAGTTCTATTACAGAAAAAAGAAATATTCTTACTTTTTCTTTTCAGAACGTGAGTAGATTTCAAGTTGGTAGACCAAACATTTTGTGGCAAAATAACCTGGGGGGGAGGTGGGGAATGACAGATGTTAATGCTGTAATGTCCTACAAGTATCATGATTTACATACATCAAATGTCAGGACATAAATAATAATAGTATTTGCATAATAGTATTACTATATGTATGTAATTTTGGCCTCATCTTGGTGTGCTGTGCATCCCACTCTCCACAATTTGTACAATTTCCTCTTGGATGAAAAAAGTTCCATTGAATTTAAAATCAATAGGAGCTAGTTCCAAATAATATTGAATATGTAATTAATCTATTCCCAAATGGTATAGGATTACACAATGACAACAGTCTTTATACTGTTATAACACTCTTATTTGTACAGTGTCTTATGGATTATTTATCACTAGCGAACACCACCTATTCAGAAAAAGAAGTTTATATTTAAATAATAACTATTTGTATTGTATAGTATTCTTTCTCATCTTCCTGCCTCAAAGCGGGTAGCAGAAAAAAGCAGAAGTAGCAGAAATGGCCTGTATTTTCCCGATTGATGTCATAATGGACTTCTCTTTACTCATTTTTAAAAGTGTGTTATAAATAATGTAGGTTTATTGACTAACAAAAGATTTCCAGCATTTTGCTTTGAAGGGCTTACATCAGAGGCAGCATGAAAGCAGATCATGTAAATCTTTAGTATGAGCAATATTAGCAGATGTCCTGGGTTTGCGAAACTAATACGCTCTCAACCAATTACAGATATATCATTAAAGAGTATTATATAATTATAAGCATAGATTTTGTTTTCAAGCCTTATAATCCAGAACTGTTTCTAAGTAAAAACAGTATACCAGATTCAGGCTTCTGTTCATCCTATTATAGAATTTGCCCAGTGGATCCACAATTAGATATTACACACAACAAACAATTACCTCCTTGGCTATGTGAGGTAGCTTAACATGGAGCCCAGACACCTCCCAGCTGGCAGACAAGAGCTTGTGGGCAGCAGAGGATGGATGCAGGGATGCCTCTAAAAGGGTTACAGATGCAGATTTATTACCAGAAATATTTCTATTGTGGATACAGATATTTTGGCAGACGGGCAAGGGGCAGTCGATTCCTTGGATTCCCACATCCAGAATGATATAGACCAGGGGTGTCAAACTCACGGCCTGTGGGCCGGATACATCACGTGCTGGCCATGCCCACCTCTGGTTTAGCGAAGGGGAAGTAGCAATAGGTCACATGACGTGGCGCCGTGAGTTTGACACTCCTGAAATAGACAATTTTTTTAAAAAAAATTAAACCTCAGAAATATAAAAAGGGAAATCAGCCTTCTGAGGTCAACCTACTTTGGCACTACATAATCACATAGCTGAAGTAACATTAACTAAGGGATTTTTGCCTAGTAATTCTAAAATACTATACCAGATGCTTTTCTTATAATCAATAAACGTTTGTGTGTTTTTTTCCTTATCAGCTTATAGTGTTTATTTTTCTGATGAATAATTTTTGTTTTATAATTTCCTGTTCAAACTTGATTTTTTTGCCCTGTCTAGCTGTTTGCCGGTTCCCGTGTCAGAATGGTGGTGTTTGTGAGAGGCCAAATGTTTGTTCTTGTCTTGAAGGTTGGATGGGACGCCTCTGTGAAGAGCGTACGTATCTCTCATTGAACAATATAATATTTACTTTCATAATTGTTCTCCTGAGCAATCCAGAGTAACACTTTTGCAGCTTCTTATAATTCTGATGTATTAGGCTGACAAACGTTTTTTCTACACGTTTGGGATTTTCGACCCTAGTTTTCCTTTAAAAATAGTTAGATGTCATGTGTGCCTAGTGGTGGGACAAATTATTCAATAAAAGTTATTTTGGTCATTAAGACCAATAAAAGGTTGATTCTGCTTAGTTTGTATATGATGAGATCATTTTAAGACTTGTACGTATAAATGTGCCTGTGACTGGAATACCAACAATCTCAAGAAAGACCTCAAGAAGGTCTCCAGCCTTAATCAGCTGCTCATTTTCATGCTATTTAGTGAGGAGAGATAAATAATAGAAAAAGGTGCATCAGTTGTCCCATCCCCTTTGGTCTTATCGCTTGTCATTCATCATCTATCTTCCATGTGTTAAAGTAAATGGTGTGAAAATTATCCTTTCTCTACAAGTTTAGGGCAATATTAAAATATAATCCCAATATCCATCTTGACATCGATCACCATATTATTTAAACATAGATATTAAATCCATCTTTCAACCTCTAATTATTGCTTTTATTCTATTATTTAAAGATGTGTAACCTTATTTCTACTTCTATTCTAACTTTTAATCAGGCCCCCATTATATTAAAAAAACATTTTCTTTCTATCCATCATCTCTCACCCATTTTAATATTTCAATTCTTGTTTGTTTTTTGGCATGCCTCCCATACTCCTCTCTTGGATCTTTGTCTCTATCTGCATCTACATTTTACTATTTAGTCTGAGTATCCCTCCCATCTCTATCACCTTATGCTGCCAAGCCTCCAGAGTATCTGCCCAAACCTCTATCTCTCTTTCAAAGGTATCTTCCCATTCCATTTTTAAATCTCTTAAAATACTTTTTCTCTGATTTATTTCATTAGTCATTATAATCCTTATTTTCTCCTTCTTATCTTCTTGTTTTGTTTGCTGATTTGTCTGTTCTGTCTTTTCCTCCATTCTTTCCATTGTCTTCTCCCTTTCCTGGACATCTTGATCTTTATTCATTGTCCCTTGTAAAATATTTTCTATTTTCCCATCTATGCTTTGCATTAAATTGTTTATCTCCCAAAAGTTCTTTGTCATAGTATCCTTAATGCTTTGGAACAGCAACAGTATTTCTTTTGAACTTCCACTCATTTCTGTTTTGGTAAAGTCCACTCTTACTCAATAATCCAAAAACCATATATTCAGGTCTAATGTTGCTCCTCAAAGAATACAATAGTCACAGCTCTTTTATGTCCCAGGATTATTCCATCAGACGTTCAGGTAGTCCAGGAAGCTCTCCAAATATCTCCTTATATCCCCTCTATGAGTTTAGTCATATATCTTATGACTAAATATCCAACTCCCAAGAGTCCCTTGGGAGTTGGGTGGCATAGAAATATGATTAATTAAATTAAATTATTTATTTATTTATTTATTTATTTATTTGATCAAATTTGTATACCGCCCTACTCCCGAAGGACTCAGGGCGGTGAACAGGCACAAAATAAAACACATAGATACAAAAGTTAAGAGCAAAATTAAAACCAAATTAAATATTTGAGCCCAAGACAATTTAAAACATCCCAAAAATTTAGAACAGATTTAACATTCCAATTTAAATTTAAAATTTAAAATTTAAAAATTAAAAGGGGGGAAAGATCAGGCCAGGCCGGCTTGCTGAAATAGAAAGGTCTTTAGAGCGCGGCGGAAAGTACACAGGTCCGGGATCCTACGTATCTCTGGGGGGAGCTCATTCCAGATAGTAGGTGCCCCCACAGAGAAGGCCCTCTCCCTGGGGCTGCCAGTCGACACTGTTTGGCCGACGGCACCTGGAGGAGCCCCTCTCTATGAGAGCGTACCGGCCGGTGGGAGGTTGATTGTGGTAGTAGGCAGTCCTGTAAATAGCCAGGTCCTAAGCCATGGAGCGCTCTAAAGGTGGTGACCAAAACCTTGAAGCGCACCCGGAAGACCACCGGGAGCCAGTGCAGCTCGCGCAGGAGAGGTGTTACGTGGGAGTGCCATGTCGCTCCCATAACTACCCGCGTGGCCGCACTCTGCGCCAGTTGGAGCCTCCGGGTGCTCCTCAAGGGGAGCCCCATGTAGAGAGCGTTGCAATAGTTAGCAAATTAGCATTCAAATTTACTTTGTTATCTTCCTTGTTCTCACAGTTGAACCTCCCATAGTCATAGAGTAGATAAGTATAGAACAGTAAGTATCACCACAGTTCTCCAAATAAATGTTGTTTATTGTATATATTCTCAGTCATCCAGGTCCTGGTTGCCAAAGGTGCTTTTTCAAAAGGCAACTGGCCTTTGTTTTTCCTTGCAGACATTTTGCTTCTGATCCAAGAAACTTTTTCAGTTCTGACCTCTTTACCATTATTTGTGGTCATCAGAAATTTGATTTGGAGATTGTATGCAATATGGTAGTCCAAAACATACAGTCAAAACCATTCTTCCACCTCCTGCTATGACCACATTCAACTGAAATAGACAGTAACATAAAAATATAAAGAGCATCTGCTCCACATTATTCTCATTTGCTAGTATTTTTACAGCCAAACTGATTATATACAAAATGTAAAGGGGTTGAAAAATGTAAGCCTGAATTTACATTTCAGAGGGAGACCTGCTAGCATGCACTAAGAATTCCAGCTACAAAGACAAAGGAAGATGACATGTTCCTCATTGTTATTTATTTTTATTATTATCTTTAAGGGTTCTGTTAGTCATATATTAGAAATGCAGTATGTCATATTGTCTTTTATCCAGAATAATGAAACATCCTATTGGTAGAAGCCATTAGAAGAAGGAAAATAGGGTGAACTTTAAGGAAAACATTCTTTATTTTAATAGACTTAACTTGAAACTCACATTACACGTGTTAATTAGATCCTAATCATACAAATTTTAAAGCGGACTGCTTTCCAATCAGTGTGGTCAGGAGCATCTTGTTATCTAATTTTAAAATATTGTATATTCCAAGGTGAAAGCATATTGATGAGTAGCAGCTCTGAAAAGTTGTAGAATGATTGAAATCTTTATGAAAGTAGTCACTGTGGTATAGAAAACTGAAGATTTATTTATAAACTTAGTATCTATTATACCCAGGCTGTACTTTTTTTCTCACCCACACAAAAACCTCTAATTTATTATTTACAGAATCAGGATGTATTTTGAGTTCCATTTTGAAGGGTGTTACTTTAAAAATAGAATGAAGAAGAAATACATTGTTAACAAACAGAAATCAGGGCATTATTCTAATAAAAATGTGAAGATTTATGCTTTGAATACTGAGTTTCTGTGAGTGTAATATATTAAATGAATACTTCATTGACTGAAAGCAAAGAGCCTTTTTTTCTTAATTTCTTTTTCTTTTGTGTCACTTGTACCTAAAATCTATTCTGGAGTGATTAGAAATATCAAGAATTTTATAAAATTAAGAAGATTTGTGGCACACTAACAGTCACTCCTTAATAATTAGAATCAATTTATTATATGTGATAATAAATGTATCAATTTTTATGATGCTAGGAGGCTCTTTGTGATATTTTTAATGAAGACCAATATGGCCAAGCCTTTGGAAAGTGATTGGGGGTGGGGGGGATAATTGTTCTAGTTTCTTGAGAAATAGGACCAGGGTTGTTTATTTATTTGAATGAAACCTTTCTTCTTCTTTTCACCCCCACTTCCTTTTTTTTCCCTTCAGCCATCTGCATCCTGCATTGTCTGAATGGAGGTCGATGCGTGGCCCCTTACCAATGTGATTGCCCATCTGGATGGACTGGCTCACGCTGCCATCAGGGTAAGCACATTTAATTCAGAATTTCCTACAACCTCCCAATAGCACTTTAGTACAAAGCATAAATGCAGCTTAACTAATGAGTTCTGGGGGAAAAAATCAGTAAAAAGAACCAGTCAGTACAAATAGTCCTCATTTAGTGATGTTTGCAGTTACAATGATGGCAGAAAGAACCCTTTTGCAACCATTCCTCAATTTAAGACCTTTGCAGGCTTGTCAATCAAAGGAAAGCTGAAATAAGATCAAAAGCACAGTTGTAATTTCACTTAGCGACCATTCACTTAATGGCCAAATTGCTGGTCCCAATGGTGGTCTCTGAATGAGGACTGCCTGTATATCTTAACATGTCTGGTCTGGAAATGCATGTCTTTGCTAATAATACCTACATATTATTTGGAAGTTTGGAGGCAATTATGATACATTGCTGTGGTTTTCAAGCATTACATATTTTAAAGCAGACGATTCTTTGAAATCAGTGGTTTAGGAGAAAGTTTGAAACCTTTCTCTTAATAAGCTCTCTGGCACAAAATGTGATTATTTTCACAAACCATAAATCACTCACAGGAACATCTCCCTAGCAAAACAGGCCAAGCAATATACATTTTTCAATCAGGAGCTATTTGTTAATACTATTTCAGTCCTAAATAGTTGGACAAAAAAAAGGCCCTTAATAGTATCATGGTGTCATGTAGACACCATTTTACTTCATATGTAACTTTTTCTATTTCTAAAGCCAAATAATACTGTATGCCAGAAAATTGTGTACCGACAATATTTATTTTGCATTCATATTTGAAAGGACATACTTGTTTTCATATTTCTTCTCTGAGATATTTGAAAGGCAAATACAAAGGATTTTAAAATGGAAAGTTATGAAGAATTAGAATCTTTAAAAAATACATAGCTAAGTTCAATTTCTGCAAAGGTAATTTTGTTCAATAAAAACAGTATGACATATTTTTCTATTTTTTCTTAACATTCTTCATATTCTTCAGCTCAATTTGCATATGAAAACTTATCTGTATTCTGTTCGCCTTGTATACCTTCTGTCAAATGAATTGCTTAAATACCTTGTGTACTGTACAGTATCTAGTAGTATCTTTTGCTATTTTGACTCATTAGATAAACACAAACAGCTATGCTATTTCAGTATTACTAGGTACTATTTATATAAACAGTAAAAAATGTGATCCCAAATGTTGGAGCATAATTTGCGCTAAGTGGTAATGCCTCTCTATGATCTTCCAATGCAGCTGTTTGTCACTCTCCATGCTTAAATGGCGGGAAATGTATACGACCAAACCGATGCCATTGTACTTCACCATGGACTGGACATGACTGCTCTAGGTATACTTGTCATTTTCTTGTGAGATGTATAACCTATCAGGGATTTTTTTTACTCATCTTTTTTGGTCTTTTTCAATCTGCCTTGCAGACCAGCTTGCAATTTCCCACTTGAGCATTTATCCCAGAGAATTAGTTAGCAGTAGAACATCTGGGAGACCTGGCTTTTTATAAGAGAATCTGTTGGCTTGAAGAAAGCCTTGAAACCAAAGATGCAGAGTAGTCTAATTCAAGATATTTTCCTGAAGTGTTGGCCTCATTTCAACCTATGTTATTAATTCCAAAAATGAGTCCATGCTAGTCCCATGCCAATTTATATATACTTTATTATACGTTCAACTAAAGCCAGAGCTCTGCTCCATTCAATATTCACTTTGAATAAAACATATGTTGGAACTAATGGAGAACGTGCTGAGCTGCCGCTTGGTAAGAAGAGATTTTTCCCTTAAAATAAGGAACAGTGTTCAAAGCTCCTATTTCTGTTTCAATCATCCAGGTCATGGTTGACCCAAAGGTGCTTTTCCAAAAGGCAACTGGACTTCCTTGGTTTTTTTCCTTGAAAACATTTTGCATCTCATCCAGGGAGCTTCTTCGGCTATCAGTTTAGTTCATTTCTTCAGAAGTAAAGAAGTTTCTTGGATGAGAAGCAAAATGTTTTCAAGGAAAAAACCAAGGAAGTCTAGATGCCTTTTGGAAAAGCACCTTTGGGAGCTCCTGTTTCTGTGCCACGCGATCATCAGAACTTTTTTTTTACTTTTTAAAGCATTTTTTTTTTACCACCTATTGCCCGAACCAGTATTTTTTGTAAAGTGTGATAGTTTATTTCTGAGTTCTCTGTAACTCTGTGAGGTTCCTGCTTGTTGCAGGGGCCAGTTTGTGGGAAGTCCAGCTGTTTTTGCATTGTGTGTGAGTCAGTTGTGTAGCTTTTGTGTTATTTTTGTGTAAATGTGAGTTGGTTTTCCCGGTCACATGACTACCAAGCCACACCCACCCAATCACATGATCACCAAGCCGCGCCCACAGAACCAGTAGGGAAAATTTTGAATTTCACCACTGTCACATAGGTTTGATATATGTACAAAGGCCTGGTTTCAGAGGTATACATCAGTGGTGGGTTGCCCCTGGTTCAGACCGCTTCGCAAGAATCGCTAGTAAAACCGGCGGGAAGCTCCGCCCACTGATCTGGACGTTATCATAGGCAATCTGTGCATGTGAAGAAATGCACGGGCATGATGCGAACCAGTAGTAAAGGTAAGTAGAACCCACCCCTGGTATACATACCTTGCCACGTTACAGTAGAATCCTCCTTATGCAGCCAAAATATTTCTCTTTGCATTTCATAATCTGTCAAGAATAATGGATTCTTCCCCCCCCCTTTTCTTTGCTTGTCTACTAACATAGGAAACGGAAATCTGGATTCCACCACTTTTAATTTAAGAGCAAAAACTATGAAGACTCTGATTCCAATCCAGTGGATTTTGGTACTGCAGTCACTGTAAAATCAAATATAGTGGATTTTTAGAAAACTGTTTTGAATTTATTATTATTATTATATTTTTCTTAAACATTTAATTTTGAATGGAAGCATCTGTATGGGTTTTTTTTTTCTCTTGCAGAAAGATACATGCTAAAAATGTTGCTGCTGTCAAACACACAAATGTACAAATTTTATTCGCTGAAAGAGAAAACCTTACAGTCTTTCATATTATGGGGGCAAAACTCTTATGTCTAAGTTGTATTCCATGGCCAAAAAAGATGCTTGCATTGGGGATGAAACTTAATTAAACTCATATTTCCTTTCCCCCTCACACCTCATTTAAGTAATGTAACATAACTGAAAATGTAAGTGAATGCATTAGACTCAAAAACTATGATCTCTCGGTCTTAAATTGAACCTTCTTATACTTGGTCTCTTCTCTGTTATTGGATCCACTATTGAAAGCAATTCAGAAATAGAGAGAGGAAAGATAAGACATGGAAAAGGGGAAAATTTAGTCTCTCCATCATGATCTTTTTATATGCTAATATACCCGATATCCTTTATAAGTAAATGAGATGAATAATAAATGATTGCCCTGTTGGATCTGATTTTGGTCTAAGATACCTCCTGCAAACCATTTGTCTATTTCAATATAGTAGTTGCAAGATGGACAATATTTAGTTACTGTTGTTTGATGGAACAAATTTGAATCTAGAGCTTCAAGCATTCCAAATTGTTTGAAGTTGGTAAATAAGAATATTCTATTTTCAAAATAAATATGAATATATGAAGGCCACCAACCCCACCACTCATGCTAAAAAAATACTTCAGGTATTTTTCCATGGCTTGGAAGACTGTTGCTTAACTCCCAATATGGAATTCTTTCAGATTTGATAAGAATACTAATAAACCAGAGACCCAATCCATGTTTTCTTCTATGTAGGCCAGTGAGTGGGCTATCTGTGAAGGAAAAAGAATGGGGAAGGGAGGAGATACGTCAGTAGAGACTCAGCCGCCTACAAAAATGTGTTGCTGGCCACTAAAATCAAGCCTGTTTACTGGGAAAGTACTTGTTGTTTTATCACGGATAAATATTTAAAATATAATGGATTTGCTGAATGATTAGCAGTTAGTTCAAAATAAGTAAAACGGTAGTTGTCTTTCCCATGAAAAAAAAAGTGAAAATCAGATTTCGTGTTTTTGATATTATTTGCCAGAATGCAACACTTGTCAAAACAGGACAAATAGCTTCCAATTTCCTGTGGTTAAATACTGCAATAATTATATCCAGAGACATCCACCAGAATAATTTATTTGCTACTAAGATGAAAAGTGGGAAGGACAACTAATGTGTTTGGCCCTTACTGCATTACTTTCCTGTAAGACAGTACATGCATATTACAATGGATGCATCTATAATAGCTCTTTATTCACAAATGGAACCTTATATTTTCAAAGCAATTCTCTTTATCTTTCCCTGCTCTATTATAGCAATTTTATTTTGGGCTTCAGATCAGATTGAAAGTTACTCTTTCCGTAAGCGAAAAAACTAAAGGATGGACATAACATTAAATGTGTATATGGGAATAACATGACTAATTTTCTGTGGAGGAAAGTTTCCTGAGAGGTTTCATAATGACATAATAGTGTCTGAAATAATAGGTTTGAAAAGAGAATGCCTTTTTCCTCATTTTTTCCCCTCTCCTTGTATTGCATTATTTGCTATATTGCACTTGCTGGTTTCTTTTTATTTAACATAGAGGTCTCTTGCTGATAGAGACAAGACACTCCGAATTAGCAATCTACCTCCAAGGGTTGTGCCAACATAACACTTTTCTTCACAGCAGCGTGGAGGTGGTGTGCAATTGCCTTCTGGGATTTTGTTAGAGAGACTTGAAATTTTTAAATGTTCTCCCATCCAAATACTAGCCATGCCCAACCCTGCTTGGCTTAAGAAACGAGTGTATCGACTAGGTGCTACAGAACACAATGCAAAAATAAATACTATGAACATACTAAAGCAAAGCATACATAGCCTCCAGTGAAAGACGTATGTGGGGCTTTGTTGGACTAGAGGACCTCCAAAGTCCCTTCCAACTCTTACTGTTACTGAATGATATGGATAGAAACAGCAGTTTCCACATATTGAGTTTTTGGAGCCACAATCCATGCTTAAATAGTTCAGATTGCACACTTTTCTATTGTTTCGCAAATACTACAAACTGAAACATCTGCAGATCTTTACAGATGAAGAAAAACATGTGATTAGTTCATATCTGTAATATACTACATATATTTATAAATACTATGCCACACCCTATTATAATTTGTTCTGTGGACAGGGGCTAGCCCAGTGTGTAGATTCAACACTGTAATTCCACTTCCAGTTTATTGAGGAAGCTGCATTACAGTATAGAAGTGAGTAATTGTAGCTTGTATGGTCACACTATTTATCCACATCTTTCCCTTCATGGGCATGCTTGCATATGTTTATAATTTTACACTCAAGTTCTTGCAGAGGATTTTTAGTCATTTAGAAGGAATAAGCAGACCTAATTTTTTTTTTCCTAAGCATTTTCCAAATTAAAAGGAAAATTGAAATATATGTTCAGTTTTAACCAGGAAGCAAAACCTCTGAGAGACAGAAATTTGCTTGTTAGCGCAACAGCAGTTAGTAAATAAACCCATCCATATCTTCTCTAATAAGAAATTGGATTGTTTTTTTCCACTCATTATAAGAGCATCTATTACTAAAACTGAAATACATCTTATTCAAGCTCTTCCAGAAAATATAGCAATAACATTTTCGGTGGCTGGCTTTCCTTCCTAATGATCTTTAAGAGGCTTCCAATTCTACATTACTTTTTAATATCTGCAGTCCATTCTAAGAAATCCATTTCATCAGGCCTACACCTGGGGCGGGGGGCGGGGAGCAGATCCTGAGTTAAGTATGTATAAGATTTCAGCTATAAGACCATCTAAATAAAACGGGAAAAGAACTCTAAAATAAATTAACCGTCCTTGTGGTACCTTTTTCTCTGCAAGATTCCTTCTTTTCCTATTTATTCACACACACTGTATATGAATGACTGTACTTTGAGCCAAAATATTTGTTTGGCAAATGAGATAGAGGATAACATACAAAAATGAAACAATATTACCTATTTTAAGTACTAGCAGTTCATACATTTTCCCATTTATTTGGATTAATATAGAAGGTGCAAAATCTGACCTAAAAAGTATGCACAAGACGTAGGTCTGCTGGCAGGAAGTGTGATGCCTGAAAGGAAAAAGCCGGAGAGTCAAAATTAGGTTGTTGTTCTTATTATTACATCTGTAGAAGAAGAATCATTGCTTTTTTTAAACTACGGTTTAAACCCATAAAATACATTGTAATTTATGTTACCACCTGTCTTGTGTTTCAACAATTTCTATGTGATGCACTTTACATTGTAAATAAAGTTGCACCCCATTTAGTACCTGTAGTCTAATTTGTATTTCTTCTTTGGGTAGCTATTTTCTGCTACTGGGATAAAAAGCTTATTTGGTGGCATGGGAGAAAGTGCTGAACCTTTCTAATGCGCCATTTTAGCTGCTGCTGCTAGAGCTGAACAAAGCTTCACAGGAGTGCTTTGAAGCAATCTTCAAAGAGTAAGAGCTGGGTGTCAGTGGGGTAAGATCGTAAGAAGCCCATAGCTGTTCCCAAAATAATCAATCTATGCAGTCTGCCCCTCTTTCACAAAAGAGACAAACTTCTATTTAGACCAGGAGAATCCAAGAAAGAGAATTAAGAACCTTTCTGTCTGAATTTGCCCATATGTATGTTTCTCATTTGAAAATATTATAGAACCGTGATGGCGAACCTGTGGCACACAGAGCCATATCTGTGGGCACGCGAGTGTTGCCCTAGCTCAGCCCCAGAGTGCATGTGTGTGCCGGCCAGCTGATTTTCGGGCTTTCTGGTCCTATCGGAAGTCGGGAAATGGGCCATTTCCGGCCTCTGGAAGGCCTCCAGGGGGTGTGGGGAAGGCCATTTTCGTCCTCCCCAGGCTCCAAGAAAGCCTCTGGAGCCTGGGGAGGGGGAAAAACGGGCTTGGTGCGGGGCACATTGAATTATGGGTGTGGGCACGCACACATGCGAAACCCCCCCCACGCTCCCCCCACTTTTGGCACGCAACGGCAAAAAGGTTAGCCATCACTGCTATAGAACATTTGCTGGAATCCATGTTTTGTTCCTTGGTAGCTTTGTTCTTAATAAATCTTGCTGATCAGAGAAAGCAGGCGGTGGAATCTGGTGCTTGGGATTAATCACTTCCAGCCCAAGATGCTATCAGAAGCTCGACACAAAAAACTGCTTTGTGAACAATACTGCCCCTTCTCCCCCACCCGCACCCCACCATTCAAAAGTGAAGCAGCCAAGTGACTTCACTGGACATTCCTTCAAGCTTTTTGCTTGGTGGTTTTAGTAGTTGAAAATCTTCTACAAATGCCCTGTGCTTGCCTCAGATACTGAACCTGCCAAACCCGAACTTTGATGTGACCCAGACCATCTTGTAGAACAGACAACAAGTCACCACCAGGGCTTGAAAGGGCAAGTTGAATTGCTGTGTTTCCATGGGGGGAAATATCTTGTTGGTCCTGAGCCATTTTGTACAGGCCCGGGCACTGCTGTTCATCAGAGTCTGAAAACTGTAACGCAAGACTAATATAACCAGCCTGCCAAAAAGATATAAAGGATGACTGGTTAACATTAATTGCTCTTGGGGCAACAGGTGTGTCCCAAGCCATAGCGCGCTCTGTGTGTGTGTGTGCACCTGATTCCTGCCAATTGCATGGACAAGTCCCTGCAATTTTCTCAGCAAGGTTTTGAGAAGTGATTTGCTTCCTCCTCAGGCAAAGAGAGAGTAGCAGGACCAAAAGTCACCCAGCTGGCTTCATGCCCAAGGCAGGACTAGAACTTAAGTTTCCTGATTTCTATCTGGGTTCCTTTAACCCCTAAGTATTGTACAACTATTAAAGAAAGCAGAAGTTAATTTGTGTTATGAGTACAAATTCCATATGCTCGACAGCAAACCTGTTCAGCAAGTCTGAAACATTGTGCAGGCAAATTAGCACTCGTGAATAGAAGAAATGGTTATTATCAGCCAGCAAAATGCCATTGTTTGCCAAAGCTCAAGAAACCTTTAAGGTAAAAAAAATAAATGAAAGAGCATGTGGTGCAGACGGAGCCATCTCAGTAACCGATCAATTATTGAGCAGGAAATAATGGAGTGGAACAGAGTAAGCAGGCTACGTTGAATACTGTAGTGGGGAGTGCAGCACTCTTGGAAAGGGTTACAACAGGACAGAGCTCTGTAACTCACACAGCAATGGAAAATAAAGAGGTTAGGATGGGGTGCATCCACCCTTATGCTTATTGTAATGTCCTGAATTGTGCTATGCCGTCTGACCTGCTGCACAAAGTTCAGTGGCTACATTACAGGTAGTCCTCAACTTATGACCACAATTGAGCCCAACGTTTCTGTTGCTGATCAAGACGGTTAAGTGAATTTTGCCCCATTTTGTGACATTTTTTGCCACAGTTGTGAGGTGAATCACTGCAGTTACCAAGTTAATAATACGGCGGTTAAGTGAAACTGGCTTTTCCCATTGACTGCTTGTCAGAAGGTTGCAAAAGAGGATCATATGACTCCAGGACATTGCAACCGTCATAAATATGAGTCAGTTGCTAAGCATCTGGATTTTGATCATGTGACCAAGGGGCAGGGCTTCAGGGGTCGTGTGAAAAATGGTCATAAGTCACTTTTTCCTGTACTGTCGTCAGAGGTGGTATTCAGCAGGTTCTGACCAGTTCTGGAGAACCGGTAGCAGAAATTTTGAGTAGTTGGGAGAACCTGTAAATACCACCTCTGACTGGCCCCGCCCCCATCTATTCTCTGCCTCCCGAGTCCCAGCTGATCGGAAGGAAATTGAGATTTTACAGTATCCTTCCCCTGCCACGCCCACCAAGCCATGCCATGCCACGCCCACCAAGCCACATCCACAGAACCGGTAGTAAAAAAATTTGAATCCCACCGCTGACCGTTGTCGCTTCAAAGAATCACTAGAATTCTGGCTGCCTGAAGAATTCTGGGAGCTGAAGTCCACAAGTCTTAAAGTTGCCAGATTTGGAGATCTCTGCATAATCTATATCAAATTTCTATAGAAAAACTAGATCTACTTATCAGCAAATGGAAAACTGGAAGCAGTCTTCAAAACCTATGTTTGCAACCAAACATCCAGAATCGCCTCTGAATGCCAGATCCACCCTCCAAGCAAATTTAACCCAAGCAAATTGGTAACAAGCGCCCCACTAACCTCTATCTTGTGCTGCTTCCCCCAACCCCCACCCGTCCTACTGCCGTCTCAGTCAGTAGCAGTGGAAGAAATGGAGCCAGACCCATCTTAAGAAATGCATGAGAAAAGCATTCACATTCAGACTAATAAACTTAATATGGCAATCACAGCCCTCAGAACAGCTGCATCAATCTAAATAGTGCTGCTCAAATAATCTGGTTTTGTTTGGAGAATTGGAGGTGGGGGGTGGAAATCCGGGCAATTGTGGTGCAGATCTCAAAACACATGCCATATAAGCACATTTTGATTTCAGCGTGGAACATTCCAAAATTGAAACCTGACTGAATTTCTCTGCCAAGGGAAAGTGATTGAATCTAACACTTGGGAGCCCCGGGGGGTGTGGGGAATACCAGGACATGCTTCCATTCCATGCAGACTCTAGTTTTCCTGTGGAAATGGCTAGAAAGCAAACTAGAAGAAACTCAGTTATGATTGCTGAGTGGATTAGATTGATGAATCCAAAAAATCAACAAGGGGTCTGAAAAACTGCAAAGGAAAAGAAATAGGAGAGAAAGAGAGAACTGTATCATGGAAAATCTGTACGATGGATTTTCAGAGATTGCAGGGACCCCAGATATGAGGCAGGGAAGATCCATACAGAAAATAATTTACTTACTCCAATAACTTATTTATATACTACAGGCCTGTAATATAATCAGACCCACGTTTAAAATGACAAATGGGAAGGGGAAGCTGATAGTTATCAAAGAAGCAGGAGGCACAGAGAAATAAATAACCTTTTCCTGCCTTGGTATAGGCCTGAGGAAAATCCCTTTTTTGAAGCTGCTGTTGCATTTGGCTCTCATTTTAGTCTGTAAAGAAAATTCTGGTTTCCTGTGAGGCCTGTTAAGTTCCACCATATCCAGCCAACAATAATACCACTTGACCTGACTTCAATGCTTTTGAAAACTCATAAACATACAAAGCAAAACGGTATTCATGGATAGTTTTCATACTGAATTGCAATCTGATTGCAAATTGTATTTTCCCAATCCTATTTGTATGCCATGAAGAGGGTATAATGGTTAAGGCACCACACCAGGCCAAAACTGGGAGATGGTAAGTTCTAGTCCTGCCTTGGGCAGGAAGCCAGCTGGGTAATCTTGGGCCAGTCCCTCCCGCTCAGCCCTAGGAAGGAAACAAGGGCAAATCATTTCTAAAAAATCTTCCCAAAAACCTGTTGAGACGAGTCCAGGCAGTTATCATCGTCAACATTGACTCAAAGGAGTGTACACACATATGCACATGACTGTAGAGTGTACTTTCAAGACTGAAAAATTGACTTGCTGGCTATATTTATTTATACAATTTGTCTAGCTGCCGATCTCAAACCAGTGATGCTCGGCAATGAACAATCATCAAAAAAATTCAGTTTTAAAAATACAAAAATTAATATAAATAGCCAGACAATATTATAATCCACTGCATTCATTTTAAATGTGTATTATCCAAGTAACTTTCAGCATTACATTACCAGGAACTAGCATCATGTGGATTATACAAAAGGCAACGCCTGTAGTCTGTCCACTCAGAACTGAGCTTGTAAAGTTTTTATTTTTCTATTTAATTTGTTTCCAGGCCTTCTGGCTTGCAAAATATAAAGATCATGACAAAGAATGCTTCCCACCTAGATCACGATTGTTTAGGACAAATTAATTGCAGAGATGGTAGATTTCTTCTGTGTGCCATTTGGTATGATTTCTCTGGGTCATAACGTGCTCCCAAACCTAATGGGAAGGGAGAAAGGAAGCCAGCCTTTCCAGTGACATGTCGGATGGAATTGAAATGTGGATGTTATAAAAAATAAAATACAGCCATACTACTTTTGTTTAATCATCCATTGACACTTGAATTAAAAAGAAACACCTTTCAGAGAAACTACCAATTTGCAGAAGCAATTATCTTTTAGCTTGGCTTTAAATGAAATGGAAGAGTCAATTAAATCTCCTAAATCTCCACCCTTTCAGAATATTATCTCTCAATCTCATTAAAATTAAGCCTGACTACACAGCCAGGCAAATCCCATGGTCTAGCTAGCTTTTCTGATCTTTCAGAGTCCATGAAAAGGAAGCCGTAACTGAATTTTAATACAGAAATCCCCATTACTCTATTTCAGAGGCAAAGGGGAAAAAATTGAAAGTAGTAGCCCAAAAAACTAAATGCAAAACATGGAAGGAATTACAGCTATCCTGTATCCAGCACCATTACTATATCTATAATTTACTGTTGCTTCCCATACCTTATTATCTTTGCAAATCCTACTTTTGAACTTTAATCATAATCAAGTCAGTTGTGCTTTTAGATTTAGTCCATATGAAAAGGCTGATGATTAAATTGCATTGCTGAAAGACAGCCCATATCGGATTCATTTTCAGCTTCCCTATCCAGTGCTTAGCTGCCTCAAAAGAAAGTGTTGACATGCAAAAAATAAAAAGTATTAAAAATCCTAACTTGTTATTAGGCGTGATACTTGTTGCTTTAGATAAATACACTTCTGGCTAACTTGCTTGGTGGAAATTAAAATCTCTTACCTGAGTATGCAGGTATACTTGACAGATGGGCAGGGTTTATTTATTTATTTATTTATTGGTTCGATTTATATGCCGCCCTTCTCCGCAGACTCAGGGCGGCTTACAATGCATTAAGCAATAGCCGTCATACTTTTGTATATACCTGCTTAGTAGGGCTTTCGGCCCCCCCAAGCGGTGTTCTTTTTTATACAAAGTCAGTTTATTGCCCCCACAATCCGGGTCCTCATTTTACCTACCTCGGAAGGATGGAAGGCTGAGTCAACCTTGAGCCTGGTGAGATTTGAACTCGCAGTAATTGCAGGCAGCTGGCAGCTAAGTGCTACTTAACAGCACTTTAGTCCACTGCACCACCAAGGCTCTTCACCAAGGGTTAGCAGGGAATTCACATAAGGGCCATCTCAAATGAACAGAAGACCAAGTATCTTGAGGAAACTGAGACAGTTTTCCAGAGCAGCTGCAACAAAAGCTGTTGCTAGAGTGATGGGAGTTTCTTGGGTTTTGTATTTGGGATTTACTTCTATAAACCACCCAGATTCACTGTGAATGAGTTGCACAGTCATGTACATTTTCTTAATAAATAAATTAATATGGAACATACACTTAATTTTAAAGATAGACCTATTTGTACTTAACATTTTTTAGTCTTTGGATTTGCTAAAGTATAATTTTAGTTATTCAGCCTAATAAACTTGTAAATTGTAAAAAATTGATACTGAAAGCCCAGGAAGACCCTGGAAATACCTCTTGGTAGGCTTCCAGATGATGTCTAATGACAAAGTAGATATCCCCAAAGAAGTGAGTTTAGCATTGCACCAGATTTTGTTATTCAGATGGCAAGTTCTGGTCACAGGAATCTCTCTGGACAAGGAGACACTGTGACATCTAGGCAGTTGTTCATGAACTTTATCCAAGAACATGAGGCTAGAGTTCTTGTAAACCTTCAGCTATGGATTTCAGGTTCCTCACTAATAGGCATGTAGTTTGGCAAGCTCCACCGCTATCTGAATATTGAAAGGATCATAAATGACATACTTTACTATGTCATAATAGTATGGTGTCAACCTGACCTTATTTGAATCATTCTGAGATGAATACTAGTGAGACAAGAAAAGAAGTATTAAGTGAGTTTTTTTGGAGGCATTCACAATGTTGCCAAAAATGCACAATAAGGCAAGTAATTCAATATAAATTGTTATAGATTCAGTTTGATGCTGGGTAGAAATTTATACTCACCAATACCTAAAAATATTTTCTAACTTGGCTGCATATTTCTGAAGCTATGAGCTGATAGAGGATGATTTTGACTCAGACCAATTTACAGAAAAGACTCAAATTCTCAGATAAACCAAGAAAAGATATTAAATTGAGATGGCTACATACCCGACTCTAGGGGATAGGGCTCATCTCTGTTTTTTAGCCGAATGAGCCAGTGTTGTCTGAAGATGCTTCCATGGTCATGTGGCTAGCATGACTATATGCTGAGATGCAGAGTATGCCGTTATCTTCCCAGTGAGGTGGTACCTATTTATCTACTCATATTTGCATACTTTTGAACTGCTACATGGGTAGGAGCTAGAACAAGTAACGGGAGCTCACCCCATCACACAGCACTCAGGTCTCGAACACAGGCTGTCAGCTTTCCTGCTGATAAGCTCAGCATCTTTAACCACTGAGCCATCACACTCCCATAAACAATGAGTTTTAATGTAATATGAAAAATAATTATAAATAAAGGTATGCTTAATTTGTAAAGAAAATTGTTCTCTCAGAAAGAGTCAAACCTTTGGCATTCATCCCTCACCCTGTGTGAAGTTTTTAATTGCTGATTCAGAGGTGGGTTGCTACAGGTTCGCCCCAGATCGTGCAATGGGAGGCTCCGCCCACCCGCCCAGGTGCTTCTGCACATGCGCAGAAGTTTCTGCGCATGCGCAAAAGCGTCACGCACGTGCACGTGTGACCACGAGCGAACCGGTAGCGAAGGGTTTTGAAACCCGCCCCTGCGCTGATTGCTTCTGCACTTGCTTCCCAAACAGAAAGAATTTGAGGAATTTCTGAAGAGCGCAGGACCCCGCCTTGTTGTGGTGAACTTTACAGCAAAATGGTGTGGGCCTTGCAAAATTGTTCGTCCTTTTCTTCATGTAAGTGAAGCCACAATGCGACAGGAAAATATCCATCTGTTGTGGCACGCTAGTAGTCCCTTTACTTCTCTCCCTTAATCATAGAATGCTGCCTCACACCAAGCCACAACATTGCCAGCCTATAATGATGCTGTCTGTTTTATTTGGCTGGAGATTTTCATGGCATCTCTCTTGAAATGTCCCTTCTGTTTTGTCTTCAATCCAAGATAGCCTGGGATTGAACCAGTGATCATTTGCAATGCATGCCAAACGTGCATTTGGAGCTTCCAGTTCTGGGCTACAAAACTCTGAGTTTCTTTGCAATCATCTAGCTGCCCTTCAAACTCTGCAGTCTTGAACTGGTTGGAGATTTTAAAACTTTTTCAGGCTACAGAACCTGTTCGTTAAAAAAATAATACTCAAAACTTGATATGCCAAATCATGGTGAGGTTTTTTTTTGTTTTTTGTTTTGGCAGAAGAATAGGTCTTAGCCTTTCTACTCTACCTTAGAAAAATTTCTATGGACTTCCCTGACTGCAACATAATGGTTTGATCTTACTTCCTTCATTATCACCAGACAAGGGAAATATACTTCATAAATTAATTTCATTTTGGAGCCTTCATTTGTAGGTATCCCTTCAGAGCCTGTATCCCAAGCCTGTGTTACAATTTGATCTATAAATCAGATGTATAAATCTGTTTCAGGACTAGTTGAATTTTCCTTTCAAACATTTCAGTCCCTTGAACTTTCTCATTGTTAACGTGGGTTCTTCTGTCTTTTTCCATATATCCAGGGAAAAAAATCTTCTTAATCCTTCAGTTTTCTCTTTCATTCCTTTTCTTTTCCTTCCCTAAAAATACTTCCTATTGGTTGTTTAGATTCCTTCCTCAACCCTCTGTTCCTCCCCACAACTTAAATGAAGCCCAAATACAACTGCATCTGTGTCTTGCTATGTTTATTATTTTTATTATGTACTTGATTTATTACAATTATTTAGAAACACTTTTCAATATGTAGGTCCCCCCAAAGTAAAAAAATAGTATCACGAGCAGTTATCTATAAATATCAACATGATAATGGAAAAGTCAATAATCATTATTTTAGGGCAGAGCAATGGTTGAAACTGCCTAGCAAAGGGACAGTACCTCTGCTTAAGTGTCCTTGCTGAGGCAGGACTGATAAAACATGTTCTGACATTTTGACATGCGCTTCGTCTTTTTTGGCAACATGGTTAGGAACATATGTCTATGCATGCTTGGCTGCATGTGCTGGAAATACTTTCCCCAAAGTACGGATTCTTACATGCTCTCTTTGAACCTCTAATTCATATTTCTGTCTTCTCTCACTCCCCACTCTAGCATCAGTTTGTAAGCTCCTTAGTCTTTTTGTATAATTGGTTAGACAGGCATAAACACTTGATATTGTTATAGTGACAATCTGAACAAAAATAATCCTAGTGCGAGTGAATGGAAATAATATATATTCTCTGTACTGTAATTCAGACATTTATTTCATATAGCATGATGGAGTCAAAACCAGAAATGAAAAGGACATTATTTTGTTCATCTGGACCATCCATTCCATACCTTTAAAGAGCCTCTTTTAAAAGCTATATGCCAAGGAAAACTTTTTTTAAATAAAATTGGCAAAGTTACAGCAGCATGAGTGGGGATAGGGAAGAAGAGATAATTTTTTGTCTATGTGGACTCTCACCAAAATCAGTGGGAGCATATCTAGTTGGAATGATAGCAATTGAAAATGTTTTTAAAAATCTTACAAGAAGCCAACAGCAAGCCACTTATGTTTTATGCCAAAAAACAACATGGAGGAATCCATGTAATTTCTGGGAATCGAACTAAATTTGAGGGAGACTTTAATCTAAGATCATTTTTAACAAATGTGTGAATGACAGCAATTCAAAAGCAGTGATTTTCCCAGCATAGGATGGGAGCTGCACTCTTCCTTGAACTGAGCAAAAGAGAAGAGCGAGATGCAAGAACAGTGCAAGACTCTTGCCAATGTGTACATTTTCCTAGTATCTTTTTAGCAGGATACTATTTGACGCTAAGCATATATCTGAGTCATAGCTATAAATACTTAAGGATAACACTCAAGAAAAGCATTAGATATAGAGTACATATACAGTAAATAGAGAGTAAAAGATTAAGAATGCAACAGGAGAGCACTTATAGGTGTTTGATTTTAATGTATCAAAATATAAAATCCTTTAGATGATTTGGCTGAAGTATTTAAGACAAGTTAATTGATTATCTGATACTTTTCCAGTATAAGTTGAACCAAGCAAGCAACTTAAGCCATAGATCTCTGAAGAAAGTATTAAGACCAACATGGGACCCAGAGGTGTCACAGAGATGGCATTCTTGTAAAAGGTAAAGGTAAAGGAGTCCTTGCAGATTTTACTCTGCTAATCATAGCCAACTTTAGAAGGTGGTGCTCAGCTCCATTTCTAGGCCAGTGAGGCAGCACTGTTTCCATGGTCATGTGGCCAGCATGACGTCACGCCACAGCACAGAGCATGCAATGAAACATGGAAATTTCCTTCCTACTTCCTATTTATCTACTTGCATTTACATGCTTTCAAATTGTTAGTTTGGTAGGAGCTGAGGCAAGTGACAGGAACTCACTCCATCACACAGCGATAGGGCTTGAACAGCTGGAGAAAAGACATTCTTGTATTTCTTCCATAACAGAAAGGGACCCTTGCCCATATCATATAGAATTTATAGAAACATTTTATTCCAAGAATATCTACATTTAGAGATTAACCAATTTTAATAGGGTTTTTTTTCAACTCCGGCTACGCCAGCCCACAAACACAACCCCTGGAGACAAGATTCCTAGCATGATTGATAGGCCATCCAAGTGAAGGTAGTGGTGAATGCCTCTATTATGCATAAGATTTTAATATTTAAAGCTGTTTTCCTTGATCCCATATTCACGTCCAATAATGCCTGTTTGGGATAGGACTTAGTTCTTCTTTGACAATGATTTCAGAAGGTATTGCCAGTGCCAGAGAATTATTTTCCAGAGTCATGGCTGATTCCATCTTGAATTCCATCTTGTCGCCATGCTAATTAAGACTCAGAAAACATATAGGTATATACAAGGCCTGTATTTCCAGTGATCCACAGTCATCTTCAGAAGTGTTCGTGTACTGCAGGTCATCATATGAATTGATTAAGCACTGGTCATCCAATAGGCTAAATCACAACAGTTTAGAATATTTGGAAACCCAACTAATTAATCAATAGGCATTATTTATGGCTTTTTGGTTTGTTTAAACCAAAATGTTGTGCAGAGGAAATGATTCATAGTTGAGGAGAGAACGATCATATATTTATGATGTCTTATGTGTTATGGTCATGATCTGGATGAGGGGCATACATTTTTTATCAGATTCATATCCTATCCTAATTATAAGATTTTTGGCAGCTCACCTTAATAACAGAGCACAAGAATATAAAACACAATATTTTATAATATATAACATTGGGGGTGAATAAAATTGAAGTGGGAGGTAAATACAAAGGACTGGCCTCATCACAGAAAAACAATAGATTTCTAGCTCCCTAACCTCTCAAAAATGGGGATAACCCTCTGCTTTTTTTCCCAGCACAATCAAACTAGTCAGGCAAAGTTTCATGGGAAGATGTTATCCTGTGGTTAACAGGACACCAAGCCATAAAGGTCTTTATGGGTTGAAATAATCACATATCTTTTTTTCCACTCCTCAAAGCAATAATTTCCTTCTAAATAAAGACAATCCTTGTTTCAATATCTTGAAATTCGTGATGTCATTTCATCTATTGTCTTTGTAACTCTTCATTTTTTTTTTCCCTTAGAGGTACAACTTTATATTGAAAGAGAAAAATCAGAAGTCGAATTATACCATACAATGAAAGACATTTAAAGTTTAGGCCAGTTTGGGCCACATTTAATATCTAAATTTTGTTCCATTTTTGTTCTGAAGGAATTGGCTGTTCGATATGAAAATGTCCTATTCTGTATCGTTGATGTAGACTTGGCAGAAGTGAGTATCTCAATCCAGAAGGATTAGATGCCTCCTTGAGCAGCCTTCTGAAGCCCTAGTTAGGATGATGAAACTTCTAATACAACTTCTTAGATAAAAAATATTTGTAGCTTGGGTGGTAGATATTGGTCTACCAACATCTTGTTGTTGGTAGTTTGTTCTCCAGGCTTATTGTTTAGCTTCCAAACATTTCATCACCAGGCTAGCTGACATCCTTGGTGGGATTTCTGAGAAAGCCTACGAACCAATAAGGAGCCTTATCAATCAAGCAACTAATGAACAAGAGTACTGACCACCTCTTCACTTCACCACCTTCACATGACATCACCAACCAGTCACACAGCATGTCACATGACATGACCAGCTGATTACATGACCCATTGACGACATGACCAATGAGATCAATAAAAGTGGAGAAGAACTGAAACAAGGCACTTCAACCTAAGTCCCGCTGAAGATGTCACCTAGCCTGGTGATGAAACATTCGGAAGTTAAACAGCAAGCCCGGAGAACAAACCACCATCAACAACTTCTTGTTCTTAGAGGGCAACAGGTAGAAACAACTGTGTTTCAATCTTAACTACTTGGTTATTATCAGTTATTCTAACCCAACTAAATAGTAAAGGAAGATGATCAGTCCTTGGAACTTTGAATGAAAGCAAATCCTGAACCTGAGAACCAGAACACATTTGGTAATCCAATTTAGGACATTCTGCAGAACACTGACCATACAGTCCTTCAGAACTGGAACCTCCTAATACTGGACAGCTCCCAGCTAGAAATATCATTTTGTTAAGTCTTTTTATAAAATCATGTTTGCAGCAATATCAAAAAAATCCTATTAACTCCAAGTTATCTTGCAGTGCTGATGTCATTTAAACATACAATGTTATCAACAAGCCAATCCCAAAAAAGTTGTGTACTAGGCTTAGCAGAATCCTAATCATTGAGTTCACAAATGTTGAACAGTTGCAAAGTGACCTCTGACTACAATATATTTTGATTTTAAGCAACATTTTAAGCCAGAGTTTCTCAACTTTAGCAACTTTTAAGATGTGGGCTTCAACTGGTTGGGGAATACTGGGAGTTAAAGAATAGGGATAGGCATAGGGATAGGCATAGGCATAGGGATAGGGATGGGTAGGGTAGGGTAGGGTAGGGTAGGGTAGGGTAGAGTAGGATAGAATAGAATAGAATAGAATAGAATAGAATAGCATAGCATAGCATAGCATAGCATAGCATAGCATAGCATAGCATAGAATAGAATAGAATAGAATAGAATAGAATAGAATAGAATAGAATTTCTTTATTGGCCAAGTGTGATTGGACATACAAGGAATTTGTCTCTGGTGCATAAGGTCTCAGCGTACACACATACATTTTAAAGTTATAGTGATTGAGAAACACTTTTTTAAACATCTTGGAAATATCTTATGCTGTTTCCTCATGAACTTTCCAAAAGTTCCAAGTCTTTACCACCAGACGTAAAGAAGGCTTAAGAAGAAGCCACCTAACTAGTCTTCATTCCCTTGGCTGTTTCTCAAGGACTTGGATTATCACTTTGCCTGGTAACAATGGATGGCAATAGAAGAGCATCTCTTCCTCTTATTTCTTCTTGCAATTGTTGGCAATAATTTGATTGGTTCAGCTCTGTTTTTATCATCTTGCTGGCATTAAAACACAATTTTGCCCATTTTTGTCCATAGCCAGCCAGGCTATGGATTAATCAATCAAACTCCCCTGGGCCAGCAATAACTAGTCAAGGCTCATGTTAAAGATGTCAACACACACACAAATTAGTCACATTAATGATTTGCTGTTTATCCTCTACAGGGGGCCCTGTCATTTTTGTAGGGTTGTAGGCTAATGCAGTGTAATAGTGATAAATGGAAATAAAGAGAATAAAAAAGAAATTTACGTTGTAAAATGTAAGTAAAAGATAGCAAAGACCTTTAATGTAGCACAAAGGCAATTATTTAGCCATATTAAATGTGATCTTTCAGACCGACCACAAAAATAGGGAATTATGCAGGTCTTGGGAGGCTCTATAAAATGTCCTTTTTCATTTTTATTGCAAGCCTTTTTTTTTAATGTAGTGGCTAATGTATCTGAATGAGTTCTAGGACTTTATGTCATATGGGTTGATCTCTCTTTAACAGGATGTAGCTGTCCTCTGCAATATTGTTGTTGTGCCAACATTTCAGTTCTTCATGAAAGGAGACAAGGTACGTGTGGCCTAAAAGCACAGTTTAGTACACTTTGGAGTTCAGCATTTGTTGCCCTGATTGTGCCCCTCACAGCTCTGCTTATGGGAGAATATTAATTGAAAGCTAGAAATATTAAGTTCAGTGAATGAATATTCCCAATTCCACAATCAGTTGTCTAATCTAGCATTTGAATCAGACCAGTGGTGGGTTTCATAATTTTTTACTACCAATTCTGTGGGTGTGGCTTGGTGGGCGTGGCATGGCTTCATGGGCATGGCTTCGTGGGCGTGGCAGGGGAAGGATATTGTAAAATCTCCATTCCCTCCCCAATCCAAGGGAAGGATACTGCAAAATCCCCATTTCCTCCCAATCAGCTGGGGCTTGGGAGGCAGAGAATAGATGGGGGCGAGGCCAGTCAGAATTTTTACTACCAGTTCTCCGAACTACTCAAAATTTCCGCTACCGGTTCTCCAGAACTGGTCAGAACCTGCTGAAACCCACCTCTGAATCAGACAATGGTAGAACCTCCTTACCCAATATTTTGAGACAAGTTTTGAAAGGTGGTTTTTCAAAAGGCAACTGGACTTTCTTGTTTTTGCTTGAAGATGTTTCACTTTTCATCCAAGAAGTTTCCTCAGTTCAGTTGGTTTGTGTAACATTTAGTTTCCCCTGAGGATTTTACTCTTTAGGGTTGAACGTTATCTACTACGTTATAAACTTGGGTTGTTTTAAATTGCGGCCAGAAATATTTAATTATTTTTAAACTGTTTTTAAATTTTGTATGTTCTGTTTTATTTTGGCAGTTCACCGCCCTGAGTCCTGTCGGACAAGGGCGGTATACAAATTAAAACAAACAAACAAATAAATAAATAAATAAACTAAGCTGAGACTATTGGCATTTTAACAACTGAGGATAACATCAGTAGAAAGACTGTGTGTATTTTTTCTTCTACAGTTGAATCGGCAAATGCAATCTAAAAGCAAGTTTTTTTTTTCTCACAACTAGTCAAGCAATACCTATTGCTCCATTGAACACTTCGGTACAAACTAAAGAAAGTATTTCAAAATTTATGAGATGTCACAGATTTTTGCTTCAATAACTGACGGGGGGGATTTTGCACACCTATGCATAAGGAGGAAAAATTGTACACCTGAACTCTCAATTATACTTTAGTCCTTGTCATACTTATCACCTTTGCACATTGCTTGTCTGATCAACAAATTTCTTATTGTATAGATCTGGTATATTATACCTGCATTGCAGGGGTGGTATTCAGCCGGTTCGAACTGGTTCGGGCGAACCAGTAGTGGTGACTTGTGGGTGGGCCCAAGGGCCCGCCCACCCGCCCCGGCACTATGCCATCCTATTTAGCCACGCTTTCTAAGCTGTGCGCATGCGTTCAAGCCGCACGCCCGAGCAAAGCACATATGCAGAAGGCCGCACGCATGCACAGAAGACACGCACATGCAGAGAAGGCGTACACTCACATTTTCGGTGCGCAGCCAACCGGTAGTAAAATTATGTGAAACCCACCTCTGCCGCATTGCAGATATAAAAATGAGTCTAAAACTCAATGACTTGCCCTACATAATGAAGGCAATAAATGTATTATAGAATTCCCCCAAGGTTTCCTGGAAGGAAGGAGGGAGGGAGGGAAGGAGGGGAGGGGGGAGAGAGCTCAAATACACAAATTTATTTATTTCCAGCCTTTAAAAAAAAAAAATTAAGGTGGCAAACACACCTAATATCCTTCCTCCTTCTCTTTCCCCCCTAATAATGGTTTGTCCCAAGGGTGGGTTCTACTTACCTTTACTACCAGTTCTCAACGGGAGCGTGTGCGCGCTTCTGCGCATGCACAGATCATCCATTATGACGTCCACGCGGGTGGGCGGAGCCTCCCACCGCTTTTACTACCGGTTCGCAAGAACCGGGAGCAACCCATCCACTGGTATGCCCGCTCACCAAAACTATAAAGTGGTTTTCCAACATACTTTAAACCATACTGTACAGCATTGTTCAATTATCCTAGAGAGAGATTTCCTGCCATCTCTGCCATCTCCTGGACTCACCTTGGAACAAAATAAGATTGCCTTCTGTAATCTCAGAAGGTTCAGAGAATGGAAAGAATCTCTCGATAAAAAGTCTGTCAGCATGATATGTGTACGAAGAAAGATCTTCTTGCCAGATGTCACTTCTAAAGAATTGTTCTACAGTATAGATCTGCATTTTTAAATAATTAGAAAAATGTTTCCTTAGAAAAGTGTCTTCATTTGCCATTCTGCTTTAGAATAGGCCCCAGTAACTTTACTAGGACTTATTTTTTAAGTACAGGTATAAATTAAAACTGTGAATACAGGTTAAAAGCAAGGTCTGAAATGAATTTCCTGACTGAACCAGCATCTAAGTTTAATACATTGCTTTCCTTCACCAAATCTATGCTTATAACAGTTGTCTTCCAACTCTAATGGCTCTTCTGAGATTTTTTTTCACTCTTTATACATATGCATGAATATTATAAGTGGAGAAGGCAGAAAACTTCTATTTAACATAAAAGTTCAGCCAACTCATGCATGTTATTCAAACTGCAGTCATGGGACCTGCACAGATCTAAATGTCATTTAGGAAAACTACTTTTGTTGGTGATTTTTGATTACAGTCCAGGAAATGAATACTTTGGGGTCTGTTGAAGTGTTAAGTAGCTTTCCTGCAGGAGTACAGGCAGTCCTCACGATCACCAACTGAGCCCCAATTTTTGTTGCTAAGTGAGGCAGTTGTTAAGTGAATACTGCCCCATTTTACGACCTTTCTTGCCACAGTTGTTAAGTGAATCGCTGCAGCTGTGGAGTTAGTAACACGGTTGTTAAGTCAATCTGGCTTCCCCATTGCCTTTGCTCATCAGAAGGTCGGCACAGTTGATCACACGACCCCAGGATACTGCAACCGTCATAAATATGAGTCAGTTGCCAAGCGTTTGAATTTTGATCATGTGACCATGGGGATGCAGCAATGGTCCTGTGAAAAATGGTCATAAGTCACTTTTTTCAGTTCCATTGTCACTTCAAACAGTTACTAAACAAACTGTTGTAAGTCGAGGACTATCTGTACAGCCTAAAACTTGTTAAGAAGAGACATGGACGAGTAGGAGTAAACTTCGGCTCGCAAACTCTTACATAATTTTCTACTGGAAAGTCTGGGAAGCATAGCAGCTCTGAAGGTTTCCAGCAATATGGAACAGTAGGGCTAGACAGCTAACTGCTCATGCTTACACCTCTGATGTCCATCACCTGGAGTTGCACTGTATCCCCAGTGGTGGACTGCTGCCGGTTTAACAACCCAGCACCGAAAATGCAAACGTGCGCGTGCATGCGCGCGCCCTTCTGCGCATGCGCGTAGCTCAGTGGTGGGTTGCCCCCGGTTCGCACCGGTTCTATAGAACCGATAGTAAAACCGGTGGGAGGCTCCGCCCACTGACCCTGACATCATCAAAATGCTTCTGCGCGTGCGCGGCCCCGTTGCGAACCGGTAGTAAAGGTAAGTAGAACCCACCCCTGGCGTGGCTTCAAAAACACAGCAATATAGGACGGGATAGCGCTGGGGAGGGTGGGACCCCCACAGGTCGCAACTACCAGTTTACCCGAACTGGTCTGAACTGGCAACAGCCCACCTCTGTGTATCCCCCTTTAGAGAACACAGACTTTTATTGGAATAACTGTCCAGTCCAACTTTTTTATAGAAATAAAAACCTATCAGATGGAAGAACAAAATCAATATTTGACAGTGCTGTGTCTGCAGACCAAGAAACTCCAGATTGTTATCTGATCATAGCTCTCACCACTGTGACACAAACAATATACTATTTTTTTTGTCCCTCTACTACTGAGTAATATGATACCGTGTTTCCCCGAAAATAAGACCCTGTCTTATATTTTTTTTGAACCCTGAAATAAGCGCTTGGCCTTATTGCCATGTGCTCAAAAGCCTGATTGGGCTTATTATCAGGGGATGTCTTATTTTGGGGGAAACAGGGTAGTAGCTATTTCTCAATTTGCATTTATGGAAATAAAAAAACAAAGCATATTCAGAGAAAAAATTATTTGAACCACCTGCTAGGCTGAAGACCACACAATCCCCACTGCTGTTTTATATGTGAGTTTAATATTCTCTCACTGAGGATAAGGTGAAAAAGGAACGCACACACATCGCACGTATCCTTCTTATCAATCTAATGAAAAAGTAGATCAGTTTTTTTTTAGAAAAATCTCAGCTCTCTTTTTCCAATTTGAATTACAGATATTCGTAGACTTATAAGAGCTCATTTAGTGAGTGTTCTAAGTTACAAGACCACTGAAAAAAGTAACTTATGACCATTTTTCACACTTACAATCGTTGTGGCATCCCCATGGTCATGTGATCAAATTCAGGTGCTTGGCAACTGACTCATATTTATTGCGGTTGCAGTTGTAAGAAGTTAGCACCCACCTCTTTTCTAGAGGAATGAAATATTTTGGGAAATATTAAAAAGGCAGATATTATGTTTCCCTGGATGAGAAATGGAGAAGCATGTTTTAAGGACGAAGCAGCTTCCATCTTCCTGCCCCCACCCTTTGTCAAGGGGCCAGAGGCAGAAACTCAATCTTTGTCAATGGACCATCATCTGCAACACAATAGGACCCATCTAGCAACAGAAACTCACCACATGGCACCTGGGAAGATTACATCAGCCAACAAGGCTAGCTAAGACCCTTACCCCCTGGGAGTCTGACAACCAATCAGGATACTCTTTCTGGGCCCCAGGAAGTTCAAAGCCAGAGAGGGCATAAAACCCAGGGACTCGCTGTGTCTCGCCCCTTTTTCTGTTCAGGAACTCAAACCATGTGATCCTGTCCACCATTAAACCATCTTTCCAAGCAGTCTCCATGTTTCCAGTGTCTTTTTCCCCACTTGGAGCTGAACCCAGAAGGATATTTCTTCCTACACAGTGTTCCAGGATCATGTGATCTCTTTTTTTCCACCTTTTGAGAAGCAAAATCAATGGGGAAGCCAGATTCACTTAACAACCAAGTTACTAATTTAACAATAGCAATGATTCATTTAACAACTGTGGCAAGAACAATCATAATATGGAGCAAAACTCACTTAACAAATGTCTCATTTAACAACAAAATTTGGGGGATGAATTGTGGTTATAAGTCAAGGACTATCTGTAGTTCTTTTTTTACCTCATCTTATTAGTAGGATGATTAGCATTTCTGAGACAATTTTAACAAAACCAGATAGATTAGTGAACACTAACACAGTAGTTTAAAAAATAACAAAAAAGCACAGGAATGCAAAATATATTGGAATTGGATAAATAGTCATTCTATGTTACAGCTAACAGTGTTATACTGCAACAATCCAGATGACCAATAGATAGCAGGAAAGGTAGTTTTCTAAATATGTTTTCTTTTTCTTTTTTTTTAATTTGATTTATATGCCGCCCTTCTCCGAAGACTCAGGGCGGCTTACAATGTGCTCAGCAATAGCACATTTTTTAATTCCTTCTAGTATTCAATTTTTTATAATCTTATTGTGTTTGTTTAAATTCAAAACAGCATTTTCCCACAGGCAAAAATAAAAATGTATAATTAAATCCAAAGTCTTATTTCAAATTTATCAGAACCAATAGTCCATTGTAACTTTATAAAAATCAGCTGTTTTAATCCCCTTTTGCTGTTTATTTAATTTTGCTGTTTATTTAATCCCCTTTTGCTGATGTGAAATAGCATTAATGGAAACATGAGGTGGTCCAATGGTTAGATTGGAGTACTGCAGGCTACTTCAGCTGACTGCTAGCTGCAGTTCAGCAGTTCAAATCTCACCAGGCTCAAGGTGGACTCAGCCTTCCATCCTTCTGAGGTCGGGTAAAATGAGGACCCAAATTTTGGGGGGCAATATGCTGACTCTGTAAACTGCTTAGAGAGGTCTGTAAAGCACTGTGAAGCAGTATATAAGCCTAAGCGCTATTGCTATTCTCTGGACAAACATTGCAGCACTGAGCTTATTCTCATTGATAACTGGAACTCTATAAAGGAAAGACTCCAAAAGGGATTTTAAAAGTACCTGAGGAAGCTCACATGAGAGAAGTACTTCCTCAAATTCCTGATCTTCCATTAACTGTGTTGATTTTGTTTGATCCTAGATTTTTGAAGTAACTGGGGCTAATAAAAAAAAACTTGAAGAGAAGATTGAAGACTTTATGTAATCTTGAAGAAAGGATTGCTGCAATTCCAAAGCCTTCAAATGACAGTAAAATAACATCTCCATGGGTACTTGCTAGCCCTATTACTGTACCTGCACATTGAATGAAATGATAGAGCCAATACAACAGTATATAGCAGCTGTCACCAACTGGTGGTCCATTTTGGTGGTCTGCAGAAAAATTATTTGCATTTTATATATTGCACTAAATCAGGGGTCCTCAAACTAGGGCCCCTGGGCCGGATATGTGCAATGAACGCTTGTGTTACTGCAGAGAGTCTCCCCCTTCGGGATCTTTTTGTACAGGTTGGAGGGGGGCAGAAATTCCAACTTGGTGTCTGCTTCAGCCTCCTGGTGCAGGGCTTTGGACGACAGCTGGGGAGAAGTGCTGCTGGTGGCAAAGAGCCGGAGGGCCTTGTTCCAGTGGGACTGTTTCATGGCCTGGAACTGGCTGACCATCTCAGCCCACTGAATCTCCAGGCGCCGGTACCTGGCCTTGCACTCCTGCAGGTCTTCCCTCTGCTTAGAAAGCCTATGCTCGTAGTCCTCAATGAGATGCTTCTGCTGAGCCTCCTTCTTGGTCAGATCCAATTTGAACTGAGCCAGATGTTTTGCCAACTCTTTCTCGTGGTGGCTGCTTAGTTCCAACAACTGCTTCCTGTTGGGGCCCTAAGGAGCCCAGGCGGGCAGGGGAGGAGTGGCTGGGAGGGGAGGGGTGAGTAGAGGCTGGCAAGGCACCCCTCGACATGAGTGACATCAAGTTGGCCACGCGCACCCAATCACATGACCATCTAGCCATGCCCACCCAGCCGGTCATTAGGCAGATCATATTAGTGGTCCACGGGATTTAAAATTATGAATTTAGAGGTCCCTGAGGCCCGAAAGGTTGGTGACCCCTGGTATATAGGACCATACATAGTGGAAACAGGGCCTTCTCAATCAGGCATCAGGAAAAAAAATGTCTCAATGGAGATGGGGAGTTAGCCAAACAAGGGGAGATATTTCTGGTCTACCGAAGGCAGGAAATTGTTCTCCTCGCTCTTGATTTGCTAATAAGCATTTGGAAATATGCTAATCTGGACTGCAGTTTTATAACTCAGTAGGAAGGAACGTTCAATCCACAGGCCAACTTTGGCTAATAAATCTGCATTGACCTGCTGCAGAGACTTGATAGAGAAATCCTGCCTTCTCTAAAGTCTTCCTCAACCCTCCAGTCTGATTCCTGTCTCTTTCTCTGTATACTGGAGAAGATAGGAGCTCTTATTTCCTCCTTCTACCCATAGAGAAAGGAAAGAAGACTTCTGTATGCAGGGGTGGGGGGGGGAGAACAATTGCTTCTGATTTCCTCCCTCAAGGAAGAAATACCGATATGTTGACTTGTATCATCTAATTCTCAGAGCACCCCAACAAGCTACAGCACCCCAGATCACAGAGAGACGTATCAGCTCCCCTGTTTGCAAGGTGTTCTAGGTATTAGTGACAGGCTCACTGTTCTGTTCCACATTTCCCTGCTTTTTGGAAGAGAGGTCAGGCAAGGACTAATATTGATAGATTTTACATCAGGATAGCTTTGGCTTCTTTACATCTGGCTTGGCAGATATTATTGTTGCTGAGAGCTTAGATGAATGGATAAATGGATTGGAATCGCTTACCGGTTTTGCTCCACCTTCTCTTCTCTTCTCTTCTCTTCTCTTCTCTTCTCTTCTCTTCTCTTCTCTTCTCTTCTCTTCTCTTCTCTTCTCTCTTCTCTTCTCTTCTCTTCTCTTCCTTGCATTTTATTTTATTCTTCTTTGCCATGCTTCTTTTTAATTTAAATATTTTATATTCTATTTTATTCTTCTTTGCTATGCTTAGCTATGCTTTTGTGACAATGGCTTTGGTTGTAGTAGTTATTTATTTATATTTCATGTTTCTAAACTGCCCATCTCCCTCAAGGAGGAGCTCCATATTGTGGTTCTCTCCGTGACCTTCCTATTGGTAATGGATGTTTTATTTTCTTTTAGAATAACTCAACTAAATACATTTTATTGCCCATCAACACACTCCATGGATTACAGCCAAAAACATGACCAAAATGTTATTTTTTAGGCAACATAGCCGATGAGAGAATCAACTTCAGCAGCAACTATTTTGTCACCCTGATAAATTATTGACAAGCCTGACCATAAATCTGGTTCTCATTAAGTCTTCACAATGCATTTAATTCACTTTGGAAGAGATGCTGAAGAGTGGGCTGCTTTAATGAGCCTCAGACAGATGCTGCATTCTCATCCCACAGGAGCAGCTGGTTTGTAGAGCCATTTCCTATGATCCAGGAACCAGGGTGATACAATAGTTGTATATATTATTGATATGACATGGAGAATAACTGATCATGTAAATGACACTGAAACCGGATTAAATACTGCAGGAAACCAGATTTGCTTAATGATCTCATGATTCATTTAACAACTTCAGTCATTGACTTAACAGCTGTAGCAAAAAAAGATCATAAAATGGGGTGCAATTCACTTAACAACTACAGTAGAACCTCTGGTCATGACCATAATTTGTTCCATAACTTTGGTCAAAACCCGATTTGGTCGTGACCCGAACCTAATTTTGGAAATTTGGTGTTTACAAAAAAAAATGGCGTGGAAGGGGAAATTGGCCCTGAAAAAAAAATGTGAATTTTTTGATCAGAACCTGATTTGGTCATGGTCAGAAGCATTCATGATCAGAGGTTCTACTGAAGAAAGGAAACATTGGGCTCAATTGTGGTCATAAGTCAAGCATACATTTACCTGTATTCAAAGATTAAGAATGAACATTGTCTATGAAAATTAAGTCTGCCCATTAAGGTTTTATTGGTAGATCACATCCATTTATATTTTAAGGCCCTAGTGTATTACAGGAATGGGAAATGGGAAAAAAAAGAAAAGAACATGAAAAGTAAATAAAGAGAATGTTTCCTTAAGTGACTCATCTATTGGTTAAAATTTATTGTTTCTCTGGTATTAGGGTGGAAAATGTGATTACCTGTAACCTTAAAGGAACTCCATCAATGTACGAGAAGGATATAATATTAGCAGACCTAGAGAAATGCCAAGGTGTGGAAAAGCCAAAATCTTAAAGAAGAATATTCATCAGGTTACTCCCTTACACCGGCTTTACAATGACTCTTTGTGTTGACTGGCTACCACTCTCAATTAGCTGATTGTCCTGAGATAATTGTAGATAATGCCAATTTATAAGGTCTTTTGGGTGCCTTCCTTAACATCCAGATATAGCAAACAAAAAAGAAAAAAAAAAAAACAACCAGGTTCCTCTGATGTGCTAATAAATGCTCTGAAGTTCACTTCAGTGGAGAGCAGCTACTCCTTTAAATCACCAACTGGCCCGCTGTGGCCAACAGAAGTCATCTTATCTCTGAGAACTAATAAAAGGGGGGGGGAGAATGAGATTCATTCAGATTTGGGTCTGGAAGAGGTTGGGCGTCCTTGGAGTCTTTGCTGGAACTGCAGATGAAAGGGGTTATTTCAAGCAAAGTTGGAAAGAGTTAGTCCAGGGGTCAGCAATCCATGGCTCTAGAGCCACATGTGGCTCTTTCATCCCTCTTCTGCAGCTCCCTGTCGGCTCCACAAGTGATAGGGCTTTCGGTTAGGACAGGTAGAGGAAAAAGGACGCCATGCTAGGAGGAGATTCTATGGTGGGGGAACAGGACTTCTGGTTGGCAGAGGAAAAAGGATGCTGTACTAGGAGGAGGCTCTTATGGTGGGGGAACTGGACTTCCGGTTGGCTCCACAATTGAATGGGGGGGGCTTCTGGTTAGGAGCTTTGTGGCTCTCTGAGTGTTTAAGGTTGCCAACCCCTGAGTTAGACTGAAGCACAACCATCATTCAGTGAGCTCCAGGCTGAAAGAAGAATGCCGCATCAGAAAGAGAAAGTGAAGCAAAAGGGAATGCTAAGAAGACACAAAAGGAAATAGCTAAGAAAAAGGAGTGCTTTGAGTGTGATTTTTAAAAGTTCCAAAATTATTAATCAGGGCAAAGTTAATTTTGAAAGGTATTTGTTTATTCTCCCTCTCCTATTGATGTGAAATTACCCATGCCGGGAGTTGAAATCCACCTGTCTTAAAGTTGCTGGGATTGAAAAACACTGCTATACAATACCAACAAATTGTTAATCACATTGAATATATACCACATTGGCTGTTGAAATTTAACAAAAGGGTACAGTATATACTCGACCAAGAACTAAAGGAGGTATATTACCTCTGCTCCCCTCCCCCCCAAGCCCCTCCAAAAGACAGGATATATTTTAACTTTTTCCTTTCTAATGGAGGAATTAATCCTTGGTCAACTTACAAACAGCCAAAGATTACTTTGTCCCACCCCTATCTCAACCCACCTGTAACCCTAGTTTCACACATTAAGCAAAACAGAAAAAAGTTCTTTCCTTCAGGATGATGATGATGTTATCCATTCAGTCGTGTCTGACTCTTGGGGATTCTATGGGTCAGGTCTCTCCGCATCTTCCAATCTTGCACTATTTCTTTGAGTTGTTCTATGCTCCGGCTGGTGTCAGCTTTGATGATGTCCAACCACTGTATTCTTTGATGGCCTGGTTTCCTTCTACTGCTAACTCTTCCAAACATAATCGCTTTCTCCAGTGAATTCCCCTGCACGACATGGCCAAAGTAAGTGGGATGCACTTTCATGATTTTGCTTTCTAGTGACATGTACTTGCTCTTAGTCACATTTGCTGCCCAAGGAATACACAGGAGCCTTCTCCAGCACCACAGCTCAAATGATTCAATTTTCTTCCTGTCTTGCTTTTTTTAAGCTCCATCTTTCACAACCATGAGTAGCTACAGGGGACACAATAGAGCAGACTAACCTACATTTGATTGTCAGCCTTGCTTTTCCATATCCAGCTCATATCCATCATTGCTGTGTGACCCAGTGCATTTTACTTCTGTGCTGCATTCACCACTTTGACTGATCTGTGATCCTAGGAAAGTGATTTTTTTCCCTACACATTCTATCTCTTCACTGTCAATTTCTATTTTGATATTTCCATCCTTTGCAGTGCTCACAAGCTTGGTCTTTTTGAAGTTCAGAAAGACCAAAATTCTCACTTCTTTGATTTTCTTAATCAGATGTTC